GGTCGAGATCCGGCGAGTCGGCAGGCAAGGAGGGTATCCTAGATCCTAGACCTACCTAACCTACCTGCAAGGTTCTTCCGTTGCCAGACGCAATCAAATCTGCTCAGGCGAAAGTGCTCCCAAGTCTAGGGCCAGCCAATAACACCTCACCTGCATACGAATGGTTCCCTCGGAATCAAAAAGTATCTGGGACCTCTGGGATGGACGCATGCTACACAGTAACAGAGTAGTTGCACCCAACCGAAGCGGTGACACGACCGCAGCCGAGCACAGCGAAATGTATGTGGTAGCCAACACAAGCCGCTTTCGGGCCCTGCAGTTATCGGGTTGACGACGCCGTTTGCTTGGCTCCAGCTTCCGGGGGAGGTGATACAACCACGTGAGAAAACTGGTCGGCAGCCTTCTAGAAGCCGGTTCTCGCATGCGTTTCCGTTGCTTTCGAAACTCTTGGATCTTTGGGTGACCAAGGCATGTCCGTGATTCAAGAAAAATGCACAGGGGCTGCTTGCTTGTGCTATCTGCCGGCAACCTTTTTGCTGCTGGAGGCTACTGATCGCCGCGTTCCCCAGAGCAAGCTAGGTGTAATGGACGAGCGGGAAGGGAGGAGACGACGATGCATCCTCCGTCGCCCGTTGCCGTTGCCTGTCGGTGGCTGCTGACAGAGGGTGCGGATTGGGTGCGATAGTGGTTGGCAACGCCCAGTCAAGACAGGCTTGCACAAGTTGAGATGCTTGGCCCTTTCTGCCCACCCCCAACCCCATGTTGTTATGGGCTGTATCCCCCATCCCAGTGCATTGTCATCAAAGGGCATCTGGCGGACTTGGCGCCAGCTTGGCAAGCCACTGCCCATTTAACCTTCGGGGCGGTTGACGAATCTTGCTATTGGTGATGCTGATTGACGGGCTCGTCGGCCCAATTCTCCTTTGGGTTGGAACACAGTAGCAGGAATGCGGCAGCGCACGTGGATGAGATTGGATGTGCCAAGATTAATGAAGCTGAAATAGTCTTGTGTTTACGAAAGACGAGCCGCCAACATGGTGGTGGCGAAGAGGGGGAAAGTTTCTTGGTTGGTCCTGGGAAGGGGGATAAGCTGGGACCGACACCTTCATTGCCCAGCTTCTGTTTGTCTTGGGGAACTCTGGCTCGTCTGGGGCATTCCTTCGATTCCTTATTTCTTGGCTTGGGCTCTTTTTCTTGCACTATTTTACCCCGCGTTGGGGTCCCCAGGAAACTAATCCGGTGGATCAGTAATAGTGCCCACTCATTCGGTTTCCATTCCTCTTCTGTATGAGCACTCGAGCTAATCTCGGCTGGATATCATGATCATGTCTCCCTATACAACTGCAGTCCGTATGTCGTCGTGGAAAAAAAGTACAGTACCTGGATATTGCTGCCGCCGCTGCTGACACATGAGATTGGGCGGTGAGTACGTGGGATCCCGGGGGACTGGTAACATCAATAAAGCAAAGCAACCCTACACTCTCATGTACGCATTCATTTGGCAAGAGATGACTGGACACGCAGCAATTGGCTACCCCCCTTGCAATCTAGACCACTGACATCCTGCCTTCAATGGTATGCTACTGAGGTTGAGTGCGTAAGGACGGGGATGATGCTCTCTTCTGGTTAGTAGACAGCCTACCGAGCACTTGGCAACTCTATAAACCTTGCATCTTGGCAATGCGACATGGCACCCGTCCAATCAAAGACGCATAAACGTTATAATGCCATTTTCCATGTTTGAAAGACATGATCTGACGAGATAGGGCAATTATGTTCCAAAAAGCAAAAAAACAGCTGCGTGTAAGATGCTGATCATGGCGGCAGGAGATAGCCATGTGTAAGGCGTTGTTGCAATTGGGAGGCATCCAAATAGTCTTGCTGTCTTGGTATCCCCAAAGGGGGAAAACAAGATCAAGCTTCTCGTCACCCGGGGCCACTATCGATTCCCGTTGTCTCAGACAAGATTAGCTACAAAGAGGCATCAGATGGCAAAAAGAAACATCGTGGTTGCCCAGACACGCCAGATGCTTTTTCGCCGTTGACCCGGGCACTGGGAATGGAGAAATTCAACATCCATTGATCCGTACAATATTTAAGCATTTCGGGCGTACAGACAAGTAAGCTGCCAAGGAATCACAACATACACCACGAGGTGACACACCCTCGCCTTGGTCTCAGGTCCCTTGTGAATATTTGCACCCATTGCAAGGCTTTCTACAGGATAGCTCCCAACACAGCTGTTCTTCATACCCCTCAGGACACCCTTGGCTTTTTTTTTTTTTCAATTTAATTTTCTTTTATCAGACTCCTTCCACCCGGCTTGGGGTTTCCACCCGATTGTCTACAAAACTAGTCCTTGACCCAAATTTATTTACAAACGTCTAAGCCCAGGCACGTAATTGCTGCTTTTCAGATGTGAGGGCTGAAAATTTCTTTTCCCTTCTACTTTCCATCCCTTGCCCATTCTTCCTCCCATCTAGCTATCTGGTTCTCTGGCGACTGGGCAATCTTTGCACTTCCTTCTTTCCTCACACAAAGGCACAGTTGTTCATTAGCTGGTACGATCTCGCGTAACGAAGCGACCCGTCACACAAAATGGCGACGACTCACGAAAAGGTCGAGCCGTCAGGAGAGTCGTCGACTCCTCCCAGCATCGAAACGACCAACAAGGAGGCCCTGGTGGAGACATCAGATCTCGGCGCCGTCGAGCGTCGTGGCTTTGACGCACAAGCGACAAAGGCCCTGATTCGCAAGATCGACTGGGTCCTCATCCCATTCCTTGCGCTGCTCTACCTCCTCAGCTTTCTCGACCGCACCAACATTGGCAATGCCCGCCTCGCCGACCTCGAAGTCTCGCTGGGAATGGACCCAAAGAGTCTGCAGTACAACACTGCCCTCAGCGCCTTCTTCCCCTGGTATGTCGCCGCCGAGATTCCCTCCAACCTGGCCATGAAGCGCTTTCGCCCTTCCGTCTGGATCCCGAGCATCATGGTTGCTTGGGCAATTGTTTGCATCGCTATGGGCCTTGTTCACAATTATGCGGGCTTACTTGCCGCGCGTATGGCTCTTGGATTCGCCGAGGGCGGTCTTTTCCCTGGTATCACCTACTAGTAAGTCACTCTCGAGTCCCAATGCCTCCGATGACAGCACGCTGATTTTGCGATTCTAGCATTACCCGTCAGTAATTTTTGCATAATTCTTCATTGTTCGAGTTGTGGTGACTTACTTCCCATTAGTTTGGTACAGGCGCCATGAATGTGGTCTGCGAATGGCTATTTTCTTTTCCGCAGCCACTGCCGCCGGCGCGTTTGGTGGTTTGCTTGCTCGTGGTATCGTGGAGATGAAGGGCGTCGCAGGACTTGGCGCCTGGCAATGGATTTTCATCCTCGAGGGTATCGCTACCTTTATCATTGGTAAGCTCACCTCCGATCATTGACATTGTTTGAGGTTGCAATATGCTGACTGGAGATTGAACAGCTGTCACGGCCTATTTCGTCATGCAGGACTATCCTGATACGGCTAAATTTCTGACACCGACTGAGAAAGATGAGGTCATGCGCCGTCTGGAGGAGGATCGCTCTGCGCTGGCCAATGAGTTTGACATGAAGTACTTCTGGGATGCTCTCAAGGACTGGAAGATTTGGGTGCACAGTGAGTCTAATTGGCAGCCATACAATGGGCCAAGGAGGGGGAAAAGACGCGCTAACAATCATCAGTGTTTATCACTATTGGTGTTTACACTCCGCTGTACTCCTTTTCCTTGTTCCTACCGACGATCATCAAGAGTCTAGGGTTTACCAATGACAAGGTAGGTCTCAAAGTATACATGGAAGCTCGCAACAATAAGCTAACATCGTGTTCAGACTTCGCAACTCATGACCGTCCCTCCCTATGTCGCTGCTTGTATTTGCTGCATCGGCGCCGGCTGGCTCGCCGACAAGCACGGACAGCGTGGCATCTACATGATCTTTTTCAACTGTGTCGCCATCTTTGGCTTCATCCTCCTTATTTGCTCAAGCAACAACCACCTCAAGTACGCCGGTACTTTCTTTGCCGCCATGGGTATTTACCCCAATGTGCCACAGGGTGTAGCTTGGAATGGCAACAACATTGGCGGTTCGACCAAGCGTGGTGTCGGTATCGGTGAGTCGACTATTTCTTTTTTTGCAAATGCCGAAATCTCTCGGGAGCTCATTTATTGTCCACATTTGGCTAACAATTTTCTTTTTTCCACTGCAAACAGCAATGCACGTAGGTTTCGGCAATCTCGGTGGCGCCATCGCTGGTTTCCTGTACCGCTCCAAGGACGCGCCCATGTTTTACCCTGGCCACGGCACGCTGATCGCGACCGAGACCATATCGACCATTTTGGCCATCATCATGACCATTTACCTGCGCCGAGAAAACGCCCGCCGGAATCGCGAGTTCAAGCCGCCTTCCGAGTACACGTTTGAGGAGATGACCCAGGAGCGTGAAAAGGGCGACAATGCCACCTTTTTCCGCTACACCATCTAGTTTGATTTGGGACTTGCACTTTGATTTATTCGTCTACTTGGCTAGGTGTTCGCCATTTGTGAGCTGCCATATTCTTCAATGGGGCTTGGCACCTTTAGCGGGATTATGGAATGCCGGTATGTAGAGACGGGAAGAAGAAAGAGAATGTGACAGGAGAAGAAAATGGGCAAGCAATGTAAATAGGGAGGGAACCTGAGATATTGTATTCAGCAAAGTATGCTGAGTTAAATAAAACACTGATCATGTGACGCGCAAAATCCAAGACACCAGGGCCACCTGCCGCACTTACAGATTTTCTTATTCCACGGTGAAGCGCCATTCCGCCTTTTACTCTGGAATCGATAGAAAAAATCCTCTTGCCACATGATTTGTCACAAATGCCATCTAGTTCAGATCGGGATGTGGTTACGCATCAACTTGTCCGGCCATTTTCTTTCTTTCTTGTTGCATTGTAAATTACGAATTGAGATGTGATCACTGATCCTGAAGCTTGAAATACACTGCAGACATGAGTGCGACAAGTATCGCAATCAAGTACTGCCCAACTCCAAAAGCCTGCTCTTGGGTCTTTGCAATGCCCAGAATCAAGCACGAAATCACAAAAGTAATCAGGAGCCCGGCGGCGAGAAAGAAGCCTAGAACAGCATGATTCGGCCCATCTAGAATGTGTACACCCCATCCAAAGGCAAGGTCTGGATCTGAGCTAGCTTCAGATGCCTGCGCAGCAAGCATACTCTCGTTGAGTTTCTTGGGCAGTCGCTTGAGCCAAGTATCGTTGGCATGGTCTCCCCACACATTCCACCTCGCTCGGTGCAGAAAATGTATAAATACGTGAGGGGGCATCATCAGTTTGGGCGTGTGGTAGTGGTATCGCCGGCGTTGGAGCTCCTCATCTGGGGGATATTCTGCAGGCTTTTCATGAATGCCGGCGCTGTACTGTGTGGTCTTTACGGTACTGATTGAGAACTAGCCCAGATGTCAGCAAGGTTCAGTGGTGGTCATGATGCAATGCTCACCAAGACAAAATGCACATTGCAGGGCCGAAGAAACAAACGCCTGAGACCAACCCCGCGGTTGCGATTGTATATATCCCAGATCTTCTCAAACAGCTCGCCATCCGTTGCAGTTTGGGTTATGTCAATTTCGAAATGACCAACAGCGGAGTTGCCGATATCGGTACAGACTTCAAAATAGATTGATTCGCCCCGGTCGACGGTAACTTTAGTCAAGCCTACTGGGTGCTGGTTGGACGTGGTCAAGTTGCTCGCCTCAGAAACCAATTCGGAAAGATTCCCAGATTCTCGTCTAGGGAAAGAGGAAGCATCTGAGCTGCCTGCTGTTTTGTTTAGATTTGAAGTGGTACTAGCTTGATCAGCCTTCTCATGACTGGGTGCTTGTTGTTCGCCGTGGTGCTCAGAAATATGTCCCATTGATCCTTTCCCGGCAGATCCAGATTTTGAATGGTTGGAGGCCGGAGAGAAGTTATTGAGCAAATCTTCTTTCAGCTGCGCCAAGGCGTGGGAGTCATCAACGGGAAAGTCCCCCCAAAGTACAGTATTGCAGCTCTGCGAGATATCAATATCACGGGCTAAACAGCATGGTACTATAATTGGTCAACCTACACAACGCCAGCGAACTCTCTCGTATCCGACTGGGTGACGAGCTACAAATAGATCCATCAGATCATGGAAAGAGAAAAGAACGCCCCAGAAGTCGAGAATACTCCAAATTAGAGACCGAAGACTCTCTGCTCTGCTCCTTGGGCCAGGGTTCGGATCAATCACTGAGCCATCTGGTGTCGACTTCTCGACATTGTCTGAAGTGCTTGGCATCAAGTGATCCACTGGAAGCATAACATTGTGCACCACGGGTTTGTTGAAATCTATCGTCTCTTGGCTTTGCGGCGTTGGACTAGCTGTGGGTTTTGTATCAGAATCCGGACGTCTCTTGAGGTTAGTCCAGTTTTCAAATGCTCGAAGTAGAGTTTCGAAAGCATTGCTCGAGAGGAGGAAATCCTGGACAGCTTCGATATGAGGAAAAGTGTCATCGGTGATGAGGCCGTCGTCTGATCCATCACTATCTGAGTCGTTATCGTCAGCCGGAGGTGGAGGCGGCGCCTTCTCCATGTCCCCCTCCCCAACAGTGGAAAGCCACTTTTCCAAGTTCGGCTTCTCTTCTGCTGTCGTTTCTCTCTCTCTTACTTCATCAAAGCCAGTGATCGACCATCTTATTTCATCAGCGATCCGTCCGGCAACTTCTCGAACAAATCTAGCAGCTTGATGTTGTAGCGGATTGCGTGCCTCTTCGTCTAAATGGTTCCCGTAGTTCTTGAGAAACCCACGAATGTGCGCACGGCTCTTTCCCGCGGCAACATTGTTGATCGCAGCAGTACATAGAGACTTGAACTCATCGTGACCGAGGAAGACGCGCGTTATTTCTCTGATTCCGCTCACACGGACGGGATTTAGTTCAACTGAAGATTTCGAGGACATTGAGGCATCGGTGTCTGAGAATATGCTTTCCACATCCTCGGGTTCGGAGTTGTCTTCTTCTTCTTCCTCCTCCTCCTCCTTTATGTCTCTCTCTGGATCTTTGCGAGCAACGAGATCCAGAGAGAGAGTTTTAGGCCTTGGCCAGTCAAATTCCTCATATAGTATCTTCCGGAGGCGTGCCAGAGCGTTTTCCGCCCCCTCCCCGTACATTGGTACCATGGTAATATCAAATATTCCCAGCAAAGAGTATGCTTGATCCTCCGGGCGTGTCGTATCTCGACCTCTTGTCCACATAATCAGCTCATTGACTGGAAAATCCGAAGGTGAACGTCCTTGGAGTACACTGAGTGGAATGCCTGTAATTTCGTGAATTACTTCTTTGAGTGCCTCCTTGCTACCTAGGGACTTCCAGTCGTGCAAGAAGAACTCGACGATTCTGGGAGCGATGAGTTCTTGCAAGGTCCAACGCCGAGTGAACCACCTAGCTTTTCGAAATTGAGTGTCAATATCGGCGCCATGAAAGTACACTACATCTTCGAGATACACATAACATTTCTGTGCATTCCGGTACCATCTGAACATGGAGTTTATCGCCTCTGCCACCTCGGCTGAGCTGGTTTTGTCGATACAGCAGGTATCGACCCAGAAGAAGTCAAGACCATCCAGCTTAGCCTGCTTTCCGAAAGACAGTATCTTCTGGTATCCCTTCTTATCTTGCGATTGCTTCTGTATCAAATCTTGGAACGTATATTCTTCTTCCGGAGGCCCCCAGGTGTGCGAAAAGATAGCATAACGGGGTGGGTCATGATTGAACTGGTACTCATTGAGTTCGTCCTGTGCTCCAAGTCGCAGGAGGCGCATGCTCGGGGAGCTTAGACTCAGCAAGTGTTGAGCACGTATACCGACTTTTGGCAAGTTGGAGGACGCCTCTGTGCTTTCAGAGGGGGCGAGATGAAGAGTCGTGGCTGTTTGCTTCGTTCTGATGAGCCGTGTTGCTTCAATACTTCTCGGTAGTTTTGTACATAATTATTGATGCTCATGTTGCCGATCAGGACGCGTGCGGCTGAGTTGCGAGGATTGTTGCACAAGACCCCGCACGACATCATCCAATGACGAACCCAACATCTTGCTGGAAGATATGAAGGCTTTGACCATCAGTCATTGCATAAAGAACTACGTATGAAGTGATTGTATCTGTGTCAGCGATTCAAGCGTTCTTGGGCCCTTTGATTCTTACCTAGGTTTTGGTATGTACTATAGCTTCCCAGCACTTTCTTTACTACTACTGCACTGTTGGTGATGGATAGTAGGACTTAAGGCCCCGCTACAGCGCACTGACAGTGGGGTACTCCCCAGTAGTATACTACTATGTAGGTACTCGTTTCACCTGATTCCGTACCCCAAGCTTTCTATTATTGTCCGAAATTATAGACCAGGAGTAGCAATGGGGATAAGAATGCATTTGGTTATAGTGCAGAGAAATGAATTTAGAGTCCTGATCCCATCTATAAGCGTATAGCTGCACGCCATGTTAAGTCAACCTCCCCAGCATTCATCGCCAGAATTTCTTTCATAACATGAAGGAGTAGATCCTTGCGTTCCAGGCTTGGTTCTCGGTCCCGAAGAGGGGTGGGTTCAGTTGCTGCCTAGCTACCTCCCTAGATATCTTCTCTCAATCGGCGCAACACAACGTCGCGATCACCCCTCCTCCATACACAAGCTCTTCTGACATCCTCAAGGAGGCCAGCCGGTCAAAGCTGTTGACCAATTGTCCATGATGCTCTCTGCTTTTTCAGAACAACCTGGCTTGGGTCCGGCGACTCGGGAATCAACCGATGCATCTATCCACCAGCGTCTGACCATCGAGCTTCACCTTTTGATCATTGAACACTTGGAACGCGATGATTTTGCCGCGTACCTTCGTGTCTGTCGTGCATGGCGTCACGCCGGTCTCAGCGACGATGTTTGGCCACGGTTCGCAGATGCATGCCTGCCTGGATTGAAGGAGCGCATTCGACTCGAATCAGAGAATGACCAGTCCATCATTCAAAGTGATCTTTTCAGGCGCTCCTTGATGCTCATATGTCGTCGGAGTCATGGCAAGTTTACGACTGTATTTGAAAACAATCTGAGACTCGACACGGAGGACTACTTTCAACTCGACACCAGTTTATCAGTCCTCGAAGGTGGCGTCCATTCCTACGACGACTATCTGGATGCTGACTTTACCAAGAAATTGGCGCGGCATATAGAAGTCAACGAACTGATGGGAGAAGAGACAGATTTGGAAAGTACTAAGCGGTTGCTGTGGTATTCTCACGGTCGCATTGCGTGGACCTCAACCGTGCCACGCCGACCACTTCTAATTGTGATCGATGAGCTACGCACAAGAATACGAAAGGCTTATTCATTCCCAGGCCATACCACTTCCGATGTAGTTTATGAGACGGCACTGGGGGATCAATTGTTCGTCATGACAAGTGGTCACAAGATGTGCATTTGGCATATGGAGCGAGATACTTGTACATCCGTTACGCTCCCACTACCGTTGACACGATGCTCCACCGAAGGGGAGAGGGTCCTTGCTGTCACGACCAATGCCGAAGTGTACATGTGGATGGCAGAGTCCGGTATGCAGAAGATAGACATGTCCAGTGTCACTGGTTACAAACATGGCTATCTAGAGAAGTGCTATTTCGGCTACTTTGGACCTGGCGACCTCGGCCCGCCGTTGCAGGCCTCGCTTTGTTTATCTCCGCTTGGCCATTTTGCTGAGTTTGGCGCTCGCCCGCGCTTGAGCTACATCGATAGCTTCGATTTCATCATGCATCCCTACAAAGCAAATACTATCTTCATGGCGGCCTTTCACGATAAGGCTTTGGTTGTATACGAGTTCAATGACGGGTCATGGAAAGCCCATCACGCTCCCAAAACTATCAAGGTGTCTCATGCATACTTGCGTCACATATTGCTTCGGAAGACCAGTTCTCATGGCGATTATGTACTTTGTGAAATATCATTAAGAGCATCATGGAGCAATGAGCAGAAAGCCAGACAATTGGGCATATGCTGTCCAAAGTCAGGCGGCGATGTAGAGATCTCTATATCTTTCAATATTTACACAAAGGCGTTCAGCATCGCTCGTCATCACTTCCGTGGCCACTATCTCCCAACATCGTCGAAAATGCTGAACAAGGCGTACAGTATTTGGAACCAGCAACTAGTTCACATCTCTTCCTTTCCCCATAGCTTCGACATCCTAGCCATTGGTGAATGCCAACAAGACTCGGATTTCCAACACAACAGGAGGCAAGTTAAGGTGCGGAACGATCTTTCTCTTTCTTCATCGGTATCGAAATCGCTGATTGTACTGCATGATTTCAAGGAATCGGGCCAGGATTCGCACCAACAGGACATCGAATTTTACCTAGACAGATCTGGAGTAAGCTCGGCGAAGCATTTCTGGCAGGGTGAGAAATTGCCGAAAGACAAATCTGGCGTGATGAAAAGCGCATGCCAAAAGACGTACGTACTCGGGGACGATGAGTATTTGATTTTGACGAGAGGAGACGGCGTGTATACGGTACATGGTTTTGATAAAGGATTTTGAGGTCTTAAGGAGGGATCCAATGGGATACAGCATCACTCCAAGGGCCATGACAGCACTGGACTTTTGACCAAACACGGACATACGTTGGAAATGGCTCAAATTGCTACCGGCTTCTCAAGCCGTTCTTTCTTTAGTGGATAGGTAGCCTCAAGTCAAATGGCCTTGACTGTCTATTCCAACACATCTTCGCTCAAGTGGCGGGGTGACACCAATAATGACCCAGGTATGCGGGCCATGCAGTGAGGAGAGACCAACGTTGCAATTCAAACAGCCAGCTTCCGGGCCTTGAGTGGTTTTAGTAACCAAAAGTGTCAAAAGGTATGTTCAATATTCGTTAGATTGACCAGCAATACTGCCTTAGAAGGGACGGGGGAAGGCTCCCACTATATACAGCCACAGTGTGGGTCGCACCCAGCCACCTTATGTCAACAAAAAGATCACAGCGAACAGCAACATGCATTTTTCAGTTGCACTTGAGTGGGCCACCTGAGAGTATCTCATCCAGTAATGAAGCTGATTAGATGGCCAGTAATGATACAAGCATCGATGACCTCCAAAATCTTCGCACAGATCTATCATAGTCTGTTGTAAGAGTTCAAGGCGCATCGGATAATTCTAATGACCTCTTACGCCTGCTTCTTGTCTTGAGATACATGATTCTCCTTTTTTGCCAGGCTCGCGATCACGCCCTCACGCCAGTGCCAGAGCCCCGTCAGTGCTGCTCCCGGACCAACCAATACTTGCCCGCAGACAACACCGGCGGCGGCCTTCAAAGCCCTCGCGGTGGAAATGTAGCCCTGGGACCGAAGACTCCAGAGAGAGTGTAGGCCGTGTAACAGATAAGCTGCAGATGTCAGACCTGCACCAGATTTGAGTAGACCTGAACCTGAGATCATATTATAGCTTCCCTGTGACAAAGTTAGCAAAAATGTGTGAAGTGAGAGCAGCCATAGCATCACACACCTGACGGAATGACAAAACGAGCGATGTAATATGTATGACAGACTGGACTGCAAAGGCCATCTTGTATGTTGACTTGATATATGGCACGTCGCTGTCATTGTAACGTTTCTTGACATGTTCCTCGCCAGAAGTCGAAGTAGTTTTACCGTCACCCTTGTGAAGACGCCGCTGTTTGTTAATGTAGCCAAGCACAAAGGTCGTCGTAGAGAACAGCGCCGGTAAAAGCTGGCCCAGCCACGCATTGTGGCTGCTTGAAGGCAAGCTCAACAAGACGGCACTTGGGGCAAGATAGCCCGCGATCAATGATGGGAACAACACCTCTGCGACATCGACGCTCAAACAACGATCGGCTGGATCCTGGTGAACCTCGAGGGCGCTGAGTGTAGTGTACGCGGGTGCGACTCGAGTGATACTCTGGGCTGCCAGACTGAATGTGGCTAGACTCGGGAGTGCCAGCAAGCTGCCTTGATTGCCTGCCCGGTGACCCTCAATAGTATAAATGAGGGCCGGAGAAATGAGCATTGCCAGAGAATAGAGCAGACTCTGAGTCGCGTTGAAGGACGGCTGGCTGATCATCCGACTCAGCCAAACACGTCCGCTCTGGGAATGTGCTGCGTTGAACAGCAGTCCTACTCCCGCCCCCAGCAAGCCACGGCCAACCCATTGTGTCGCGGCACCAAAGGATTTGGCTGGAAGCTCAACGTCGTACGGAACCATGTGAGGGCGTGGTTCTACTTGAGAATGTCTCAGTCGGATGCCGCCCTTGATCCTCGCGGACAGCATACGCATGCTGTTATCCTCGCCTGATAGCGGCGTAGCCACTCGCCATATGAAGTCGGAAAGAAGAGGGTTCTCGTATGCAAAAAGCGCTTGCATTTGGTGGGAAGTTGAAACTGTAAATTTCGCGCGCTCGAACCGTGCATCCTGAACTCGCTTGAACATGGCGCTGATTTCAGCAGTTGTCATGTTGCTTAGGCCAGCCTGGCGTTGTGCTTTCAGATCAAGCAGTTCGTTCAGAAGTTCAGCCGCGGTTTCGATGGCACCGTTACCGCCCATGCCGCCAATAGGGTTTGGCTTTCACAAGGCGTGTTAGCAATGCAACAGTCTGCTGGGAACAAAATAATTACCTTGTGTGCCGAATCGCCAACTAGCAGGATGCGGTCAAGAAACCACTTGTCAAAGACGACTTCATGTAGTGGTGTCAATGCTGAAGTCTCGCGTTTCGCATATACTTGCCCAAGCGTCAAGTCCTCCGTGATTGGGAGGTTTCCATGCTCTTTCATGAACTCGGCTTCGTCTTCTCGCGAGTATTTGGGGATATCTTTGCCGTACAAGGGTTCTGGAAACCGGACAAATAAGAACCAGTAACAGCGATTCTCGGGACCAGAGGCCACGAGAAAGGACTTTCCTCGGCCAAGAGTAAAGCACTGCTCGCCTGTAGGCCAGCCCTCCACGTCCTTGGCTATACCAAAACTGCATTTGTAGTAGCAAGGAACCTTGTCTTCTTCGTCAGCCTTGAAGTAGCCGGGTCTTGTGGCAGCAGCAATGCGGCGCATCTCCCGTCTGACAGAGCTGTGAATACCGTCCGCCCCTATCACAATATCACCAGTAAAAGTCTGGCCGCTCGCTGTGAGAACCTCGACACCAGTCTCGGTGGTCTTGATGGTCTTGACCCGCTGGTTGACAAGGATCCTATCTTTTTGTTCAACACAGTCGTAAAGAACCTTGAGGAGCCACTGTCTATCAAAGAATAGCATTGGGTAGCCATGCCTGCAATCAACCGTCAGTCGAGGGACCCGGATTCTGAGACAGGCGTTGCGTGTTTAATCACCTCTTTTCCAAGTGATCCACCATATAACTGGTGGTAGACAGGGATTTGCCATTGCTCGCGCGAATGTGTGACTTCTCGGTTTGGCCCTCTTGGGCGACAGCTTTGACAGCATCATAACAGCCAATTTGATCCAGTATGAGTAGTCCATTTGGGAAGAGGCCAATGCTAGCTCCGACGGGAGGGCTGATATCACCGTGAGACTCGAGAAGCACGTAGTCGATGTCGAACTTTTGCAGCATATTGGCCAGGGTAAGACCTGCGACGCCCCCACCAGCTATGACGACTCGAAAAGGCTTCTTGGACGACATTGCACTGAATATAAATGGGGTCTAGTTTTTATTGTTGTGTTTGTGTCGGTCTTGCTGTTGCTGAAATCAAGAGTTGCCATGAGTTGGCCAGCACATAATGACAAGGTCGCGCCGATCTCATATATATAACTGCAATTCATACTGGCAACCTGTTGTCTGCTTCGTGCATGGGCTATGCGATCGCGGCCGGGATTCGAGACTCTGGCTTCTCTTCAACCCCGATTGGTAATCGGGGTTGAGGTGTGTCGCGCTGCCGAATCCCCACAGTGGGCGTGAAGAATAGCCACGCAACCACGGTGCCATCCCTGACTCCCTTAATTTTTGTGGCGGTGATCGCTCTTCGTCCGTGGGCATATATGGGGCTGCCAAGGACCCGACTTATAGAAGCAACTTCCGTACAGTCAGCGGCCCCGGCGCGGTAAGGACCGATGTGCCGCTACAGAGGTCGCTACCAAAAGTCTTCAGCCGGCCCACTTTTTGGATTATAGACCCATATAAGTAGCTGCCAGCTGTCGGAGCATAAATCGAAAGGTTCCGTATTATATTAAAAGAATTATACGATTTAAAAATAATAAAAAAATATAAAAAAATATATAAATTTTTTCCTTAATTAAATAAAAATTTAATAAAAAGCTTTTAAAATTTAAAAATAAATAAAAATAAAAAATAACGATTTATGAATTATTAAAAAAATAGACTTTTCGATAAGTAAAATGGCCTTTAACTCCCAGCTGGGGAGCAGCTGTCAAAGCCGGTACGTACTCCCTCTCCAAAAAGTGGGCCGGCTGATCTCTTTTGGTAGCGACCTCTGTAGACTCGGATGCTCAATCAACTCGCACCACCGAACGTTGATATTTGACTGCCGATACTTGTATATCTTAGTCATAAAGCAATTGAGCAAGCGACTCAATCTTATTGGTCAGCGTATGCTTTCAGTGCACTTATAGTTCATATTTCCGGCAATGATTGATTACGTACGCTGGTGTCAGCGCAATCCCACCCAAGTGCTACCATCCAAGTCTACCTAAACGTAGTAGGTATCGCAAAGCGGGCGGCCTTGAGATCGCATGATTAAAGTCAGTCGCTCTGCCTTCACTGCCAAGACACGCTATATCTGGTGAGGGAAGGATCAATGTCTTGTGTTAAACGAGCACTTTAAATGTTTAGCAACAAATGCGCTGCATACTAATTGCGGGAGCTGTAGCGCATTGCATTCGCTTTCCGTCAGGACAGGATAAGGCAAAATCAATTCTGCCAGTATACCTTGTTGACTGACGCCGCTGCTTCCACGTAGCCTAGCTATAGTGCGGGATAGATCGCGTAGGGCGGGCGATTGGTGTTGAAAATTTACCATCATGAGCGTTGCTGGGGATAGGGGCCGAGTGTCTACTTCGTATGTGTCGCAGCCACTACAAAGGTCGCAACAAGACGTAGGTACATTGGAGTCCAGGGTCGCCCGGCGCCTGTCTAACCTGGAACACCAAGGCTACAAGGCTTGATTGGTTGCATCTCACTGGAAACGTTAATTTGGTGGCCAAGTACGATATGCAGTGTGCACTGGAATCTGCGCTAGAAAGCCTGCGTTTGCATGGAAGGTTCCCACTAACCTACTAACCTATGTAGGCTGTTAGCGGGTACTCAGCAGAACGGTACATAGTAGGTATGCTTCCCAGTATCCCTATATTAATGCCAGGTAATATAATCTCAGTGGAGAGAAATTTGTCTAGATATTACTATCCTTATTGGTTCGGAAAAAATCTCCGGAATCAATTGGACAGCACGAAAGAAACCTACTAGATACCTACTAGGTAGTGGTCCACGCGCGATTTGTCAAGCCTTCAGTCAATAAGCTGGTTCATACATATGTACAGTACATTGTGAGCTGTGGAGAGCAACCCACCAAATCCCTAACCTAGAATCATCAGGTAGCCTTGCCGCGACTCGATTTTTGATCAATGCATTGATTTTCTTTTGGTTGCTAAAAAAGCTCGACTATATACAAGTAGAAAAATTCATATATGACCTGAAGAATAAAATTTGGTACCAGCCATTCCAGCGTAACGAGCGTGTAACATCACCTTTCCATATATCTTTGCCAAAACTAACTGCAGTGAATTGGCAAAAGACATCGAACCGGTCTTGCTTGCTACCTAGGCAGCATCAGCCAAGAACTTGCCCGCGTCTGCCGCATTGACTCCGTAAGTGAGATGGGCCGGAGTAATGGTCAGCGTGTTGTCACAGACCAGGTCACCGAGGGCGCAGAAGACCTTGGTCTTTGAAGCATCAAAGCCGGGAATCTGGCCATTGTCCTGGGCGTTGCGAGTGAACCCAAAGAGCACTACACCCTTGACCTTGCTCTTGACATCGGCAGAGAGGGCTTGAACGGCATTGTCCATGACTGCAGTTCCTTGACTATTGATCAAAGTGAAATTTGTAAGCTTAAGCCATATGAAATCGTCTTCCCGGGACTTCTCCAACTCACCTGTACCCGCCGAGCAAGATGCTGGCATCGGGACATTGCGAAGCGGCTTGATTGATGAGCTTGACCGCACCGGCAATTGCCAAGTCATTGGTGTTCTTGGGCAAGAAATTGCTCGGGAGATCACCGGCGTAGCCATCCACAGTGCCAACGCCCTGGCAAATGGCATCGCCGCCAAGATTCAACTTCAAGGCAGAGCAAGTCTGCGGGCCACAAATCGTTCCCTGGAGATAATTAGCAGAGAACAATTCAGTGAATGTCTTGACTTGTCATACCATGTTGTCCGTTTCGGTCGAGCCGCGAGCGAAAATGAAGACGCTCCCAGCACATTGTCCGAGCTTGAGCTCATCAGAGTAAGCGAGCTGACGAGTGTCAAGCTGGTGAATCTGATCAACAGGAATGGCATTTGCCAAGCCCAGAATGGCAAAAACAGAGATGAAGGAAGTCTTCATTTTGGCGAAATCGCAGAATATACTCTGAAGAAAAGAGAATGTAGGCGCAGTTGGAAATCCAGTTCAAGCCGCTTGGTGATTGCAAGTTCTGATGATAATGAGCGGATCATCATGGTGCTTATATAGTCGTCGGACGAGTTCTGTGAATATCAAAATTTTTCATCGTAGACTGAAGATTTTCATTGCATTGTCTCAATTTTCATCGCATACTCACGGAGTGACATGTTCATCGCATAGTCCTTCAATGCCGTCTGATGCGGGGAATGGAGTCAGTCGCATCAATGTTTGAACAGTGCCCCCAAATATCCCCACCCGCAAACATTTCCCAAAACGTATATGTCCAAAACGTATTTACAACCAATTGTCGTTCGCATCGCAACACACTAGCTACTAGTCACCAAACCACGATCTGCGGAGGCCCTGCAGTGACTCCAAACTTGAGCCTCTCAACATTGACCTGCGATACCTTGGCGAAGTTCCGTAATCTCTTTTGGGCCTGCCTTGCGACCGCGGAGAGTATTTCGTCTCTTTACGAGAGCCGAGTACCTCGGCCCAGCCGGCGCAAAAAGGAGGCTATTTCTAATTATTTTGTGAGTATTTGTTAAAGAAGCAGGAAAAGTTGGTAGGTGGCTATGCACTTTTGCTACTATTATGCACCCCAGGTTTGGCATGCCCCCTCACCTTCTCCGACTGCCATGCAGATATTAGTCATGGTGCAGTGTTAGGTTTTCTGGGGTGCATGTAGCCCACTTGGATTATTCCATTTACAACTAGCATGTCATGTTGATGTTTACCTCCAGAGGAGTATTCGACGTATGCTAAACGAAGCGGCCACTACTCTGACTGCCCCTCAAACCACCTGCACTGATTGTATTTGTTCCTAGAAGTACAGGCCAATCGTTGAAGGCATAACATGATGCTGGTCACCTTGTTTGATTTCTAGGACAAGCAGAACGCTCCAGATCTTTCAGGCGAGTAACCTCGGTCAATAGAGAACAATCTACGAGTTTATGGAAAATCACATGTAATCTAGTTCATCATTGTATCGGGGGGAGAGCCATCGAGCAACAACATACTATACATCACTTTTGATAATCTTATTTCGACTCACTACTATCCATCACAATGCTGTGGATTTTATTGATAGGTCAGACGGTGCTGAAGAGGGCCCGGCTGTACATTGGCTAGACTAAGTCGGGACCCTTCCAAGCTCTCTGGTTTCTTCATGTATGCGGGCCCCATGTATGCCACTTCGTTGAGGTCTATTGTATGCTACACAGAGCTGACATATGTATGGAGAAGGTCTATCCATTTCAAGAAGGTCCCGTTGCTTGAAAGTCCCTACATGACGATCACACGGCAAGTTCGTACAGAGGAGATGGATCATGATGGCAAATCCACCCCCTCTTCCAGATTCTAGGCTAGCTTCTCTCAGGATTTCTCGCAACGTATCCTCGGTTATTGTGTTTGCGAGAACTTAAAAAAATTTGCAGCATTGATTGACAGCCATTGTCTCTGACTCAATGATGAGCTTAAGCCGTGTTGCATACCTAGTTTCAGTCTCCTCGGTTACAGGACATACGAAATCAGCAAAGACTACCCCTTTCCTTTGAAGATCCTATCTCAAAACAACCGAAAGTCAAATCAATGACTCACATATTTTTGGCCATATATCATACTCATGTTCAGGTCCCTACTATTACTATCAAGTTGCCAATTCCACGTAGATAGTAACCCCCCATCAGATCATCCATTCTGGCTCAAAACTTCAGCGCATCTCTCTTCTATCTTCCGACAAGATGAACCCAGACTCTTTCATAAGCGCCTTATTCCTTAACCATTAACACTCGTCACTTTATTTTCCTCCCGGCCATATATACTCTCACTGCTTTGCGTGCAGTATTGTAGTGGGACTGCAAGATCATCTTGTGCTGCCATACTGTGCGCTGTTTCGGTTTTACTTGGTTCTTGGTACGAGATGAGAGACATATAGCGCGGTAAGTAAAGGCAAAACATTCTGACCGTTTAACATAGGTCTAGGTAAACCTAGATGGGAAGTTACTGTTTATCTCTTGATTGCCAAGACTTCACTTTACGCATAAATGCTTGCATCAGGTATTTTACTGTGTTCGGTCCTAGTGATATCCATATTTACAAGATCTCTAGACTTGCATGATAGCTAATTTTCTGACTCCCCAGGTGGTCCACATAATAGTACTTCTACAACCTTGTCGATATTTCGTTCATAGCTGCAGCCTGTTTACTCATACCAGCAAGCAACAGCGCAAGATCTCTGCCTGCCATGGCGAATCTGAAAGGCGAATTGTCAGCCTCTTTGCACTCTTATTGCAGTTTCATAAGACCTGGAAACACTTTCCACATACCTTATTGATGCATGTCTCTTGACAAAAGTTTCTAGCAAGTCGGGACGCGGCTCTAAACCGCCGAGACCGACAAACACTTGGCGGCCGTCTGTGCTGGCCTTTTCCGCTGCGGCTGCTACTTTGGCGACCAAGGAGTGGAAAAGCTCGGAATCGTACTCGCCCGGAATACCAAATCTGATATTGTTAGTTCATTGAACCAGACTACATGGTGCTGAAGTGGAGATACATACTCCATGCAAAGATCAGCACAGCCGATGAGCAAGGCGTCGATTCCTGGAACGGCTGCAATCGCCCTATACAGATGTTAGCTGAGGATACAGGAAAAAGGGGGACATGGACTGAGCGAGTATCTGTTTGCATGGCGGTAGCTCAGACTTACTCGACATTCTCAATGCCTTCTGTTGTTTCAATCATGGGCATTATCATGACCTCATCATTGACAACCTCGCCAATGGCTGCATAGCTGAGATTTGTTGTATATTGGGTCATTGCCGTAACCATGGTCACGGAGCGATGTCCCTGAGTCTCGATGGTTAGAGCGTCTTACATGATAACAAAGCAGAGCTTTGGTGGAATAGCCTCCATTCTCCTTGGCACTTACGAGAGGTGGAAATTTGGATGCATTTACACACATGCGAGCCTGCTCAACATTGTTGACGTGTGGCACGATAATGGCCTGCGCTGCCGAGTCAAGGCACCGCGAGATCCATTCCGAGGAACAAGTGGGAACGACCACCATAGGTGTTATTCTACGCACATTGTATAGGTAAGCATCAGCAGATCTGTAGTCGATAAAGTGGGTCTTGTATGCCGAGGCGGATGCCGCCCGAACATTCCGGACAGCATATCTTGGTGCCCTCGGCCGAGATTCTTTTGTAAGATGGACGTTCCGGGATATGAGTTATAAGTGGTAAAAATGATTTGAACCGACTTACCCAACATTGAGGCAAGATACTGCCACGTCTTTCATGGTTTCAATACTCATGGCCATGTGCTCAAGGTTCATCAGGACCGCCGAGTATCCTGCACGCTTGGCTACGAGGGGCATTTCCGTGGAAAAGGCAATACGCATTCCAAACGAGTGTGCCAGCTTATTCTCACGCATCAGTTGCTTGACCAGGTTTGGCCGACATATCTCTCGAGCCAAAGCTAGCTGCTCGGGAGGCACTGCTGCTCGTTCGATTGGCTTGGTATTGGGCGACATGGTACCTGTCTAGAGTGACGTATTATTAGAAAGATAGAAGAATGGTGTTTTCCCTCTCAAAGGTGACGCAGTAGAAATTGCGCAGGTTCAAACCTCAACGCTTCTCTATTAGAACCCCCTCGTATAATCTTTATTTTAGAGCTTCAAGTCGGGGTGGAGCCGCCGTTAGGGTGAACCATATTGGCTATCAAATCTGGAGTGGATCGTGTCGGATGTGAAAAATAGTGCTTAAAGGGTACACCGTACCACTAATCGGTAAAAGCATAATTCTCCGGCTAATCCGGTACTATAAACTATGTATATAAGCCGCAGAAGGGGTACCCCCCTCTCTCCTATATTTAATGCTACCTAAGTCCCTATTAATTTCCTATATGGTAGCACCACCACTATTACGATTTAGAGAAAGTCCATATTTTATTCAGTTCAAATCAAATCAAGTCAAGCTAGCTAGGTCAGCCACTGCTATCGGGGGGCTTCACCAAACCAAAAGGTGCTCGCCAGCGAGCCCAACGCCAAAAAAAGCATCGTAAGCGTAGCTAACGCGTTATATATGCAGTAATTCGCGTTAGCGACGAAAAGTCAGCTAAAGGACGCAAAAAAGAACTAGAGCTTATTGCTATCCGGTGGTAGCGTTAAACGGCAACGGCAACGGCTGCATATGCCAATAAAGGGCGCTTAACGCCAGCACCAACGAAAGTCGTAGTGCTCCCAAAGAAGCAGCGCTAGCAATGTAATCTGCTAATAATAAAGGGCGCGGTGCTCCTAAAGCAGCGCCGGCAGTATAATCTGCCAATAATAAAGGGCGCGGTGCTCCTAAAGCAGCGCCGGCAGTGTAATCTGCCAATAAAAGGCGCGGTGCTCCCAAAGTAGCGCCGGTAGTATAATCTGCCAATAACAGAGGGCGCGGTGCTCCCAAAGCAGCGCCGGCAGTGGTCTGCCAATAAAGGGCGCAGTGCTCCCAAAGCAGCGCCGGCAATATAATCTGCCAACAACCGATAGCGCGGTATTTACGAAACAGCACCGGCCAGGCAATGCCAAAGGCAGCAGTGGGCTGCGTATACAATATATAGCATCGCGAACTAGGAGTTTAATACTAAAGGGCGCACGTTAAGCTGCTATTTTAGGGATCAAGCCTATACGTAACAACGATACAGATCCAGTCGTACGGTATAAAGGGCGTATCGGATATAAAAAATAGTGCTTAAAGGGTACACCGTACCACTAATCGGTAAAAGCATAATTCTCCGGCTGATCCGGTACTGTAAACTATGTATATAAGCCGCAGAGGGGGTACCCCCCTCTCTCCCATATCTAATGCTACCTAAGTCCCCATCAATTTCCCACAGATCGCGTGTTACCGTACCAGCTAATCAGCGCGCAGCCCCGATGTCCGAAGCGGCATGCTTATCAGCGCATCATCGGCGCCGAGCCCGAAAGGCCTATGCCTAACGTTTTATGCATACGGCTATGCGAGGCCGATGGGGAGATACCTGAATCCATGTCGGATGATGCGCGCCGGTTCATTGGGTACTACCCCGGGCTCAATGTCCCGTATCTTATCGATAGGTTTGAGAGGGTGCTGTGATCCAAAGGAGGACAAGAAGTATTGATACGCTGTCGAATCCAGTGCTGCTGAAGCTGACAAAAATCTGTTCATCATACTGTCAATTTGTTTCTGCAACAACTGATAGGGTCGCAATAATGTCAACAAAGGAGGCAGAAGCTCATAAATCAGGGGTAGCAGATTTAGATCTGGAGTACACACCACCAGAGAAATTATCGCTGGGAAAAAAGATTTTGTACCACCTTTGGGATGCCGACCAACACTTGAAGAGCCCGCAGGTGTGTCATGTTCAAAGCTCAACAAGTCTACTTGAACTCATGACAATTAGGAACGGGCGCTCGTCAGGAAGCTTGATTTTGGCATTCTCATATGCGCGACCTTGGGATGGGTAAGTGTACTTCTGGTACCCTTGGAAAATGAGCAAAGCTGAGCCAGATATTTTCAGTGGATGAAATACATTGATCAGTCGAACATTGCCAACGCATGTGAGTAATCAACTCCGGGGAACCCATTTCGGAGCTTCATGACTAACATGATACAAGACGTGTCGGGCATGAAAGAGGACTTGAATATCGAGGCAAATGAGTACACATACATGCTGAGTTCGTATCCATCACTTACCGTCGCGCCATAATCTCAATCACTGATAAGATTGTAGTGTGCTACACCATTAGCTTTGCTATAGTCCAAGTACCAGCCAATGCGATTGCACTCAAAATCCGACCACGCATCTGCTTGGTAGTGTGCGAGATTGGATGGACCATCTTCACGTAAGGTTTTACAATTACATTGCTCTAATGCAGTGCTGCATCTCGAAAGCATCAACTAACGACTTTTTAATGATGTAGATTTGCTCAGGCCGCTGCTAGAAATAGCAATGATATGTACGCATTTCGCTTCATGGTCGGCCTATTCGAGTCAGCCTTCAGTCCCATCATCATCTTCCTGCTTGGTTCATGGTACAACAAGTCAGAATTGGCGAAAAGAGTAGCAATCTGGCACATCACTGGTTTCTTCGGTTCCGCGACTTCCGGGTTCCTCGCAGCAGGTATTCATGCATCCCTCGACGGCCATTTGGGACTAGCTGGCTGGAGATGGCTCTACATCAGTGAGTGTTTCTCTATGGCACTTGAACACACGGCTTTATTAATCAACATGTAGTCTGTGGTTGCATGTCACTGCCAGTAGCTGTCTCGGTCTGGTTCCTGCTCCCAGACTACCCACACAATACAACGGCGTGGTATATCACGGAGGAAGACAGGGAGATTGCCATGCGTCGATCTGCCTATGCTGGCAAAACAGACGTCACCGGCAAGATGGACCTGGCGCTCGTCAAGCGCATGTTTGGCAACTGGCGTTGGTGGACCTTGTGCTTGATGTACATCTTCTACGGCAACAGCTGTCAGGCCAACCAATACTTCTCCGTGTACCTCAAGTCGGCCGGATATTCCGTCGCACTTCGCAATGTCATTCCTGCCTGCGCGAACTTGGTCTCCATGGTTACGGATTTCTTTTATGGCATGATGTCTGATATGTTTGCGAATCGTGCCTATTGGATGATGGGTCCGCTGGTATGTTCTTGCAGAAACTGGTAAAAGCTGTCCTAAAATTGTGCATCACTGACCTTATCTGTCACAGCTGTGTACAACCGCTATTGGATCCGCCATCTTGACGGCTTGGCCAGAGTCTGATGCACCCAAAATCGCTGCTTTCTTCCTGTGCGCAGGAGGTTATGTTACAGCTGTCGCATGGGTAATGTTCCAACCCTTATGGATCTGCCGGGGTAAAAGCTAACCAGGAGACAGACTTGGGCTAATGAGATTAACAATGGAAATGCGGAAGAGCGAGCATTGACTATTTCAAGCATGAACGGCTTGTTTTATGCTACAAGTGAGTGGCGTCGCTCCCTAAATTATCAGTCAACAATTATCTCATCGCTAACATATATGCAGACTCGTTTCTTCCTATTCTCATCTTCCCGCAAACAACTGCGCCGCGTTACGAGAAGGGATTCCCGTCAATCCTGGCATTTGCTTTGATTGCTGTCGTCCTGATCTGTAAGTCACGAACCTCCTCAACAATACTATATGCGTAGTGAATTAATCATGTCCCTCTACAGATTTGACCGACTTCCTCCACAAGCGTCAGTTGAAGCAAGAGCAAGTGTTGCAAGCTGACGTGCCTCGATCTGAAGTCTCTAAAATAGGCGAGTGTGATAATAAGGAAAAAGCCGAAAAGCAGCTGGTGTTGAACAGTCAGGTAGCTGCAGAGTAAACAGGGGGTCGATGCATATATATTAATATAATTTGATAATCTATATAAAGGGCTATTTTTAAAAGGTTTTATAGTACTCCTATTATGCAAGGTTTTTATTAGCTGCGTAGCAGCTAATATTTTCCCGTAATATTATAATTTAATATATCCTTTTAGCATAAATTTAATTATGCTAGATTATTTTATTATAATATATTCCGGGGAAATGGAAAGCTTTTTCGGCATTAAAACCATTTTTTTAAATACCTTTAGTTTTTTCCTAATTAGGTAGCAAATAGGCCGTAATTCCTTTAAGCTCCGTAAAATAATTTAAAATATAAACGCTACGCCTGCTATTATTTCCGTTTTAGGCTTATAGCCGGGTTGTAAAATAAAATAATTAGCTAAAAAATAAAATAATTATTTAGCGTTATAAAATAATTATTTAATAGCTAATAATTATAAATATAAATAACTTTTTAAATTCCGGATTTTCCGTTTTTTTTTTTATTAATTTTCCCGAATCGTAAATTTACCTTTTTATTGCTATTTATTATTATAATATTATTTTTATAATACTTTTATTATTAATATTATTAATTTTATTAATTTTAGCTTTACCGCTAATTTTTTATTATATTTATTTTTTATTTTTTTAGGTCCCCGCGAAATAAGCGCGATTTTATAATATTATTAATATATATCTTTTTTTAGATTTTTATTTAAATATTTCGGTATTTTTTTTTTAATTATATTTTCGGTAAATTTTTATATAATAAATGCTTTATAAATAAATAGCTAATAAGTATTTATAATTTAATTTTTAACGCGTTTTCTTGTTACCGCTATAATACCGGCCTTTTTTAATAACGGTAAAAAATTTTTTATAAATTTTTTTTTTAGGTAAATTATTAATAATTCGAAGCTAATTCGCTATAGCCTAAAGGATTTTTTATTGCCGCTATTTTTATTATATAAAGGATTAGAAGCTTTTTAAAATTTAGCTTTATTATTACGATTTTAAAAATAAATATTTTCGAATTATTTTCGATATATCGGCGGTATATCCGCGAATTATTAGCTAATCCGAATTTTAGCCGAAAACTCCGATAAATGCGAAAATTACTAAATTTTTAAAAAGGCTTATATTTAGGTTTATAATAGTTATAATTTTATTTTAAATTAGCTATTAATTTTTTATAACCCGCCCGTACCGTAAAAATTGCTAAAGCCCGTTTTATAAATATATATAAATATTTTTTTAGCAAAATATTTATAAATTTTAAAATTTTTTATATTTATAAATTATTTTTTAATTATTTATAATTTAAAAATATGTTCCGTAATATTTAAAATTAGCTAAAACGCGCTATATAGCAAAAAAAAAATCGTAAAAATTTTTTTATTTATAAAATCGTTAAATTCGACGAATTAAATCGCTAAACGGCCGTTATTATTTTGCTAATAGCTTACGAAATTTAAGCTAATTATATTAATTATTTCGCTTTAAAAATTCGCTTTTTCCGTAAAGCTATAAAGGCTTTAAATAAGCTTTACCGCTTTATTTTTAATAATTTTACCGGCTTTTTTAACGAATTTTAGGAATTTTATATTTCGTATTAAAAAATAATAAATAATTTTTTTTAATATAGCTTCGATTTTATTTCAAATTATTTACTAATTACCTATTAAAACTAAAATATTTTAACCGTAGATTTTAATAAGGAAAATAATAAAAATAATAATTTTTTTAAAAAACTTAAATTTTTACCCCTAATTTTAAACGTTAAATAAAAAATGCTTCGCTAATAGGTCGCCGTTGCGTCGCCGGGCTTTCGCGGTTCGTAAATATATATTTATTTAATTTTTATTATTATATTACTAATATATATCGCAGGGGGTTTAGCTTTTAAAAAATATAAAATATTCCCGAAAATTTTTAAAAAATGCTTATTAATAAATTATTTATAATGCCTTTAATATATTTTTATAATTTTAAAACTTAAAATTTCGCTAAATTTTTATAATTTTTATAATAATTTATATTAATATTTTGCTTATTTTTAAATATTAGCGTAATAATTAAAAATAACTAATTTAAATTTATTAATATAAATAATCCTAATAAGGTCGCTAGTTTTTTTAGGTATTGCTATCGTAAAAAACTTAGGTTTTTACGGCTTTCCCGATTTTTTAATATAAATTATTTTTTTTATAAAATTATTAATAAATATCGGCTAAGGCATTTCCCGTCCGCCGTTAGCAATTAAAACTATAATATTTATAAAATTAATTAGGCCTTTAAATTATTCGAATTTCTGCTTAGGCAAGGCTTTTATAAGCCTATTAGCTATTATTTAACTAATTTTTATTTAATAAATTTTTATATAGCCTTATTAAATTTTTTGCTTTAGCTAATAAATATAAATATTTATATATTTAAATTTTATTTATAATTTCGTAGCTTTTTCGATAAAAAGTCGAATAATTTATTTATTATTATAAGCAATAATAAGTTATTTATTAAATTTTAAGCCTAAGGATTTTATTAGCCTAAAAAAATAAATATTTTTTTTTACCGTTTATAATAAAGCTAAAAATTCGGCTTTAATAAATAAAATAATTATAATATTTTATTTATTAGCTCGCTATACGATCGGCTTTCTAAATAAAATTATTATATAGCCTTAATTGCTTTTTTTATTTAAAATATTATTTATAAATAAAATATCGTTTACGTAAATAAATGCCTTCGTTTCGTTTTTTAAAGACTTATATTAAATATTTAGCTATTTTATCGAATATAAATAGCTAATTATTTAATCCGTAGCTTAGTAATATTATAGCGATAAGTTTAAATTAAATTTAAAAAATTTAACTATTGCGAATACTATATCCGGCCGAATTAAAATAGCTATATATAAAATCGACCTAATTTTAAATTAATATAATAATTAAAATTTTATATCGGCTTTATTTTTAAATAAAAATAATTTTTTAAATATCGGAATATCCGTTTATTTTAATTTTTTATTAAATTTAAAATTTGCTATAATTTTTTCGATATATAATTTTTATAAAAACTATAGCTTTTTCGCTGCTTAATCGTAAAAGATATTTATATTTAAGAATTATTTTAGTTTTCCTTTTTTTTTAATTTAAATTTTAAATAAAAAGCAGCTTTAATATTATTAAATTTTTATTAATACGTTTATTAATAGCAAAAAATTATATTATTTACGTAAAAAAAAGCAATAATACCTTTTTTTATTATAATATATAGCTTTTATAAAATTTTTATAAAACCGAGGTTTGCTAATGCTTTAATAAACGTTTATTATTATATAAATAGGGATTTCTAAAGGCTATATAAGGCTTTTTTTAAACGTAATACCTTTTTAAATTATTCGAATTTAAAAGGAAATTTTATATATATTTCCTTATTAATATCCGCTTATACGAACGTATTTATTACGTTTATTTAATATATTTTTAAATTAAATTAAGCCGTTATTATTAATAATATTTATAATAATATAATTGCGAGGGTCGTAATACGTATCGATAAATCGCTAATATATTATTAATTTTTATATATTATAAGCCTGGCTTTTGGTTTAATAAAAATTTTATTATCGTTTTTATAAGTAAATATTTATATATTATAAATTACTTAATGCTTTATAGCTATTCGTTTTGGGTATTTTAATTATAATTTAAATTTTTTTATATATTAGCGTATATAATCGTTTATAATTTGCTAAAAAGTATTTTTAAATAAATATTGCTTTAAGTTTTTATAAATTTTCGGTAATTTTAAAATATCCGTAATTCGTAGGTTCGGTTTATTTTTAGCTTTTTTAAAAAAAAGCCTTTTGCTAGGCTATTGCGATTTTTTTTTTCCTAAAATCGAAAAATTTATTCGTATATTATTATTATATTTTATTTAAAATTGCTAAATTAATGTTATTATTTTCCGGTTTAAATAAAAATATATTTAATAATATTATTAAAAAGATAATTTCGAGTTTTTTTATCTTTTTATTTTTAATCGGGCTTAAAAATATATTAAAATTAATTAAATTTAAATTACCGGGCTTTAATAGCGTAATTAAAAATATTTAATATTATTAATTAATTTTAGGAATATTATTATTAGTTTTTTTTAGTTTTTTAATTATATTTTTTTCGGTAAAATCGCTAATAATTAAACGCTATACCGCTTTTAAGTCTGTTTATTTTTTAATTTCCTTTATATTAATTGCCTTTTAGTTTTATATTTTTACGAATTTTAGAAATTCGTTAAGCTTGGCTTTTAAAAATTCCCCGGGATTTAATAGATTTTTCCGGTAAATTTATAATTTATCGAAAATTACGTTTTTAACCCGGAATATTTTTTTTTCGCTAATACCTAAATAAAATATATATTTAAAATATTATATCTTATTAAATACTTAATATATATTTTAAATAATAATTTATTTTGCTTATTTAGCATATTAGTGTTTTTTTTTATAACGAAATATTTATATTTATATTTCCGAAAATAAATAATTTAAGGTAATTTTAATCTGGAGATTTTATTTTCCTAAATACGTTACCGTAATATTTTAATTAAAATTATTTTTCGCGGCTTTTTTTTAATATCGTATAATTTCGGCGTTTAATTATATAAATACGTCGTAATAGCTATAATATATTTTTATAACCGGAATAATAAATTTCCGGAAAATTATATCGCGCGTATTTTGCGTATAATTATATTATTTACCCGTTTTATTTTATAATTTTAATTTAAATTTTTTAAGGTAAACGGTTCGAATTTAATATTTTATTAGCGGTATTAATCGATTATTTTTAAGCGGTTTATTTTGCTATTTAAATAAATAAATTTAATTTTTTTTATAAATAATAATTTAATTAATTATATTTATAAATAATAAAAAATTTTCGTTTTCGCTTCGAATTACCGCTATTAACGCTATTACGTAACTAATAATTTTATCGATAATAAATATTATTCGTTTAATTAGGAAATCTTTTTTATAATCCCTTTAGCTTTTAAATAAGTTTTCCTAATCGATATATAATTTCGAAAAAAATACTAGCTATTTATTAGGTACCGCCTATCGAAAAATTATTTTTAAAATTTTTGCTATTTTATATATATTATATTTATATATTACCGGTTTTTTTAGGCGGAATTTTAGCGACGCTAAAATAAAGTTAGCTAAAGCCTTTTAGGAGGGGTATTTTATTTTTTTATGTTAAATCCTTATAATACCGCTTAATAAAAATTTCGGATTTCCCGAAAAACGGCTTTTAATCCTTTTTTCCGGATTATATAAAATTTTATTAATAATAATAAACGCCTTATTTTTTTAATTTAATATTATATAAATATTTAACGGCTTATATTTTAATACGTTAAAGCCGTAAATTATTTATATTTAAACTACCGGCTTTAATTCGTTATAAAATTAAATAAATTTATCGTTTCGGTTATTATAACAAAAACCTTATTTTTTTCGAAGCTTCGGTAGCGATATTAAGCTAAAATAAAAATTTAATATATAAGCTATATTAATTAGTCATATATTACCCTTTTTCGCTTATTTATATATAAAGCCGTTTTTCGTTTTTTAATATTATATTAATATATTTATTTTAATATTAATTATATTTTATTTATTAATTAAAACCCTAATATTCCTTATAAAAATATATTGCGAATTTGCCGTAATTTTAAAATTAATAAATTTATAAAAATTATTATATATATAAAAAATAGCCTTTATATTAGCGATAAACGAATTTTTTAAAAAATAATTAAGTATATTAATTATATTTATAAAGCTATATTGCGTTTTTAATTTTATTTAATTATACCTTTTAAGCTCCTTTTTTATTTTAAATATATTATCGGACCACTTTTTTACGTAATTTTATTCGAACGGATTTTTTGCCGTTTTTTCGCATAAAGCCTAAATTTTTATTATATTAGCCCGAAATTTTTTTTTTTTATATTCCGGTTAAAAATTTTTTATTTTTTTAAATTAAAAACTTTACGGTTATTCCGGATAAGGAAATAATTGCGTTAATAATACCTAATTGCCTTATAGGCAACGCATTAAAAATTATTTCGGGAAGGTTTTTTATATTTATTTTTTTTAGGTTTTAGTTTAGGCTTAAATTTCGATTTTAATTCTTTTTCCGTTTTCGGCTTTTTAATTAATAATAAATCGTTTTAATTCTTTTAATCCGAATTTCGTTAATTAAAAATTACTAAATTTGCTAAATAATAATCGGCTATAGCGATTAATCGAATATTTTTCCGTTTCGTAGGTTTTGCTTTATTTTATATTATATAGTTTTATTTTTTATATTTTTTTTATAAATCGTTTATAGCTTTATAATAAAATTACGTCGATTTTAATATAATTTGCTTTATATAAGCCTTTTATATCATTTACGGAATAGGCGTAGCTTATTTTAGGCCGAATTTAGCCTTTTAATTTATTAATTTAGTCGAAAATATTTTTTTAAAATTTAAAATATATTAAATAAATTTTATCCTTTAGGTTTAAAATCCGTAAATAGGCTATTTTTTAAAAACCTTTTTTTTATAAATTTTTTATATATATTTTTAACGATTCGTTTATTTTTATTTTTAATAAATTAAAACGCCGCTTATAATGCTAATATTTAGCTATATAATAATTTTTTTTTATTAATATAATATAAAAATATAATATTATAATTTATCGGATATACGCGCAAGCTTTTTTAATAGCTATTTTTTTATTATTATATATAATAAAAATAGCGTTAAAAATTAATATTTAGGTTTAATTTAGGTTTCCGCCGTTCGGTCCTTAGGAAATCGTAAATTAAAAAATTAGTTATTTTTAATTATCGGGATTTAATAACTTTTAGGCTAATAGCGTTATAAATTAACGCAATTAGGCCTTTTATTTATAATATTAATTTCGGGAAAAAAATATAACGTTCGCCTTAAAAAAGGTCGCTATTTAATTGCCGGTAAATTATTATAAACTCCTAATTTGCTTTTTTTTTTATAATTAAAAAGTTATAATATTTTCCCTTTTTATATTAATCTAAAATTTTATTAAAATATTAATGCAAACCGGGCTTATAATTATTAAATAATTAGATAGCTGCAGAATAAATAGGGGGTCGATGTATATATATTAATATAATTTAATAATTTATATAAAGGGCTATTTCTAAAAGGTTTTATAGTATTCCTATTATGCAAGGTTTTTATTAGCTGCGTGGCAGCTGGTACTTCCCCGTAGTGCCATAGTTCAATAGCTGGCTAGCTCGGTGGCGCCTGTGCAGGGCTCAGTGGCTATTATGTAATTTAGGTGAAGCCAAGGCAACGAAGTAGACATAAATAATTTCATGGCAGATGAAGTAGAGGACGAGATGAGATTGCAATTGGCCGGAAACGTTTACTATAATTTTGGCATTTTCCTATACAAGATGTTTCCTTTTTTGGCACCTCATGGGGAGTTGACCGGATTTCACGTACAAACGCACAGACAAACAGAGCAATGCCACCATTTGCCGGAGTCAGAATGAATTGGCGAAACAACTAGCTACAATGTAAAAAGTCGTGCCTTTGGGTTCTTCTTTGTGCAGTTTTTCGGCGATGATGGGGGCTAACAATCGTTACTAAAACTTGATTACACTGCAATTTTACCTCTCGCAAAGGGTCGCTCGACCAGCCCTATACAATGTAGAATTGAGAAGCCCAACCAACAGGACCGTATTTTTTTTACCTTAGATGGGGCCTCTCAATTGGCTCGGCTGGCGGTATGCATAATAGCGGGCCGCTTTCTGAGACACGCACACACACCAGATTTCACTGCAATTTTAACCCTCACAAAGGGTTGCTAGACCATGTAGTATGTACATATGAAGCTCCTTTGGGGGCATTGCAGCTACTGGCGCTAGTTCCAATGTTGATGCCCGCAGCCCCGCCAACTTACTATTTCTCCATGTCACTTGTGCTCCCACCACTAAGGCTCTAAAGCGCTTCACTGAGCAACGACGACTTCGCTCAGAGCAGGCGCAATATCTGCTGCTACTCTTTATTGGCTCTCACAATTGGAAGGAGCACATGCGATTGATGCCTTGGGGCCATGGTGCGCTAGTACTGGATTTAGACATGACATGTGCTGAGCAGCATGACTTTTCGCGTCTTCTTTGTCAAGAACAGCGTTCTGGTCTCTCCGCGCTTTTGCTAGCTGTCATGTGCACCATCTTGACTTTGCTATAGGGACGCACGTTTTGCCCTTCGCCATATTTCCTGATCAATATTTCATACCCAACTCTCAAGTTTGCAATGATTTTGTTCTTCATACGCGCAAGCACATGCAATGGGATGATTGTTGTCTTTTAAGAAATTTTCTCTATTGCTGATATATAAATGTTCTTTGACATTTGCCCCGCCGATGTATTACTTGGAATGGAAGAAATCGTGGTCTCTGGATTGCCTTCCTCTTGTAGCTGTAGCGATTGGGCCCGGAAGCGCTGTCGTAATTGCCTGGAATTGGAGAAAAGAGATTTATATACGTGCAAGTCAACATAAAGTGTTTCGCCTGTCCGGGACCAGAAAAAGTGTATTTTCAGATCAAGTCGCTTGCATGTTGACAAATTTCAAAGACTTTCTCGTTCAATTCTGTAGTTTGATCAGATTATATAGCAATAAATTTTATTCCACTAACAACGTGAAAGATACTATCTACTCAAAGAATGATCGAGGAATATACTGAGGCATGGAGTCTTCCCACATGCTGTCCGTCAGTGCCGTCTTGTTCGATCCATCCGCATTCATGATGATGATCTGGCCATAGGGCTGAAATGTATTGTCATACAAAGGACTTTCATCGCGGAAGCCGTGCATGCCGCTGTTGTACATGATGCGGCCGTCCGGCGCCCAGACAGCATGGGCGTCATTAGCATGCGACTCGGTAAGAATCTTGAGATCCGTCCCATCTGGCTTGATCGTGGCGATGTCGTAACGATCATCGTACCATCGGTTGCCGTAATCTTGGGTCCAATTGGTCTGGCGAGCAAACACTATGAGTTCACCATCAGGCGACCAGCCCGGAGTGTTATCCCAGCCGTTGGTGATTTGCGTCGTGTTGCCCGTCTCCATGTCCATGACATGCAAACCGAGAGGCCCATTCTCACCATCCCAGAGCCGGAAAACGAGTTTTGTGCCATCTGGAGAAAAGGAAGGGAAACCGGCATTAAAAGTGCCGTCGGTAATGTTTTCGTAGGAAGAACCGTCGGCTTGAAACAGGTACAGTGCGCCGGGGCTGGACGCGCGACCGGCAAACCAGGTGCCATACCCTACCGCCAGTTGCGATCCGTCGCTGCTCCAACTAGGCTGGAATGCACCGCCCGTACCGAAACCCGTGCTCACTCCACCGACGATGTGTACGTCAAAGGCGGTCACGAGGTCACTATAGTCAGCATCGGTAATGACGACCGACGACGACGCATTGAGCAGTTGCTTCTGGGTAGTAGCCAGGCGTTGGGTGGCATTGTTCCATTGCGGAAAGACGTCCATGAAACGGTATTCGTATTCGTGATCCCAGCTGAAAAGGGGCTTTTCTGCTGGGCGCTGAGTCCAGTCGTAGACTTCGTATACAACCTTGGAGCCATCTGGCGACCAAGTGGGGTTGCGTAGTGTGCCATTGAAGAAGGCATGTGTGGCATCAGACGTGGTATAGTTGACTCCAGGCTGCTGGCCAGACTTTACATTATAACCAACAGTGGTGCTGTTGCCAATAAAGTATCCTGCAACGACCAAGGAGTTGCCGAATGTGTGCTGGGTGACATCACTCCCAGTTGCCACATCGACACTGAATAGCTGCGAGACAACGCCCGTGTTTCCACCGCGCGAGATGCCGTGCGCATTGTAGGTATCTTCAGTAGTCAAGTTATAGTAGATCAGTCGGTTTCCATCTGGCGACCATTGGGGGCTACCAAGACAATAGCCAGGCTGTCCAACAACCTTGCGAAAGTCGGTTCCATTCGGCCTCACGACATAGAGGGACAAGGTCTGGGTGTGTTCCCAACCAACACCATCGCTATGGCCCGTCCAATCCGTGTTGACGTCGGAGCTCAGGGCAATCCACTCGCCATCCGGTGACCAGGAGGGCCGGAAGAAGCCATGGGGGCTGGCAAAGTCACCAATCGTCTCATCGCTGCCAGTCACGTTGACTGACGTACCCGTGGACAGGTTCAGCACAAAGACATTGGCAGTCGAGTTAATGGCGGTAGAGACATATGCGAGCTTTGTGCCATCGGGCGACAAAGCTCCCGCATCTTCAAACGAGTCGCCGGCAACGAGAGTTTCTAGGCCAGTGCCGTCTGACTTGACGCGATACACATCGGACTGGCCATCGGCTCGACGTTCACTGCTAAAGACAATCCACTCGCCGTCGGCCGACCAGGTAGCATGAAAGTCGAATGGGGCAGACTGATCACCCAATAACTTGGCGGCATCGGTGCCGTCCGCATTGGCAATCCACAATTCCGAGCCAGAAGGACCGATGCGGTTCATGTACATGACCCCGAGCTTGTCGGCAGGCGGCGGAGTTCGCTTGATCTTCTTGTCGGTTGTGCTGGCCCCATTGATAGCATCTTTGGAGAGTTTGGCAGCGTAGGGGCAATCACGCTGGGCAGCCTTTTGCTCGGCGTAGGGACATGTCGCTGCCAAACCAGTGCCGGCGGCGAAGCCAGCCACAAGAATGGTGAGGAATCGCATTTTCACCAATGTTGCCTCTCCAATTGAGTTGGAGTATGCTTTGGGAAATTCTCAGACTGCTGGAGGCTCATGATGTTGTGTAACTGTGTGTGAATAGTGTTATATTTAACCATAATCTATATCTCCGAATCCGACTACGTCCGAACGAGAGATGTGCCAAGATTTATCGTTATATTCTATACTAGCCCAAGCTAGTTTTCGGAGAGGAAGGTAGCAGCAAGCCAAGAGTTTTAGCACCCTGGTATAGCCAACGGCTTCGGCAGTGCAACTGCTTGGGGGTGGGTCCATTGAGATTGTAAATCCGAACATGTTTGTGGCGAGCGAGTGAAACTAGCCCAATTGAAAAGCTGGAGATGATTGCCCCGGATATCATGTCAGTGCGCGGAAGAATCTATCCTAATCAACAATGCTGGTACCTCGCGGAGACAGTCAACGGGTAATTAAATGAAACAATCCGAGTTCCGATTCATACTCCACACGTGGACCTATGAACGAAATGTTGTGAATCTCCTTTGGCTACTCCAGCCACTTTTAGGTAATCGAGTTACTTTGCTTTCAATAAGGAGACGTCCAGTATAGATCGTTTCAGAAGCCGACAGGTTCGTCCAAAGTTCAAAGTCACTAGCACGTAGGGGGCGGACGGTAGCACTGATCCCTGATCACGGCGCGGACCCTAGACCGGGGAGCTAACGGGATCATATCTGTTCATGCATAAACGAAAAGAAATAACAAATTGACTGCAATACCTAGTATTTCGATGCTCCAATTAGGTATGGTGTCAGATCAAACAGTACAATCCCAGCTGGCCAAGTCGTCGGCTTTCCGAGATACTTTCGCAATACCGACGAGTGTAACTAAATTGCTGGATGCGGCTAGTTGGCGCGTGGGGGGAGTAGCCCGCATACTTGAATAAGCTGATCTCTAAAGCGTGCACTTATTCCAAATCTGGTCAAGTTGGATATTATGGTATATATTATTGATGGTTGTTTACTTGTTTTATCATTTCATCAGTCTCAACCAAAAGATTTGAAATGAACGAAAATAGCATCTATACGTATGTAAGTAAAGGGTAAGGAACCCAGGGGCCAGAAGGCGTCCTGCTCCCCTTTATATAACCTTGGCTAGCCCTAGCGGCCGTCTGCACCGAAAACAAAACCCCTTCTACTCTCTCCAGTACATCATACCCGGCCCGGGAGAGATGATTCAACTCTGTCTGGCCGTGGAGTCATAGTCCAATCTGGACCAAGCACCATTCTTCCCAGATCAGAAGTGCACCAGACCACGTCAAAAAGCATAGATTTCCTCGTCCATCGCATGTACACAAAAATGGCCTGAAAATTGGAAATCTTTTCAAGATGTCTAATCAATCGGCTATATGTAGATAGAATTATACGGTCAATTTCCTGACTTGGACCGATGGCCCAGGAAGAGCGCTAAATGGAGCGCTGCAATCAGGATTGGAGGGGAAAGCTCCCACTATATTTACACTACTACGATACCTAATAGTGCGGGCCGCGTCCAGCCGCGCCATTCCAACAAACCTCCCGAAGCGTTCCAAGCTCATGCGGCGCCAATATATTGAAAGGCAGTGCTCTGAGCAGGGTGTGCTCAATCAAGCCTTCTTCACAAGCACGCCCTGAATTCTAGGCAAGCAACTAACCAGATCCTCGGGTGCCTCAATCTCATCCGGATTCTCCCATTCTCCAGCGTCAAGAATGTCGGCCAACACATCCCGGTTCAGTCGACAACCGACAAAGGTACTCCAGCCAGGATTGAGGATAGCTACATATGTGCACATGTTAGCTCAGGCAAACACAGCCCTCTTTGCTTGCTTCATTACAGTGAATAGGTTCGTACCTTGCTCAGCCATGGTAAGGCGACTCTTGCTCCATCCGTGTTCCCAAAAGATAAACTTTCCGCCGGGTTTGAGGAGCTTCCACACCTCCTTCATGACCGACTTGGGATCCTGCACGGCACACAGGACCTGGATGGACAAGACGCTGTCCAAGCTGCCCTCACTGATTCCCACGCTCCTCAATTTGTCACTGTCCTCAATGTTTGCAGCTACAAGCTTGTACTTGTCACGGATATTATGCTTGTCCAACTTGGCATTGATCTCGTTCTCATAACATAGGTTGGGCTCGACACCTGCAAAGATTCACATGTCAGCACATTTGTCGTAATGAAAAAGGTAGGATTAGGACAGTGTGGAAAAGTTTGCGGGAGAGAAATGATTGGCACTCTTGGTCATCCTCACCATAGACATAACTGACGCGCGACATGTCAAAACGATGCAGCTGATTGCCCGACCCGGGACCTAGCTCGAGGACCACGCCACTCGCGGCTTGTACGAGCGAAGGGACAACAGTGGTATCCTCGAACGCGATGAAGCCACTAGCTACACATTATCCGTCAGTTCAATCCCGCCGACAGCAATGGGCCTAATGACAAATGAGGGCAATCGGGATTACAGGTTGTGCAGAACAGCTTGGCCATGGCGGCATCGCGGATTTGTTGCACGTGCAAAAGTGCACCGAGACCGTCTTGACGAAGAGCATCTTTAAGAGCTTCCCAATGTACTGCAAAGAAGACGATTTAGTAGAGCTGTTACCATTATGGATTGGATATACATACGCCCAATTGAGAACCAAATCATTCCACATATACGGGAAAAGGCAGCAAGCCGGGGACTCTGAGCCATGATTGTCTATATGCGACAGTACCGGATATAGAAAGAACAATTGATGTTTCTAGATGAGTAAGTGGGATACTAGAATAAGCTGGCAAAAGGTAGAATAAAATAATACTTGTCACTATTACAAGTTGTAGCGAATTTTGTTGTCGGATATATGAGATATAGGTACGGATCGGACACAACTGATCAGGGCTTTGTGTAAATAGAAGAAAAGAAATATTGGCATGGTAAGCGGCCGGTCGATATTGGGTAGTAGGCCACTGATCCGACCGGTGCGCTCCGGCGCCAAGCCCAGGTAATCGGTCGCTTAGGTGCTTGGATATCGAGCTATGGCTGTGCCACAATTGCTGCAGAGTCGGGGTGCCCTAGATAAGTCAGCATGCCATTGGCGCGAACAAGGGTAACTCCATGCGTGATACCCCTCACATTAGGGCAGACACTGTTTGGTAAACGTGACCTGGAAGCTTTGCCTTTGCGCATACCAAGTACATATTAACCGGTACCTGCAGCACATCTGTTGCTACGCTAGCTGGACCAGCTCTAAATGGCAGACGAGCTAAACGGCGGCGGTGGTGGATGATAATAATCTTGTTGGCAGTCAAGACTCTTGTATATTAGCTATCTCTTCTTGGTATCATAATGCATTAACGAAGCTCAAACTTCAAGATCTTGAGGCCTTTTAGAAAGACATGAACCATTTTCCTAGTATGGACCATGGCTTGCAGGCTTTGGCGCCTCGGCCGACATTTCCACCGGAACACTATCGGCTGACAGTTGCTGTGGAACCTGGTGATACGCGGGTGCGGCGTAATTGTGGGAGGCATATTGTTGGTCCTTGTATGGCTGGCCGTATGGTTGAGCAATCGAGGAAGCATCCATTTGGGAGACCATTACCGGCTGCCCTGACCAATTCGCGCTGTTGGGACTCCCTAGCTCGCTGAGATGCCCTGCCTGCCCTGCCTCCCCTTGTCCTGCTGCGTTCCTTGCTCTCCGTCGTGAGAGAAAGAAGAAGACGATCGAGCCTATAAAGAGAATTGCTGCAAGGGATACTCCAACACCCAATCCGACCTTGGCACCAGTGCTCAGCTCAGATGACGACGATGACGATGACGATGAACCAGCAGCCGCTGCGGCGGTCGATGTACCGGTTTCGCTAGGCACCGAAGCGACTGTACCCGATGATGCTGTGGAAGTTGAAGTTGAAGCACCACTTGTTGACACGAATGCCGGGTCATCCGCTTGTCTGAGGAACATGTTAGCTATACTGAGTTCGGAACTGGGGGCAATCTCATTGGCAATGACCTTTGCACTATCACACCATAAGCATTGATCATGTATTCGTCCTGGGATATTGTTGTGGTGATTGTGGCCGTATCAATTGGATAACTTGTGGTCGAGTCTCCGGTAATGGTCTCGTAGCTGACGCTCAAGACAGTGAGAACGCTTTCCGAAGTTACGAGAGAGGTACATCCATAGATATTGTCTCCTCGGTTTTGATAACAGACATATCCGCTATTCAAGAGCATGTCAGCCATTGCTCACAAATCCATTGTCTTTCTCAGGTTGGCGGTCTGGTCTTACGTTGGGCAGCACGTGGCTAGTGTCGTGACAGCGCTGTCTGTTGTCAGGGATGCGGAGCAGGCAGGTGTATAACCAGACGGGCAAACACCTGGCGAGTAGTAATACTGGGGCGCTCGTGTGTATCCTCCCGGCATACAAGAAGAAGTCAAGTAGTCGGTCTCAATCGCTCCCAAGGCAAACCATCCTGTTTCATGCAACGGATTGATAGCAAAGTGGATGCTGTTACACGTTGCCCCGATCGGTGTGTAGGTCGACGTCAGAGCACCGAGCAGAGTCATGGGCGTAGTAGTCATGACGGGCGACGGGCGGACTTGGTAGTACCCTTCCGAATGGTAGCTGTGACGAGATGCTGAGCTGGTATTTTGGCAAATCTCCAGAAAACGAGCAACTTTTGGGCAAAAGGGCAAAGCCTTGCGGCGATGAGCTTTTATTTGGGAGATCCGACAACCAGAATCGCGGTTCAGCCCGATTGGGATCCGCTAAAACATAATTAGAATAAAAAAGACAAGAACAAGAAAAAGTCAAGTCAAAGTCCTAGAATATTGGGACTTGACATCGCGATAGCTCATGACCTTTGCCTGGGATCCGTAATGCTGCATGTACTGCTGACAGGTTATGCCACTTTTGCGCTGTTTTGGCCCACTGTCATATTATCAACCATGTCAAGTCATGGGTCAAGGAGGATCGACCCTTGCACTGCTGCCACAGAGGATTTTCCCTTGATGCAATTCAAGTTCGAGTTTCGGGCGCATCAATGAATGCAACATTTCAAGAATTTGTGATTCGCTATTGAATGTACATCCTCTCCGAGCTGCACAAGGCAAATATTGTCAATGCTGAATCCCCAAATCATATTTGTTCGGCCAATGTAGAACAACAGTAGAGTGAAGTCGTTGTGGAGGAGACGGCGAACTCGCGAATTCCACCGCGTAGGGCCGCTAGGGCCCGCATAGGTGACGGGTCCAGGGTATCCACCAAAGCCTTCACCAATGATTCTTTTTTAGGGAACTTTTTTAGCGCTGTACTCTGTAGAAAAGATATACCCTTGGAGGGATTCGCACCATTCATTGCCATTTTCAACTCTGGGCAAACCTCTTTGTTCCCAACCATATCTCGCCAATCTCCAAACTAGCCAAGCCAGCAGCCAGTTGCAGCAATGGATCCCTCCGTAGTGGAACAAGCCTAGTTGAAGACATGGAAAAAAGGGGCTCCGCATCGGCCCCGAAATTATTGAAGGATCGCGGGGCCTGTCAACCAAAAGATCCTTCCGCCCAAAGTGGTTTGCAACGCGCAGCTCACAGCTTTTGATTCGTCCGTGGATCGGGAGTCTCCGTACCTCAGGTAGCACTCACTCGTCTGCCAAGCAACAACTACACTGCCGTACTAAACCTTTATCTTTCAGCCTCACTCGAGATCTTCAGTCTGCGACGGCCAAGATTTTAGAGTTTGCATTGCGCTGAAAAGCATGAATAATTCTTGAATGAGCACCATTTTTGTATTACATGATTGCGCTGAGCATCGAACAAGGAAGCAGTATTCGGACCCGACGCGACTCGGCGCTCAAGGTCTGGATTCATCTGATATCCTTAGGGGCCGACGAGTTTGTCTCTTGTCAAAGGATTAATACGCAAGCCAAAACAAGGAGTCGGTGTTTTATCACGAAGTGATGGCAGGTGTATTAGATCTGTCAAAAGCAATAATTGGTCTGAATAGCGATTGGTCCTAGAAACCGCTGCATTCAAGGCAGGAGTCGAGTAATCCTCTTCAGTCACCAAAAGCCAAGTCCCTACGGTATGCGATATGGGTGAACTACAAATGGCGCGATATTTATCCGTCGTGGTGACAAGCCGCAAGGTCCAAGGGAGTCTGCGGTAGGATAGGTGAAATTTCCCGCCCGCCTTTTCTATTCCGCCCCGCCTTGACCCAGCCATGCTGAGCTACTAGGGGAGGCCTAAGTTTAGGCTACGGGGCCCTACCTAGAGCTGGGGTGGGGAGGCTTGTCTGTGTCGGCTTCTGCAGTCAAGATGCGTTCCAACGTTTCCCATAATCTAGAAAACCCGCCAAGCCGGCAAATCCAAAGCAGGGCAAATGTTATTTGGTCGACAAGCGGTAGGGCAGAAGGTCATTTGAGATTCATCACGGATTCTCTAGTTCGTACTGTTTTGTACCTCTTATCCGTTCACAGTCAAAAGTCCAAGTATGTGCGATCGGTGGAATGTGTATCTTCCAATGAGCTACTACCGATTATCCGATGGCCATCATTTCGGTACCTCGCGTCTTTGCACGGTTCTGTATGGTCTGAGCAGCCGTTGGTAGTGATATTGTATTTATATAATCAATAGCCTTCGCATCTTTCGCGATCCATTGTGCATTTTCTCCAATCCAGCAAAGCCAAGGACGTTGCAGATGAGTCCTTGCTCTCCGAAGCGATTGGCATAACGGTAAACAAATTGTCGCGCATCTTCCAGCCCTACGAGGATCATTTCTACTGCCGAGAACATCTTTGCTGCCTGGCTGATTTTGCATATTAGTACCAGGATATGTAGATTGCTGCCAACAGAAAGGCTGCAGGTGCTGCTCCCTCTTTCGAGAACCTCGCTTCCTTCGCGTAGAATGACGACAGGATCAGCACCCGAAAATTCACGCGTGGCACAGGAAGAGTGGTTAACAGTACTGCTGCACCAAGGAGCCTTTCAAGTCCGGGGTCCTGGTGGCACAGACTCTGTTATATAAGAACCACGCCAAGAACTGCAATTACGAACGACCAGGAGCAGCACTATTTTTCAACTGTTAAATTCTTGATTCGAATCTCGAAATTGCACATCGCACGAGAATGCAAAACTCCACGGACGATCCATCTATAACTGCCCCTCAGGATAGGAGCACTCCGTTGGTTGAAGAAAGCCATGATCATGCCCAACAGCCTTCCCCTCCGCCCTCATCGGGCCGAGTTCCAGATGCCCTGACAGCGCAAATGAGTTCGATGGTGTCCAAGATGGTCTCCCTGACCGACGACCACAACGAGGAAACCGTCTTTGCCGCCGAGATCCACATGGGCCTCAGCCCAGCGGCGCCGTTGGGGCTGCGGCCCGGTATCTTGCTGCATGACGGCCCGAGCAAAGAAAATCGACTTCTCGGGGCCGCCGCGTGGCGCACACCGTTTAGTCCTAATTCCCTCGCTTTTAGCATTAGAAGTGCTCTCCTCCTTCCTCCATTCGTGCCTGGAGGGAGCTCTCCGGGTTTCATCGAAGAGATTATGACTGTGAGGCACCGTTCACCATACGGTGCAAGTAGATGAGAGAGAGAAGCATGCATTGTATAGACTAACTATGGACAGCCCGGGGGCTGTCTTGTACTGCCACTAGTGTGGCGGTGCCATACCAGTGTCAGGTTAGGCCTGACAATGACTTTGGATTCTACTTTTCGACCGGCCTTGGTCGCAACGGCGATGTCACACGCGAGAATTTCTGTTGGAGAAAGGTCGAAAAACATGGTGCGGATGATATCGGCAGCGGAGGATTCGATCTCGTACAGTTACCGGCGGCTGCCGGGCAGGCCTCGGTCTCGGACGGCGAGCGACTTGCCACCCTTCGATGGCTCAAGAAATTTACAAGACGCTTTTCGCTAAAGTTTTCCCACGTGGGCGGCTCTGATATGGGCGTGTATGATGATCGATGGAGGCTCGTCGTGGTGATTACTGCGCTTCGGTTATGGCACCTGCACGTAAACGGAAGAACCAGCAAGACCATGATTTCCATTGGCGGAATGCTTCGGGGCAAGCTGTAAACGGAGAACCTGTAATCAAGCAGTGGTAGAAAAAGCTTATTTACCCGACTGTCAAGCTATATTTCCATGATGTTTGATGTGGGTATATAGTGCTGTCGACCGGGAACGAATGATGGGAAAGGAAAACGCCAAGTGAGAGCAGGGACACGAAAAGCGTGAAAAGCCAACTCAAGACCAAACGTCCCGATCGCGATATGTCGTCTTGTCTGCATAAGCATTTCTGTAAGCTTCATTGGCCCCAAGTTCAATGTTTGAAATCGTCTTGTTTCCGACCGTCGACCGTTGTCAGATATATCACTCTCCTCATCACTTGGGACATTCGAGTGCAACCGGACGTGGCGGCTGACCACTTGCTCGAGTTGCAAAGAATTAGACCACGACGACGCCTGGGTGCTTTGCTTTCTGCGTTGAAAGTGCTTGAAAATCGACCACGACCTGATTGGCGAGGACACACTGGCTGTGCCGATTGCACTAAAGAACTTGGGGAGTGCCGGCAAGCACATGACCAGGATCTCACAGATTCCCTCGGCGAGATTGCAGATGAGGAGGGAAGACGTGGAATAGGTAAAGTCCTTCGCACCGATCCCTTGCAACGAAAAGGCGAGGCGCAAGGCTGCCAGATGCACTGACTACAGGAGGCGTGTGACTACAGAGAAGGAAACATGAAAACGAAAGTACGCATCAAAGAGGTTCCAAAGCCCGCCAGTGTGGTATAACCATTTGAAACAAGCCATATTTCGAGCTTTTCGCGGCACACGAGCACAGCCGTTTTTGTTCGTCTAAGCATACCTAGCCACGTAGACCCAGATAAATCGGACTTGAACCTTTAACATCATATCTACCAAAGGTTGAAATTTGAGGTTAGAATAGATTACATGGAAAACAAAATATCATTCCATTGTATGAGCTAATGGTAGCAATATTGACATGAGTAGGTAATCCATTCTATGAATGCATGCTCCTTATTCATTCTAGTCCCAATACATGACTCGTGAGTGTTGCATTCATCGAGTCGATCCTTCAACTCCATTCGGGCTCAGTTACATCCTGCCGCCACCCTCGCCATATCAACTGCACAGCCCACGCTGCGAGAGGAATTATGACAATAGGCCGAGAAATCAGTTTCATAGTCCCCGCCGTAAACCCTTCAATATTTAGTTGAAAAAGCTTTACGATGGATAGAAGTCCAAAGACCAAGACTACCGCCAGATAGGTGAGGTGCTCGCGGAGCTCTTCCATATTGATGCGCACAGTAGGGCTAAACAACCAGTACAGAAAAGGCTCGATGCGTTCTACTCCTCTTTCTACATAGGTCTCAGCGCCTTTTACATAAAAGAATGAGTGAGTGTCACTTACGAACCGGTTTGAAGATCCAAAGCGGCGATGTCTTCACGAAAGCCGAGTGGTGAAGGTAAGGTTCGGATACCTCCTCACCCCGGCGACGGAGAGTGTCATGCAGCATTTCAAGCATCTCATGATCTGCAACCGCGGATACTTGCTGAAATCCAACCGAATAACCCGGCCGTGAAATCCGGGCGTGAATGTTACGGCCGTTCCTGAATATCCGTGGATGTTTGCTCTGGGCATTCTGCTCAGCAAGTTGTAGAGCCGATAGACCACAACGACTGTAGCTCGTTAGGTCCGCGCCAGCATCAATGAGAATCCTGACGGCTGGTATCATACCGCCATGTAGAGCCAACATTAATGGTGTGTAGCCTTCGGTTTCTGGAGTCTCGGAATATAACTCAATATCGGGAACATGCTCGAGACCGCATCTGAAAACGGATGTGGATACAATTTGTTGTAGAATCTGGTGGAAGAAACGAGTGGATCTTCCTAGATCCTCACATGGAGTATGACATGTGGCCTTGTCAAATAGGTTGAAGAATTGCTCAAAATAATGCTGAGCGCATAGTCCATCAAGAAGATAAAGCCGTAAACCGCCCGGGAAGCGATACTGCGCTTGTTCATAGCGGAAGATGCAACCACTAACTACTTCTTTGATATAATCGGGTAGCTGAGCCGAGACTGTCAACATCAATTCGCATAGGGTCATCTCGTCTCCCAGGAACGGATTATCATTGGAATTAATCAGAACCCGGTCGAAGATCTGAGCCTCCTGAGATTCGTGTCGATTTTGGAGAACCAGTACGTCCAGAAGCCGAGTCTTGAATGCAGGATCCTTAAGAATCCGGAGCCAAGTTCGATGATGATGTATAAAACCTATCGATGACAAGGACCGTTCTTTCTTCAGACAGAATTCCAGAACAAAGTCAAAGATCTCGGGGTTTCCCTTCCGCGCCGCAGAATCGACCACGAGAGAGGCATCAAACCCCTTTTGTAACAAAAGCTGCACCAGGGGGAGGTTTCCATGGTAGACAACGTAGTCGATGACCAGGCGTTTTTTCCAATGGTCTGACTTGTTGATCTCTTCGCAAGTTCCCTCAATACTGATGTCCGAAACACTATTCTTTCCGCCGCTACCGGTGGCGGATGCCACCAGCGCTTTGAGTCTTGGCTCAATGTAGCTCATGAGAACCAAGAGCCACCGTTCATACGGAGCTTTGTCATGGTCATGAAGAGCAGCTAAGCCTCCGTTATCGAACAAAACGTCCTCCAACTCCTGGAAACTGTTCTTGTAGGGCAAAAGGTTGCCAATATGAGTCTTAACAGATGCGAAGCGATGCGACCCCACGACCTCTCCAGCCCGGTTGCATAGGTCCGGAGTGAAAGCATACTCCGTAGGTAAGAAGCATTCTGTAGCAATGGACCCTGCTACAGCAGTTCTTACCAGCTTCGTTGCTGAATTCAACTGAAAATAATCTGTGCACGCGTACCTAGCGTGAGATTCCATGACATGACAAGTGTCATCGGCGATTTTCTGCATCAGGCTGGAATTTTATTCAGCAAACGGTTTACTGATATCGGGTGAAAACCATTGCACTCACTCGCTCCAATCATCTTCAGGCGTGCATCCAGTTTCGAGCAGAAATTTCAACGTTTCGTAGTATTCCGGATAAAAGTGAGACAAATATTGAAATTCCCCATTGGACTTGCGAGTTATCAAATCAATGGTTTGACGATCAGGACGCTCTAAATGACCATCCAAGATCAAGCGGTGAGCATCACAGAAGCAAATTGCCCGCCGATAAACAGGACCATAGATTTCAACCGTATGGCCCGGCTTCTCGCAAAACTGATGACCGGAGACAAATCTGAGAAGAAGTTAGTCCAATATAAGAAAATGAATATATGGCGCTCACACTGTCAATATTCTCCTCATCGTCCCGTTCCTATCACACAAGTAGTCGGCAGGACTGAAGCGGCGCTCTTCTAGTAAGCGCCTCAACTTGCGGTGATCGGGAAACTTCGTCCGCCATTCGTAGAATACACAGGCGCGCGTATGTTTCACCGCACTTCTGTCGTTGCCGGTTGTCTTGTGAGAGCATCCATACTTTTCAGGGATGAGACCCAGCGCGTCAATAACCTCACTGTCCTCACAAAGCGTTCCGATATTGCACCAGATAGTTGTTGGCGGTCCACTGGGCCCCGTGTTGAGGAACATTTTCCATTCAACAAAACTTTGTGAGAAATTTCCGTAAGGATCAAACCTGACCCAATATGCAGCCTTAATCTGGCCTCTATCCAGGCTGTCACCGCCGGAGTTCTTTTGAGTATAGCCAACGTGCAGCCGACCGAGTGGAGTCCTATAGACACGTCGCGAATTAGGCTGCATATATGCCAATGATTTATTGTTGACGCCATCATCATTCGCAGCATGATGCATGTTCTGCGTTCTGCGCGGCGCCGATCCTCGTTCATTCCGACGAAGGAGGCTTTTATCACTACCTTGGGCCGCATCGAAGAGGCTCTGAATCATTGGCAGAATGCTTTGCTTTAAACTTTCATTCAACTCGTGCACTGTGGAGTGATGCGACGATTGTATCAGTGTCTGGGTTTCTTCGTTATGGTGACCTAAAATGGTAGTCACATGCGCTTCCAAAGCTGAAGATGTACTCAAAGATTGTTGTAGGTTCTTTTCGATAGTAGTAGAGACTGTCTGGAGAGCATCCACGGTTCGGGTGTGTGCTGTCATGTCTTCTGCGTGGTAATGGGCAGCGGAAGACATAATGGATTGAAAAGACTCATGAAAGCGGACTCTGGCAAATGACTTTAGTTCGTAATTTTGGTCCTGGCTAGAAACTTGCATCATGGAAACTCACCTGTTTGTTTTCTTGCTAAACTCTTGTAGACGCAATGTCCGGTCTTGAAGCAGGGATCTGTGCTTTTTGAAATCTTCTTCGTGGAGGTATATTCGAACAGCAGTTTCCACCTTCTGAAAGTTCTTGCCTCGGGTTCGCGTCCTGGCTGCTTTTTCCAGGAGCTTCTTGTAGCGTTTCACCTCCTCATGACTTTCCTTGATGCATTCATCAAAAAGGTCTTTTTCTGCAGCAGTCATAGACCCATTGGGCCATGAATCGTACTCTTCCCTCAGCTCTAACATCTGGTCAGTTCTAAAGCCTTTGGACCGGGCAGTCATGCATGGATACCTGAAAGTCGGAATTCATGCTCTATGAGCCTTTGCTGCATCGTATCGAGGTCAATCTTGCCTTCTTGAAGTACGGAGATAAATTCTCCCAGACTCTTCAAGCCTGTAAGCGCGTTGCCGGCAAGGCCGACGATAGCCCCGGCCGCGCCAACAGCTTCCATCGTCAGCTGTTGTCTATCCTCGAGCGTGAGAAATCTTCCGAGCAGACGTTTTGTCCTTTAGTGCGATATCAATCATATGTGATGAAGAGAAGTTCGATTAAAGCTATGAAGATGGCAAGGCTTTCGCACTTGGGCTGCGAGGTGGACTTGATCTTTCGCTGAGCCTGCCCATATTGCATTGCATGCAGCTCAGCCCCGATTGCGACTCCACGCCACCATTGGCATCTGCAGTGTTCAAAACACTGCATCGCTACTGGTCGCTCACCATACACACTTGCAGTTCTTTCCATACCTAGTCGGGCGTACTGATGCAAGCGCCTTTGAAATGCCCTTACGTGTCACCAATGAAATATGCTTACATCGCCCAAGGCGTAATGTTGAACAAGGGGAGTGAAGACACCCGGGAATTGGTTTAATCCGAGGCCGCAGCCATATGTATCCTATGTAGGGTAGAGACGGGCAGCGGGACAGTCACTAAGTCCTTCTCTCAGCTTGTTTGGGCGGCGAGTATTGTTTGTCTAAATAAGATTGTCGTCAGTTATACATAATTCAATGAATAAATGCGCTAAAAATCTTTCGTGAATTCTTCTCTCCTTTCTCCGCTCATGCAAGCAAAGCGACTTCCCGACAAGACAATATACTGGTCAGCCCTTCAGCTTTAATGGATTCCTTTCGCAAAGAAGATCGGAAAGATCGGAAGCTGCATCTTGTCAACTTCTAGTTTGCTACTCACATAAATGAGCTACTAGAGATCTACTTATTTGATGGGTGCGGAACTGTGGTTTCAGATGTATGCGGTCGAAGGTGAGGAATTATGCTGGAACTTCTATATAGATTTCTAACGTTTGAAGAGGTATAGGTCAAGTTAACCAAGCTCATCCTTCAGTGGTTACCTCACTGGAATCGTTGGGTCTAGGTTCACTGACACGGGGAGATTTAGCGTGCACGAGCGGCGCTAGCGGACATTTTCAGCTGCTCATACCGCCGCCTACACGTGCTAAGGGTCAGCGGATAATATACCAAGCTACGTTATAGGATAAAATATAGGTTTCGTACCTGATAGGAACAAATATCGCGCTGGCTATAAGACTAATTTATCGATAATAGACGAAAATTCACCAAAAATAAAGACCTGACCAGTATTGTGCTGTGTGACTGCGCCAGGAGCTAGCTGCTTGTCGCAGGTAAGAAACAAGGCAATGTTGCCGGCATGACATGATGGCTGCGATGCCCGCTCAAAAGACGTCAGCCTAGTTGGTCTGGAGAGACGATATTGCTTGGGGCATGTATGGATCATAATATTCGATCCCCCGGCAAACCTTCAGTACCAGGAAGTAGCGTCTTTCGTCTTCCAGTATTACACTTCTTCCAACGTGCAGCTTCATTTGCTGATTCGACGCTATCACCATGACAGAAGTCTTCGCAGCAGCGGGTAGGAGCACTAGACGAGACCTGCTAGCCCCCACGGCAAGCTTTTTAGACCCGACCCGACAATTTTCGAATCCAATATCCTCCTGGCTCGGTAAAATAAGACCTTCAAAGTAACAATATCTGGCTATTTCAATGATTACATGTGTCACTTCTTTGAACAACTCCATCCAATCCAGTACCTCCACTAACATATTGATTCAGGTTCAGCTAAATTAAACCCAAGGATTATGAGATAGCAAAGGTCAGAGAGTGCCTTGATCCGGTGAACGAACTCCTTGGCGCGGGTACAACCATCTCTTGTTTCCCATTCCACTATTGAAGGCGAATTGTCTGAGGTAGAGGATCCTCGTTCGATCATTGTCTCACTGCTTTTTTGGGTCAATACCACAAGATAAATAGGAAGATAGACTGGACGCTGGATGGAGGTGAAGCCTAATCGGAAGACTTACCAAGGGTACCAACTATCTCTGGGTCAAGAATCGATTCATGGTTCTGGCATGTTGTTGAATCAATTCCTGTTAGATCTTGGATACAAGCCAAGGGTAGTTATAGCGAAGCTCTGGTTGCAAGGCCGATTCCCGGTCATATGTTGCCATCAAGTCCTCGCCAATGTCAGAAAAGAATCGTTTTGCAGCGTCTCGAAAGCGATGGGAGAGCTTTCTTCGTTGTGGTTCTGGAGTGGCTCCATGCAAAACGACATATGTTCCAGAGGAAGAAAATGGCTTTTTGTAGGGCATGTTGGAGATGATCAAGTGCAAAGTACAGCTTTGTCCACGGTGAAGGAAGAAGGTTGGACGTTGTAAAGTATTCTTGTCATGAAAACAGAGAAATCAATGCTCTCGTTTGAAAGGGGGTTTAGATGACACAAACAGCAAATGCGACTCAAGCAGAACCAGGCACTCGTGAGAGCAGGCACACGCTATTCAGAGGGGCCACACTGCTGATTCGCCAGAAGCACCGACTGACTGCCCGAGATTTCTGTTTTGAGAATATACGATTATCTATCTATGACTAGGTAGATATGAATGATTCAATTTGGGCCATGGATTCTCAATGACCTGCCAAATTGTGCTGCAGCTTATGGAGTGGTTCTCGTAACTGATATGGTCCAGCTCCACTCCGCGATCGCCAAAGTCACACCCAAAATAGGCCTAGAATCGGTATTTCTGTCCAATCACCTCCGAGATGCTATCGTATTGCCCATAGACCACTCTAATCGCGATCAATACCCCTCAAATAGTCTGCCTAGATGATTTTCAAGTTGTAGTGTCATTGTATCAATGGGCTCAGCCATGAGAAACTTTTGAATTGCACTTTTCCCTTAATTGTTGACCGCTGTCAGACTGAGGACCGGAGCTAGTCAACCAAGCCAATAATAACAATGCCCGAACCATCACTCGCTGGCAAGACGTTTGTAGTCACTGCCGCAGCAGCAGGCATCGGCTTTGCTACTACAAAGCTCCTGCTCGACTCTGGTGCAAATGTGGGAATGAGCGACAAGGACGGCGAGGCGTTGCAACTTGCCGCTGCAAAGTTCGACCCCCAAGTCACTGCCCGAGTCCTGACTGGCGTGGTAGACGTGGCCAGCCGCGCTGCCGTCCGAGCCTTTATTCACGAGACACGAAACCATTTCAACGGCCTCGATGGCATCGCTAGTGTCGCCGGTGTGTCTGGCAGGAAGTTTGGAGCACAAAATGTCTGGGACATCCCCGAGGACGAGTACGACTACATCATGGACGTGAATCTGAGGGGGCTTTTCAATATTCTGGGCGAGTCCATGAAGCCAGGCGTCATGAGTCGTCCGGGGGCAATAGTAGCCGTTGGAAGCGAGTACTCTTTCAGAGGGTCGAAAGGTTGTTCTCTCTATGCGGCATCCAAGCATGGACTTCTGGGCATGGTCAAAAGCGTGGCTCATGAGGCCGGTGCGGGACCAGAAGGCATTAGAGTCAATGCAGTACTCCCGTGAGTTGGACCTGTTCAACATAATTTCATTTGCGATGCTGATAGATGCAGTGGCCCCACCGACACGCCGGCCCGTCGAGCTGTCATGGAAATGGTCGGCAAGGAGCGTGATTCCACAAAGAGGCGTCCGTTGGGAAGACCTGCTGATCCAGAGGAACTTGCAGAGATTATTCTATTCTTACTGAGCCCGAAAAGTAGCGTTGTTACTGGGGCGGCTTGGACTGCTGATGGTGGTGCAGCTAGCTAAGGTCAAAACCTTCTCCTTGAGTTACTCGGTGCTGTGCACTCAGCTAGTATACACGCCGTAACAGGTATTATTGGCTTATCTGTACTTATGGATGACTTGATATTTTGAGCGAGGTAAAGATAGAATTGTGGTTTTCTATCATCTCGAGTCCTATTTCGATGCAAAGATGCCAAATTGCGATTGCGGGATATGAAAGTCTACATATGTGCCATTCAACTCAATATCCATACTGGCCTGGGGATTCCCGGAAAGGTACCGCGGACTGCCACCTAACTACGGAGTCAACCTAGTCTTATCCTCTACAACAACCCTCTTCATACTATGACTTTTGTGTGTCTGGTTTCCTAGTCTCACGCCACCATTGTGTCTCAAGGACCTCGAATTCGGCGGTCTGCGCTATCTCTTCACTGCTTGAGCCAACTTGCACTTCGTATGTGTCCTTTTCCATGATCCACATATGCTTGCGCTCGTCCCAGAAGCTCGTGGCCAACTGCTTGACAACTAGTATCTCCACGGTCACTGTGCTGTACGAAGGTACCAATACCTTCTTGTATCCTCGAAGCTCTTTCATTGGCCGGCTTATGGATGGGTGGAGCTGGCGAACATAGACTTGCACGACCTCATAACCATTGACTGGACTTTTGTTATGTACATCCACTGTGATGGTCAAGTTCTCACCTACATGGCCGCTCGTGTCACATTCGCTGAGTCGCAAGTTCTGGATAGAGAAGTCGGAAAATGATAAACCGTGCCCGAATGGGAATGCAACAGCCCTTCGAACCTTCTCGTAATAGCGGTATCCGACAAAAATGTCCTCGCCGTAAAGTATTCGAAAGGCTTCCGACTTCGAGTTCAGAAAGGCTGGATTGTCTTCCTCACAAACAGGGATAGAGAGAGGTAGCTTGCCACTTGGATTCACATCACCAAAGAGGACGTCAGCAATAGCATTACCTGTCTCGTTTCCACCGTACCAGGCTTGCACTATAGCAGGGACTTGATGTACCCAAGGCATGGTCACCGGGGTTCCCGACTGGATCACGACGGTCGTGTTTGGATTGACGGCACAAACGCGACGGATCAGCTCGTCTGTCAGTCCTGGGAGTTTCATCGTTTCACGATCAAAACCTTCGGATTCCCAGTCCTCCTAGAATCGCAAAATTAGCCCCAATCATGTTCCCTTCCATTTAATGATAAGTAGCCTTCTTACATTGAGTCCGGTGCAGATAATGACCTGGTCGGCCGTACCAGCGATCTCCACAGCCGCTGCTAGTTGAGCGGCGGCATCCACGTTCAACGCACAACCGAGCCTGAAGCCACCTGCTCCCATGTTGGTTGATCCCAGAGCTGAGGTACTCTGCGTCGGCGCTGTTCCAAAATCCACCTGAATCTTATAGCGAATGCCCGCGGTCAGGTTGACCGTACCTTTTTCTTCTCTTGTTCCAGCACCCCAAAAACTGTCTCCAAGGGTTTGGTTGCGGGAGTTGTCCACTACGATATCTCCATCGACGTAGAGTTTGGCGGTGCCGTAGACTGCCAATCCAAATGTATACTCACCGCTAGCTTCTGGCTCAAAGTATGCTTCTAGCTCCGAATAATAGAGATAGCCGTCGATTGAGTCGTGGCGATAGTCGGTCAGGTACACCATGGTGTCGTTGTTCTCGATCGCATCAATCACCTTCCTTTCTTGACAAGAAGGTGGCTCGGCGTAGAATTTCATCAAGTAGCCGACATTTCCGGCCGGTGTTCTTAGCAGTCCATTCATCAACGGCAACTTCTTGTGGTCTTCAACACCTTTGGCGTAAGTCACATTTGTCACCTTTTGTTTGATGCCTTGATAGGGCGAGACGGCATAAGTTGCATGGACTGCGGCGGAACCGCTGCCGTGGATACGGAATGCTTTTGCGTTTGGTCCAATTACGGCCACCTACAGTACCCTAATAGTCAGTAAACCTGAAGTACAAGAAGTAGGATTTTATATGCCTGGTGAACACACCGTCTTGTCCTTCTTTAAAGGAAGCAGATTTCCATCATTCTTGAGAAGCACAATTGAAGAAGACGCTAGTTGTCTTAGCAGGGGACGGGCGGCATCGATGTCGCCAACACAATCCGGTGCTGCCTCCGGGATGCCACTTTCGATACCCTTTTTGATGAGGTGAAGGACTCTACGCACTCGGTCCTCAATCTCCCAAATTGCCACCTTGTTGGATCGCAGTGCTTGCTTGAGGGCGAAACCCCGCCATGTGGAAGGACCGGGCATCTCGAGGTCCAGGCCAGATCTAATGGCCTCGCTTGTGCTATATGTGCCAAACCTATGTACAAGTCAGCAAAACGTGCCACGTTTGATATCTGGAGGTGCACGCACCAATCACTCAGAAGAAAGCCTTTGTACGACCATTCTTCTAAGAGGACTTTCTGCAAAAGGTCAGAGCTTTCGCTGACGTGAGTACCGTTGACCTTGTTATAAGAAGTCATGAGCCCCCAGGGATCAGAGTGTCGCAACGCGACTTGGAAAGGCATCATGTAAATCTCCCTTAGTGCGCGCTCAGAGACCAGAATATTGACGGCTTTGCGTTGATGTTCTTGGTCGTTGCAAACAAAATGTTTTATCGTAGTTGCCACCCCCTCGGCCTGTATTCCTCGGATTTGTGCTGCTGCCAAAGTGCCTGATAGAAAAGGATCTTCACTGTAGCTTTCGAACCCCCTGCCACCCAGCGGAGAGCGCTGTATGTTCACGGTAGGGCCAAGCAGGATGTGCACGCCTTTCGCACGCGCCTCTTGTCCCATGAGTCGGCCCCCAGCTTCGACCAAGTCAGGGTCCCATAGCGCACCAAGAGCGGTACCGCATGGCAGACATGACGCTGGAACAGGGTTGAAGTGGCGGACGCCGCGGATCCCATTTGGGCCATCACACATTCGAAGTGAGGGGATGCCCAGGCGTGGGATAGTCTGAGTGTGCCAGAAGTCACTTCCTAGGAACTAGTTCAGTATTTGTGCATTGATATTTGAGCCATGAAGGGTGAATATAAGGATCAAGGCCATGGCGTACCTGACAGCAGCCCTATCTTCTCATCCAGAGACAGTTTCTCCAATATCTCTGTCACATCAAAGTTGACCATGGTGCATTTAACGGTACTATGTTGTCTTTGCTTTGCTCCAGTGTCGTAATACATTGGCACTGGAACTGAATGAGTGAAAGTCCAAATTTGGACTCTATATCTTCCACCTCGGTATTAGACAAGGCTCCCAACTTCCCAGAGCGGTATCGCATAGCGCATACCTTGAATCAAGTGTGTTGTGAATGACGAATTACGCTGATCTTGTTTATCATACATAGCGGGCCGATCGCGTCAATCCATCGCAGCTATAACAGCGACATGTGCTGATTGGCCAGAATCACCGAGGACGCTAATCAACGTGATTGATACGGAACTTGATTTGAGTGGAGCCTGCGGTACGCAGTGAAGACGCCAGATCAGGAGGAGGGACGCGCAGGGCAGGGCAACATCTCTTTTGGAGACGATCCATGGCAACGCAGGGGATCAAGATGTTCAAGAAGCATGTGAAAGTCTATGGACGGTTCAGTGCTACTTGAATTCTCACTTTTACGCCACAGCTTAGCGGATCGGAGCTTCCAACAACGATCAACGTCTTGCAACGACGACTTCTGCATAACCTCGACACAATGGCTGAGAAATCCAGTCCCGGTATTCCCGGTGATTCAGTCATTGTCGACTGGGAAAGCCCGCAAGATCCCCGAATGCCACGAAACTGGTCGACTTTTAGGAAATGGCGAAATGTCATGTTAATCTCAATGTTGACCTTCGTCTCGTAAGTGGGGTATAGTCATTGTTGACTTCATTGCATATTCGAGTGTCTACTGATCTGCATACCATGGTACCTCAGTCCTTTCGGGTCGTCGATGCTCGCTCCTAGTATGGGCCAAGTGATGGCAGAATTCCACTGCTCCAATACCGATATTGAATCCTTGACCGTATCTATTTACGTCTTGGGATACGTCTTTGGGCCGCTTTTGTATGCACCTCTCAGCGAGTTGTTTGGCAGGCAATTGCCGTTACTTGCCAGCTCAGCGTTGTTCACTATTACGGCTGTGGCCTGCGCCCTATCCGTGAATCTTCCAATGCTCATCGTATTTCGTTTTCTGAGCGGAGTCGTGGGCTCGGCGCCACTGAGTCTGGGACCTGCCAGTATTGGTGATATGTTTGAGCCCCAAAGTTGCGGCAAGGCCATGGCTGCCTGGAATTTGCCCGTCCTTTTCGGCCCTGCTCTTGGTCCTCTTGTTGGGAGCTATATAACACAGTCAGGAGGCTGGCGATGGAATTGCTGGTTTCTGGCAATCACTGTAAGAGCTAGTGATGTACCTACTGAACGTCTTTTGCATTTCAACTGCTAACGGGCGAGATAGATGGGATCCTTGTTCCTTGTTGCCATCCTCTTACTCCGAGAGACGCACCCGCCAACAATACTCGAGCGCCATGTCCTTAAAATGCGCAAACAGAATCACAACTATACCTTCATCTCCGTACTGCAGCCTACGGCAACTCCTCGATGCACTCTAATCAATGCCTTCACCCGTCCAGTCAAACTTCTGCTTCTGTCGCCTATCGTTCTAGTACTCTCGTTGTGCTCAGCAATAAGCTACGGTTTCATTTATCTGCTTTTCACAAGCATGACATCAGCATTTACACGCAAATATGGTATTGGTACTCCTCAAGTCGGCTTGATGTATCTAGGTTTCGGGGTTGGAAATATCCTTGGAAACTTGTCGCTTGGTTACCTTTCAGACCGATTCGTAAAGAGAATGGCTGTGTCCACTGGAATGAAACCAGAATACAGACTCATATTCTTGATACCTGGGAGTCTACTTATGCCTATAGGCCTGCTCATCTACGGTTGGACACTCGAATTCAATTTGCACTGGATGGTACCCGAGATTGGTTTGTTCATATTCGGTCTCGGGACAATCTATATTTCCATGCCAGTTAACACATATCTCGTCCACGCATTCCCATCATGCGCTGCAAGTGCCACCGCTGCAAACACAATTGTACGGAGTCTTCTCGGTGGGCTATTAGCTTTATGTGGCGGACGCATAAATGATGCAGTGGGAGATGGGTGGGGCAATTCTATTCTCGCTTTTATCGGCCTCGGCTTCATTTTTCCTGTTTTTCTCGTCTACCGTCACGGAGAATATCTGAGGATGCATGGTGTAACTGTATAGAAGTTTTGGTCCGAGTATAGACTTGTCTTTAAGTCAATGCCTACAGAACGTGACCTCGGTGAGCGTTAAAGTATGCGAACTGAAGTTATTGTATTTCGACCATATTATGAGTTTCGAATTTCAAATGAAACCCAAGCTATTTATTGACCAGGACTAGATCTTCACGGACTTAACAAAACTCGAGATGCTGATGTGGTAGCAACAACCATTGACCCAGTCACATTTGTACCTAGGTACCTATTGACAGCAATCTACTCATCCAAGACAGCTAGAAAGTATGTACCAACGGCTTACAGTGTGGTGGTGACGTTTCAGCAATACTTTATATGCTAGTTTTGTTTAGTCATGGTTACAAGAACAGTTTCCCCCAGGCCTAATCGGAACTTCGCCCTTCTCAAATGACTCCTTGTCGTAATTGATGACTGCCTGAAGCTCTTCCTCCTCACTCAGGAAACTTCTCCGAGAATCTTTATCAGCCTCAAATTCTGCCTTCATTTCATCCGCAACTTTATCATCCGTCAACACGACCCAAGCTGAACGTGCAAGCCCCAACCCTACTACCAGCGTCCGCTCAAAAGCAAAGTCGGTCCCAGCCGCGGCGGTAAACCCAATCGTATGATTTGTCGCCCCTTTCGGCGCTTGGATATCGTAATTTGGATGGATCGCAGGCACTACAAACGTGACATTGCCTTGATCAGTCGCACCTGCTTTGACCTCGGTAGTATTGACGTCAAACTCCATTGGCACGCCCAAGTCAGACATGGCATCCGCAAAGGTTGCAGCCAATGCCTTGTTTGGGATCATTGGCACGTAGGACGTATGATCTTCCAGCTCAATATCGCAGCCTGCCGCTGCTGCGCCCGCCTTGTAGCAATCAATGACCTTGTTACGGAGAAAGGCTATCCGCTCCATCCCTGGCGCTCGCACACCGTAGTTGACGCTGGCGAAGTCGGGTACAATGTTGGACTTGGCTCCGCCGTTGGTGATGATTCCATGTACCCTTTCAGCAGGAAACAGTGCATGTCTCATCATGCTGACATGGACATAGCCACCCACAACGGCGTCCAAAGCATTGTGGCCATTCCAAGGCGATGCGGCAGCGTGTGATGCCTTGCCCCTGACCGTAATGGAAAACATGGCAGTGCCGACGTGAGGATTGTACACGATCCCATTGGAAGGCGGCTTACCCTCCGCCGTCATATTGGTAGGATGTGCCATGACGCAAGCATCGACTCCCTTGTAGGCCCCGCGACTGATGAGCAGTCCCTTGCCACAGCCGCCCTCCTCTGCTGGCGTTCCCAGAATGCGCACCCGTCCTGGCTTCCCCGATTGCTTCAAAGCTGCAGCTGCAGCCAAGAACCCAGCCACCGAGGCCGTTAGGATGAGGTTGTGTCCGCAAGCGTGACCTATCCCGGGTAGCGCATCGTACTCGGCATTGAAGACAACGAGCCGACCACCCGTTCCATACTCGGCCTCGAAAGATGTTGGAACGTCGTAGGCATGGGGCTTGGTGGGGAAGCCGAGGCTTTCGAGTGACTTGACAATCGTGTCGTGCGCGTAGTGTTCTTGATAGCAGAGTTCTGGATGACTGTGAATCTAGTTTCATATTCCTCTGTCAGAACAGATCTTCCACCTCGGCGGGGGAAGGATGAGCTTCTGCAAAAGCTGGCTAGGGCAATTGGACATACGTCGAGGTTCAGTTTGCTAAGCTGAGATTTTGCCTCGGATACAGCCACTTTCATAGCCTCCGTAACTTCTGAACCCATAAGTTCAGCCATGGTAATACTCTGTATAAAGATCGAGTCGGCGGAGAGAATGAGATGGAAATCTATGACCAGCGTTCGTTCACACTCGATACTGAGGGCGCTGCTGTCCTCGCCAAATTTGAATAAAACAGTGAACCAACAATCCGGCCCCTCTGCTCATTGTGAAATTCGACGTCTGCGATTAGCTCCGGACTCTTGCAACCATGACCGATGCAATCACATTCGCTGGAATCGCCGAGCTTTACTGGTAATAATCACCCTTCCTTGTCGCGATTGCGACTCTTGACGGTATTGGCCAGAACTCCCGACACTAGAATAGTTGGTGGGGTTAGTGGGCAGTGCCAGCCATACTTTTGCATGCGTCAGCTGCTATTGCCAGTCTTTGAATGATATCGCAAGTTATCATCGACCGGAAACGTATAGAGTGTTGCGATAAGATTCCATGTACTTTCAAAGATAGAGCGACTTCTACTTTGTATCGTATCATGAACAAAGAAAGTGAAAGCTGAAAGTGTCAGGTGCGACTTTAAATATGCCTTGGGTAGAGTTGAAAAAAAAAAAAAAAGATCGAATTACAAAACACTTGGAGACCAACTTCACATTGCAAACCCAACCCAGTTGGCAGATCAGATTCTATAGTTACTGAATCATGGCAAACGGTGTAAAGGATTTGAAGACAAAGACGAAAGTGTCCGATGAGAATATTCCCGACGATGCTGCCTCTGAGCGTGTAGGAGAGATATGGACGGCAGAAGAAGAGTCGAACGTAGTGCGCAAGATTGATTGGCGGTAAGATGTGCTTTTCTTAACCCACTATTGGGGTTCATCGCGGCTAATTGGTCTACAATCTTCAGCTTGATGCCTCTTATGACTGTCGCTTACATGCTCCAATTTCTCGACAAGATCACCTTGAGCAACGCTTCCATCATGGGAATCAGAGAGGACCTGGTAAGAGTAACCACAAATCTTGCATGGCGCTGTTAACAATCAAGATAGAATCTGAGCAGTTCCGAGTACTCGTGGGCGAGCAGCATATTTTATTTCGGCTACCTGGTGGCTGCTTACCCTGCATCGGTTGGGCTGGTAAAGCTTCCCCACTCTAAACTAATCAGTATTTGCATGTGAGTATATCAGTTCATCACCATGGCTGCAGCCGAAAGCTCTCCCAACGGCAGTCTCCAATGAATTGAGCAAACGTCTCGGAATTAATCCATGTTATAGTATAATATGGGGGGTTATTTTGGCACTTCACTGTGTGCCCCATAACTTCATTGGTCTGGCCATCTTAAGGTTTCTGCTCGGAGTCTTTGAGAGTATCATCTCCCCTGGCTTCAGCATAATCGTCAGCGTGTGGTATAAACAAAGCGAGCATGCCTCTCGACACAGCATCTGGTTTGCTGGTAACGCGGGAGGGGCCATCGTTGGCTCCTTTGTGAGCTTCGGTATTGCTCACATTTCCAGTTTTGCACCTTGGAAGGTTTTATTCATCTTGTATGGTTCATTAACATTTGCTTGGGGCATCGTGCTTCTTCTCTTTCTTCCGGATGGGCCGTCCCAGGCAATGTTTCTCACTTCACAGGAACGCGAAATCGCCATTAGTCGCACTGCTGGGTTCGAGATGGACACACGGCGAGAGTACAATATGAGTGAGGTCAAAGAAGCTTTGGGTGATCCCCATACCTGGCTCATTGGATCTTATTCTCTGCTGACGTGTTTTCCCAACGGTGCACTCACGTCTGTAAGCGTCTGCCTTCCCAATATCGCTAGGTTACCATTGCACAGCCGGACGGTAGCTAATTGGTATTTCTAGTTTGGCAACATCGTCACGAAAGGGTTCGGCTTCAATACGTTCAACACGCTGCTGTTGCAACTTCCAAGCGCCATTTCTACTACACTCTTAATTCTTCTCACGGGATGGCTTGCCAGCAGATACCAGCAGATTCGGTCTTGGTTGATCATCTCTCTCTTGGTATTGGGCATCAGCGGCGCGATCATGGTTCGCCAGATTGACCCCTCCAACAAGGCGGCGCGGTTGATTGGCATGATACTGTTTGCCAAGTTCACCTGCGGCTTTCCATTGGTCTTGTCACTAATTGCTTCAAATGTGGCGGGCCAGACCAAAAAGACTGTCGTCAGCGCCATCTTCTTTGTCTGTTACTGTGTAGGGAATATTGCAGGACCCCAGGTTTTCATTGATAGCGAAGCACCAGGATATCCGACCGCCTTTGCCACAATAATCGCCACACTTGGCTTGGCAGTCATCATCTTGCTAGCATTAAGGCTTCTTTTGAGTCGCAGAAACAAATCACGCAACGAAGCATTTGGTATCCCTTCCGAGGACGATACAACAATGCTTCACGAGAGTCATTTGACCGACTTTCAACGGGAGAAGAGTTTCCGGTACCAGTACTGAGATATGCATCATCATCATCATCATTATCATCACCAGGCGCGAAGAGGGCGGAGCGGGGGCGTTTTTAACGTCAAGCATATAGGATAAATTAGCTTCTTGATCACAAATGCTTCATATAGCAAAAATGAAAGAGTGAAACTATTAGGCAATAGAGAGCCAACGACCTGAAGACGGAACATTGCCCCCTAGATATCTTTGTCTCTTTTTTGCAGCAGCCAGTCGCGGTGGATCTCGTCGGTCGTCGTAGCAAGCGCAACATTTGCCGGCCACCGCCATCTCCAGCGGAAGACATTGGAATCGAAATTGAATAATTGGAATATCCAGCGTCGCAGGCCCCCCTGAGCCTCGTCGAACTCTTGGGCCCTGGAGTAAGATGTCGATAAACATGCAATAGAATCCAACACATGAACCCACAGCGCATAGTAAATTGCCATTGCTTGAAGAGTCGTGATCAGCATTTTTGGGTTCTTCCCACAGAGAGTATCCGCCAGCAGGAACAGTCCCGAGTACTCCTAGTAAAGTCGTCAGGGTCAGGGCAGTGTCAATTAGAGAGTGGGAGACTGGACTCACAATCTTTAGCGCATGAATCTGAGGTAGCAAGTTTTGAAGAAGCTCGACGCCATTTAAAATGTCTTTGACGGCCTCATTTGCTTTATAAAGTAGAATGTTACTGCGCATGATTAGTTCAAGCGGCTTTGAGCGCTCAATGTCGTCTAAAAGCTCTTCCGGAGGGTATCTGTCTCGGAAAAAGGCCGCTGAACCATTTCTGGAGTGGGCGAAAACTGCTCGCATTGAGTTTTCGTCTGATAAGACCAGCTTGGAAAGGTTGCCTGCTCCGACTCCAGCATCCGGAGAAACGTCTTCGTAAACGACAAAGATGAGGAACTGGCACATGACGGCTCGGTCAGTCAATGGTATCGAGTGTGGTGAAGGATTGGTTTCGCCCTCATGATTGCATGATTCCCGAAGTTTTCTCAATAGCTGATGCTGTTTCGCATAAGTAGCCATGGAAGCGCTCAGTCTTTGCATTGATACCAGACCCTTTTCATCCCAATGGGCTCGGTAGTAGAGTTGCAGAAGCCAGAACGCCATCAGTGAGTGTGCGTGATCGATATCAGGAGACCGCAAACGATCGATCAGCAGCCGTGACCCTTCTCTGAAGTGGAAGTCCGCCAAGTGACTCAGCGATTGATTCTTGCCCCTGTACACAAGCTCACGCATGCATCCAGCAAAGAGGAGATGGATCAAGACAGCGTCGTTGGTGGCTTTGCTCAACAGAACGGCACATGCGGACCAAATGAAAGTCTTGGGCGCCCATCTTGCAAATATCGTCTCGAAATAGTAGAGTGCTTCCTGTTCATTGGGACCAATGAAGACTCCAGAGCACGATGGGCCTAGTGGACTTGGTGAGGGTACCCCGATGCTCCATTCAGCCATTATCGGTCCCGCAAAGTGCTGATATGTTGTCCCGGTGCCATCTGGGTTCGACAGAGTACAGGGTAGTGCGAGACTCGTCTCTGCATTCTTCAAAGCCGTCTGCCATTGGGGATGTTTTGGCTGAATGACCGGCAGAGATTTATCCACCCTGCTCTTGATTGGGCCAAAGCCACGCCGTCGGTCTCTCAGAGGAATCCGGGGCCCTGGCCAAGTGCAATCTCGGTTCAATCGCTGGCAGCGTTGGCATTGCGGTGTCTCTCCCGTGCACTTGACTTTCGACCGTGAGCATGTGTCGCAGGCGGGACTGGTTCTCCTTGCGCTCATGGGCGCGTCATGAGTCTGATTTGTAGAAATCATCAGCTTGGATTGTATCAGGAGTGATGGAAGATCTGATTGTAAAGTGTTGGGTCGACAACACCTCTTAAATCCGGAGTCCGTCCGGAGAGGAGGGGAGATGGCGGGGTCACATCATCGTCGAAAAAAATACATGCTAAAAGACAGCGCCTCTTAGGATTGTTCAGGGTCGGACGGGGGAAGAATCTATGTACGATATCGCAGCTATAGTATAAATCAAAAGCCTGTATTTCAATTAATAGATTCTCTCAACATCAATCGCTTGCAATAATGGCGAACAAATGGGGCCTTTGTACCTAATGATACGCCACAGAGGTCTTGTACGGCGCCTTGGAAAGGATATAAGCACTGAGCTCCGGGGCACATCATCCCCACCAAACCCACTGGAGCACTGTAACAGGCCACTTCAGCTCACTCCGCGAAACAAGACTGCTTCGATCATCCAAAGGAAGATGTCGATTTAAAACGAGCAGATTTTGATATTTTACTATGACTTGAAAGCTTGAAAAAAAACGGGAAATGGTATCAATTTCAACACCCTCCTATCAACACGCTTGAAAATGGTTACAGCTGCCGATTCCAAAGACTGTAGCGTCGCGGTTTACCACATTCGTTTAGTGCTAGGCTTACAGGGGTAGGGAAATCTTATTATGAGCTTCTATGCTGTCTTCATGGGCGCCATACCATACCTAAAAGGTTCCTTGTTAGCATCTCGCAAACCAATATCAAGAGAGTCCAGGCAGACAACTTACCAAGAAATCGTGGCAACTCCAATAAAGCCAGAAATGCAGCTAAACACCAGGGCGACAATGCCTTTCTTTGTGAAACCTGCTGGCAGCGGTGACACTGACTCGTTCTGGCCCGAAAGGTCGAGATAGTCCTCGGTGTTGCCAGCAGCATTGCCGACAGTGGCCACGCCATCGGCGGCGCAGTTGTCTAGGAAATCTTGAGGGACGGTGATGCGTTGCTGAATCTCGAGCGGGGCCTCCACAAATGTGACGGCCAAGCCCGAGTCCATGTGCCACTGGATGTGGCAGTGGAAGAACCACACTCCTGGGTTGTCGGCCTTGAAGCGGATGACAAAATTGCCCGAAGGTGGGACGATGACGGTATCTCTGCGCATCGGAACCGACGGGAAATCCGACATGGTATCGGCATCCCAATGGCCAGCATCATCGTCACTGCGGTAGATCACCTGGAAGGTGTGCCCGTGGAGATGGAAAGGGTGCTTGCCAGTGTCGTCATTGTTGAGAACAATGTCAATCGTTTCTTGGTAATTGAGGACAAATGGGTTGGTGTAGTAGCCATATACCGTAGGATCGGTAGCATCATCGCCAGCGGATAAAGCGGTCATGAGAGTTGGAACCTTTGGTGCCGTGTACGTGATGTCGTTGAAAAATGCACTTCAAGGTGTTAGCCATCAAGCTCTTGGTAGCAGGCTAGAAGGGAACTAAATGGGCACCAAGGGCATGCTTACTAGTTGGCACCGTCTCCTAGGTTGTCCATGGTGAGATCAAGCGTCACGGTGTAGTCGGCATCAGGAAACAATTCCTCTCCATCGTAGGGAACAAGGTTAAAGTCATCGTAATAGTCGAAGCTGTCAACGTCTGCCGCTACTGGATTTTCGGCGCTGGAATCGTAGACCAGGTATCCGGTGGCATTCCAGTCGAGACCGTCCGGGATTGTGTCAAACAGATCCTAAAATCGTAAAAGTGGTAAGTGAGATGAATCTATACGTATGGCGGGCGTGGGTTGCTTACGGTATCCATGCTCGCGACAAAGGGGTAGTTTGCGGATGTATCATTCTTCATGGTTATCAGAACGGTGTATCTCTGAGCAGCCGAGATGTAGATCATGTCAGCCTCGGCAGGCTCTGTCCAGACGCCATCTACCTCGACAATTTTCATTGTATGGCCTTCAAACCACAAGTACTGTGATGCAAAAGCTCCAACATTGATGAAATGCACAAGGTAAGTTTTGCCTGCCTCGACGTCCATAGTAAAGGTAGAGGTATCGTTGATCAGCGCTGCGTCGGGCACTGGCTCCGCGCCAGTCGGGTTCTGATAGTAGATGAAGCCCTTCAGAAGGTCACGAAACTGGTCATGGTACCAGTCCGAGACTGTAATGATGCGTTCTTCGTCATACTGGCCGAGATAAGGGTTCTCAGGGTCTCGGATGATTAGAGCTTGTCGGAATCCTTCAGGGTATTGGCCTCTGGTATGGGAATGATACCAGTAAGAACCGGATTGATTGAGCTTGGATATCTTGTCAGCTCATCACCTTGCCCACGAATTACCATGTCGGTAGACAGGAGAATACTGTCCAAACTTGGGTGTAGGAGTTGTGGACGTACTGTAAAGTTATAGGTCACGGATCCCCCTATGGGGATCTCGCATTGGGTGACCATGGGAGCTCCATCCATATAAACGGTGCCATTTTGGAACATACCATGCCAATGGATAGAAGTTGTCTCGTTCCCAAGGCCATTGTACACATTGGCGACAATTTGGTCCCCTTTGGTGAGGTTGAGAACTGGTATAGGCCATTGATTGTTGATACCAATCACGGGTCTCCATGCCGCGCCATCTGGGTTTGCCAATACCCAAGTAATGTTCCAATTGAATACGTGAGTTTCAGCTGCGATAAGTTGCGCAAAAATGCCCAGGAGCAGGCAGCACCATGATAGACGAGACTCTGAGCCCATCATGATGATTATCTTTGCTTCAACGACGCCGGCTGCGACTTTGGGTAGGGAAAAGAGAAGCAGAAGGCCGGGAAACAAAGACTAATGTGTCAATGGAAGGGTGATAATGTCTTCCGATGAAAAGACGAATGATGGAGGGTCAGCCCGAGCATGGGAGCTCTATTGTAGGGTCATGGATAGATCAAAGGAATAGTGACTAAGAAGAAACTTTGGAGCGGCACTCGGCGTCTACTAGAGTATGGTCAAAAGTTTGACTCCGATGTAGCAACTGGACAACTTGAGCATTATGGAGTGTGTGGGTGGGTCGGGTAACTTTGAAAGTATCGCCCCATCCAGAAGATCATACTACCAGCAGCTACACAGTACGTTAGTATCTGCCGAGGATCATATCTAATCAATCAAGCTAGGGTGGAAGGAGGGTAAGCAGTCGGCCCAGACGAGGTCAAGCCCCACAACGGTTGGAGACCTGGCAAAGCTTGAATAAAGCTTTACCCAAACGACTCAGGGTCCCCGGAGGAATGGTACACCGTTCGACGCGCCGGCTCGAGTTCCAGCTGGTCTTGCCATGGGGTCCCCAGCGAATAGAAGACCATGTGGCTTCGTTTGGCGAGGTGCTAATTCCTTTATCTGATCCGATTTTCACGCCACCTTGCCCGGTCGCAGTCGGGCTTCATTTCGCCTTCCGCTCGTGGAACACAGTTCCGTACAGCTCAGACCCTGGATACAGTGTGACAGTTGCTTTTCGTGAAAGCTCCATCCGTCGCGTGAGATATTTTCGAGCAAGATGGTACGTGACCCGAATGTACTCTATCCAAGTCCATCCTGGGCTGCATTTTTTCTGTTTCGTTTTGCATTAGCTCGAGGTGTGAAGCTTTGATTAGGTCCCATGGATGGACAAGTCGATTTTTTTGTGATGTGACACTAGACTGGATGTACGGCCCTGGCCCGCTAGCTGTCCCTGTCGGCAAAAGCATGGCCAGCCGTGATCGCTTTACCCATTGACCAGTGTAGAATCATACATATTAGGCCGCGCTAGACTCAATCCCCCTCACCTTCCCTTATCTTTTTCGTTTCACCTCCTCCGTTTTGAGTCTGCGTACCAGCTGATTCATAGCTACAGTCGACTCGTTCCTCTCTTCCCAATCAGTGTGACCGTGTTGGTGTAGCCGAATCGTTACAATGGCAGTCGACGTCTTTGCAATTCCCGGTAAGCCAAAAGAATGGTTGCCCTGAATGTACCCCCCAATTAACCCATCCCGCAGTCTTCTTCATCTGTTTTCGAGAGTCGCTCGAATCCAGTATCATTGTATCCGTCTTGCTTGCTTTCCTCAAACAGAGCTTGGCTGCGGAAGGAGACCAAACTACTTACAAACGACTGGTCAAGCAAGTATGTTTTCTTTCCTCGCCTGCTTGGGCTTTGAGTAAGCCTGGCGATTATTGACATTACTCTACTTAGGTTTGGATTGGAGTGGCCGCTGGCGTCTTCATCTGTCTCTGCGTCGGAGCGGGCATGATCGGTGCCTTCTACGCTCTTGACAAGGATCTTTTCGCCAACACCGAGGACATCTGGGAGGCCGTCTTTAGTATTATTGCAGTTGTCATCATCTCCTTGATGGGAGCGGCGCTCTTGCGTGTCAACAAACTCCAGGACAAATGGAAGGTCAAGCTGACCAAAGCCTTGGAAACCCAGGAGGCGGCCTCTAGGCCTGTCGGCTTCATGGGTCGCTTCAAGGCATGGTCTACCAAGTATGCCATGTTCATCCTTCCTTTTGTCACCGTCCTGCGCGAAGGTCTCGAGGCTGTGGTGTACATTGGAGGTGTTAGTCTGGGTCTTCCCGCCACTTCTTACCCACTGGCAGTATTCACCGGCTTGGCAGCTGGATGTTTTATTGGTTTCCTTCTATACCGGTAAGCTTTTCTGACCTCATCCATACGGCTGAATTTTGCTAACGATGATTTAACAGTGGTGGCAACACCGCGTCCCTCCAAATATTCCTGATTATCTCGACTTGTTTCCTCTACCTCATCGCCGCCGGACTGTTCTCGAAGGCTGTTTGGTATATTGACGATTACGAATGGAGTCAAATCACCGGTGGTGACGCATCAGAGACGGGCTCGGGACCTGGGTCATATGATATCACCAAGTCTGTGTGGCACGTCAACTGTTGTAACCCACAACTCAATGGCGGTGGTGGCTGGGGTATCTTCAATGCCATCTTTGGTTGGCAAAACTCTGCTACCATCGGGTCCGTCGTCTCTTATAACGTATACTGGCTCGTAATCATCCTGTCCTTCTTGGCCATGGGCTATCACGAGCGCAACGGCCACTTGGGTGTCTTTACCCCTGTGGTTAAGGCATTCTCAAAGAAAAAGAATGGGGACGAGCATTCCCAAACTGAAAGGGGCATTGTTGAGGATTCGAATGATTCTGGGGATCACACGAAGGCTCCCCAGTCTACAGCTGTTACTCCTGTGGCCTAAAGATGGGTTGCCTCACCGGGACACTTGATAAACACCTCTTGTATGGTCAGTTTCTCGATGAGAATATGGTTCCTCAATCAATTGAGGGAACGAAAACGTGTTAGTAGTGTTGGGATATTCTTGTTCGATCAATATCATTTGTAGTATACATGCAAATCAAAGGGAGCACTCTATTGATACCCAAACAACCGAGCATATTTACACAACCAGCTTGCTTGAATATGATCGTACTGAAACTTGGCGTATTGACTATAAACTCGTTTCTATCAACATTACACCCAGTTTCTGATTGTGACACTATCGTTCTCAGCCAAGGTGTCGTCTTTTTCTTCTTGTCCTTTACCAATTGGCTCCATTCGCCAGCCTTTTTCGGTCTGTTATGTGCAATTCGCCTCTAACAAGAATGGAATAGATTTGCAAAATGAATGACAAGTTTCAGTGGTCATGGCCGTCCTCCATTTTCAACTTACTGTGTACCTACCAGCAAGTACCTAGGAAGGGGAGTAGGCACACGAGAATTAAGAACAGGGATCCCCGCCTATGGAGTCTGCCCAGTAGATCCCGGCTCCAGGTGTGGTGGCATCCGAATAAGAATCTGATACCACTGCCGAGTGGAGATGGACTGATCGGGCAAATCAGGGTCAACGTGAATTTACGGCTGCGAGTCTCAACTGCAGGCTTGGCAGGTGGAAATAAGACGATCCACTTCGGGGGTGTCTCGGCCGTTATCTTATCGATCTTATCAATCTCATCATTTTGCTGGAAATTTGTCACTGTGAAATTCTCCAACCTTTCTGAACCCTGCAGACATGAAGGCCAAGATAAGTGGAGGCGAATAACGTTCGCTTGGCCAATCACATCTCTGATTATATGCACGTGTTCACTTGTAGCATGCGTCCTCCGAAAAGGTTGTGTCGCCACGGAATGAAGATCCATTTTCAGTTGAAACGTATTTGTCGGTCAGGTTGAGAATTTTCAAAGGGGAAGTGGACCATATCTAGAAAATCTTCGTATACTCGACGCCCTATACTTGATTAGACAAAATCATACCAAGCTGTTGAGATACTGCGACTGCAAACCTGAATAGGCAATACACTTCAAAGTTTCATAGGGGGCGGCTGAAAACACTAAGGCGCCAAAAGTCTGCAAAAGCAAATGGCCGTAGGCATTACTGGGCATACTGAGACAAGCTTTGACTAAGCTTTTACCAAGGCAAAGAAGCATTGAGGCGGCCCATCAAATAATGATGATTGGGCTCGGGTTTTTCGCGTAAACACATTCCCCAACCCTCTTGTGTAGTCGAAAGTCATGGACCGAGGTCTTAGAATGGAATCCACCGCCCTAGAGAATTTGTCGCCCGCCGAAGGGGCCTGCGTTGATTGTAGCCTTCTTAGTTTCGGCGTCACTAACAAGCTTTTCCAGCGGCTAGCCAAGCCTTTTCCAGAGTTCCACCATGATTCATTCCAAGGCTGCGATGCGACTTGATAATTGTTGCCTTCCTGTTTAGAACTCCACTGTATTATCATGAGCAACCTGGCATGCTGATTCCGACATCGCATTATCCCAAGACTAGATCATTAATCCACTCGGTAGGTCTCGTCGGGTGTTGAGATTTTGCTGGATTCTGCATGGGTAGTATATCCATGATTGGTAATCGGGCACCAAGTATTCTATGCCAAGACGTTCAACTGGGTCATGGCAAGATAATCACCTCGATGGTTGTGCTGAAAGCTTTTCCAGGGACCCATAATCTAGGTAGAGAAATGTTATTGCCGTTTAACCGCTAGGCTCTCGCAAGGACGACGCCGGGAGGCGAGACGATTATGATCTGGAAGCCGAAACGAAGGGTGGGATGGTGAGGTAGTCTTCAGAGAGATACAGTGTTTACAAATGACTCAGTGTTGTATATGTGTTGGAGGTTTTGCTGGAAATGTTGTTGGGATCCGTCTTGTTCGATCAAGTATTCATTCAGCTACAATCAGATCCATAGAATTTCTGCTACTGCAATTTCGTTGCAAAAATGGCTGGAGATGTTCCTTCTGCGAAGCAACTCGACAACGAGTGGTCTGCCAAAGTATATGCTTACATTCTCTGTGGCTTGATTGCAGTCTTCATTGTCGACAGATGGGCATCATTCATACTTGGCAAACAATTTCGACAAGATTCTGCATCTGGCAACTGGTCATCTGTTTATTTTTATTTGAAGTCTTTCTATCTGTAAGCAACTGTCATATACACTCCCCAAAGACGAAACTAAACATCATCAGTAAACTACGAAGAGTCGTCGTACGCAGCTGCCTTGGGTTTCCTTCGGTCGGCCATGCTATTCTCGTTGCTATTTATGTCATCATCAACGTGATTCTCACGTTCGTTCACCTGGAATATGATAAGACCAATTATTATGCGGCCAGGTTTGGTTGGTATGTATTCGTAATCCTTCCAAAGTGACTCAAAAGAAGTATGCTGACATGCTATACAAGGATGGCCACAGCTAATTTTGCATTCATTGTCTTCCTGGCTCTGAAGAACACCCCCCTCGCATTCTTGACGAAATACTCGTACGAACGTCTCAACTTTCTTCACCGCGTTGCTGGCTACACGACCGTTCTCTTCATGTTGCTACATACTGCAGCTTACATCCGACACGAAGTTGCCAAAAACAAGCTAGAAAAGCTCATCGAGATTGATAATGTGTGTGGCATCGTTGCCGGTTGCGCCATGTTGGTTATAGCCATGACGGCCCTCCTCTTCATGGAGCGAACCTATGAGCTATTCTACGTGGCCCACATTACCCTATTCATTGTTGCGACCATTGCCACTGGTCTTCATCGACCCGAATGGATCGACAGAATACCCATTGTCATGATTTTGATTGCTGGGGCTTGGACTCTCGACCGTTTGACTCGGTTTGCCTGGATGGTGGCGCGCTCAATCAACAACGAAGCCCGCCTCGAGGCGCTGCCAAGTGGTGGGACAAAGGTGATTCTGAAGAAATCACTCAAGAATGCTGCACCGGGTACTCATTGCTTTCTGTGGATCCCCCGTGCACAGCTCTTTGAAACTCATCCCTTCACCATTGTATCCAATGGCCCGGATGGGCTTGAACTGGTAGCAAAGGCGCATGATGGTTTTACCAAGTCCTTGAACGAGCTCGCAAACAAGGAAGGCAAACAAGTGAGCCTCTACGCAAGTGTTGATGGCCCATATGGAACGTGTCCCAATCCTTCCGCCTACGACCGGCTAGTACTCGTGGTTGGTGGTACTGGCGCAACCTTTGCGTTTGGCATGATTATGGATTTGCTACAACGACAGTCTGAACAAGATAGCAAACTTCAAATTCATCTAGTTTGGGCCGTCAGGCATGTTGGTATGTTGTACCAATTTCACTACCATGGTCTTACCCCCAGAGTGCTGACCGTACACAGATGACGTTGCGTGGGCCGCGGACCACGTTCGGGCGCTGCGTGCCTATGGCTCCAGAGTATGTCTCGGCATTTATGTCACTCAAGACAGGCCACTGGCCTCCAACAGCGATGGACTTGAAGAGAGTACAAATACCACGGCTTTGGATTTGTTCCAATACTTTACTGTCTACGAGGGTACAGAAAGAAGTTTGCCTCCAACGGGTGAGAAGCACGGCCAAAATGAGAATGCCGCCTCAACAGATGATCTGGACGGGTGGATTCAGGAGTCCAAGCAAGAAGGCGCAACAGTTTGGGCATTGGTTTATGGAAAGCTCAGGTTGAACAAGATCCTTCCAGAGCTTGTCGCTGGCGCCAATGTAAATCAACGCATACTCATTGGGGTCTGCGGTCCAACTGGGATGACTGCAACGTCTCGGGATGTTGTCTCTCCGTTGATGCAACCGAATGGCCCGAGCATAGATCTGCATTGTGAAAGCTTCGGATGGTAGCTAATCGGATAACAAAGGCATCATGAATGAGGTAGTACTCGGTCAAACGTTACAATCACTGGGGGTTATCCGCTCCATGACACAGGACCCAGGTTCATGCATCGGTTTATTGCTATAGCTGCAAGATTTAGTAGATATTTACACATCTTAGTCTGTCCAGCAGGCTGAGTGGCAGAACAAGAACGAACCCCAATGAACCAATGATTGAGCTTTTATCATCTACTTGCCTGTTGCGACACATATCAAGGAGTATTGCCACTTGGGCGCCAACCAGAGTAGATAGCTAAAGACCCATATGTAACCCATCATCTTGGCATATGGCGAACACGCCTCGGCATTACAACGTAACTTCTTTCCACACACGGAAGCCACTACTGATTCCAAACAACATAACGCCCAGCTCGACAAGAAGAAGCTTAGCTCGTGTTGGAGATTGCTACTACCGAGTGTAAGTGTGTTGATGGCAGCGTGGTACAGGGCCGATATGAAGAAAATCCAGAAAGCCCAAGCACTATTTGTCAGCATAGTGCGCATACACTTTCTGTTTCTGTAGTCTGCAGCGATAGTTGGCACTGGACCCATTTTGTTGACCCCGGAAATAAGTGACTCAAACGTTGCAAGATGTAACTTATGCCACTACAACAACATGTGTTAGCAATTGCCCGTTAGAGTAGATAAATGAGTCTGAAACAGCTCTTTCAAGTAATTTGTCTGAGCCCGCTCTCTTGGAGCACCAATTTGGGCAATACTTGCTCATGAGACAACCTAGAAAAGGAGAGAATTGACACCAGGAGTTGCTTACGAAGACGCCCCAGAAGCGCCGGATTGTATATGCCTCGGCGGGAGAGCTGAAAAGAGCGGGCCAATGTTCAGGTGGATCCCATTGCAGAATAGACACGAATAGCACGACTAGGGAGAGGTGCAATGCGTTCAGAGTTGTGTATGTTTCCCAGATCCAGTTGATGGACAAAATTGTCCGTAGTAGCAAAGTCCTGAGTAGCGCTTGAGATCGTACAAGGTCCAAGTGTGAAGGCGACAGATCGTCGAGGGTGACTTCTAGATGGTTGAAGAGAGCAGCCGCGAGCAAACGAATGACGAGTTTACAACAATAGTACATGGCAATTCGAAAAGTAGTCGAGGCGAGGAAATTCCGTCTGGCCGGCCAAGGGCGTACTGCTTCTACGGCGGTTGCGCTCGTTGCGGTGGTACTCAGGGGAATTCTGCGTAGATTGCTCCACTCTCTAAAGATATCGCGGAACCTATGAGGTGGTGACAGCGGCGATGAAAGTATATCGTCCGTCCTGAATAGAATCAGAGATGTTGCATGGGCGCTACATAGCAGCAGGCAGCTCCAGAGCAGGCTGTCGCGAGGCGAGCACAAGTAGGCGCCCATGTGGATCATTGCAGTGCAAGCACAATACAAGATCCGTAAACACCGTCTATATCGACCGCCTTTATTGCGCACATGCAGATAAAACAGCAAAAAGTCTGCCGAGAGCCAAAACACAGTGTGAAATATGTTTGCCAAATACATCGTGCTGGTTGACATGCACGTTTCGTGAGGCTTGTTTGGAGCGTATAGTCATCCTTGACCCAGGGCCGCCGGCAGAAATAGCTGATATATTTGGCAGAGGACTCTCTCACTGCATCGTTTGAGATGACCCTATACCGTTCGTCCAATTGCCGATGCATTATCGAGGCAGTACTCGATATGTTTGCATCTTTTGTCAGACGGTGCCATCGTGAAGGAACATCGTGTATCCCACGTGACGTGTATGACGCCTTGCGCGACGATACACCCTCCGATAAGCACAAAGATGCGGCAATGTTAATAGCAATTCACAGGCCCTTGTGTGCTTTTGAATCCATATCGCCGAGGAACCAAGCAAAAACTGCATCTTGTATGTGTTGATGATACAATATAAGATACACTTAATCCATTCGAGACCAATATCAATGACATTGTGATTATCCACTCTTTCTACACTCCTAATCGCCCGCAACAAGAATACACTCTCACCATGCCTATTCCAGCGATCGTGATATTTGAGATTATCCCGACCATTGCCCACGTATTAGAGACCGTCGGCCTCTTGGGCGCGATTGGAGGTTCAATGGGTGGTTGGTGCGCACTCCATTGCCCGCCGCGCGACATTGGGCAACTCATCAGCACGGATACTCCAGTCAATTCCCCGGGTGACGGTGTTGGACCTTGTAATGTTCCTCAGTACAATTTCGACATGTGCCGCGATGCCGTCAAGAACATTCAAGTGACGAGTTCGAACCCCAGACCAGGAGGTATGTTTTTTGGTCAAATTCTTTCCTCATAGCTAAGGAAAAGAAACAGTGGCACAGTTTGACAATGTTCCCTTTCAATGCATGGATCTCGTCACGGTCTTGGCTGGATCCTGCGACGGCGAAGGCGCGCGTCCAGTACCCTGTGGATCGGCTTGTGTCCAGTACACTGGATTGACGGATGCGCAAATGGGCAGTCTTTCATTGTCTCTAAACGCTCATTAACCAACTCTTGGATAAGGGGGATGGGGGAGGGGGGTGGCGGCAGAGCTGGGTGAGCTTTAGTGGTTCAATGGCACATTATGGGCTAGGCGCTCGCACAGGAGATCCCCCGCTAAACCTGTGCCTACCGAGTTGGCGCAAGCAGGATATTGAGCCCCTAGAGTAGGTAAGTTTCTGCGCGCTCGAAAGGCCTCGCCGCCCCGGACAATAGAAATCAAACTTTATCAATATGTATTACATGCCTACCACGCGCTCGATCGCGCACAGCGAACAACCAATAAGCCATAACGACTATTATTACGACGAGGAAAATAAAAGGCACCCAAAACAAATCAAGAGCGAACAATTTCTCAAAAATGAATAAGAAGTAAACAGATAATTTCAGGAAACAAACTGCATGCTGTTCTCTAGAATGATTCCCTTGAAGAAAAACTTGAACCTTGCCAATGAACTAATTACAAGTGATATCATGCGCTGAACCGCTTGAACATGAGCGCTTTAGTTGGATCAGGCAGGGAATCGAGCCCCATGTTCAGGTTAGGATAGCGTTCAGTGAAGCCCTTGGGCATCTCAAACTCATATTCAAGCAGGATCCGAGCTAGAATCAGCTTGATCTCATTGGCAGCAAAAAATCGACCGGGACTTTGTTTCTGCGAGTCAGCTTCCGTTGTGCATGTCTTGAGCGCAATTGTTTGGTGGGACAGGCGCTATGGGTGTAGCGAGTTCTACAATGTAGTGAGGGCACTTGAATGAGGGCTAGGGGCGTAGAGTGGTCCAAGAAAGAAGGAAGCTCACCATGCATGCCGCCCGTAGCCAAAGGCCATGAATTCCTTGGTAGCTGTAACAAACTGATGCTGCTCTCTGTTCTTGTATCCCAGCGGGTCTGGGATTGCGCCAGCTCGGAGATTCATGAAACGGTGGCCATCAAAGGTCTGCGCATGAAAGCTTAGCTCTCATGTATTCTATCGGTATTTTCCCGTAATTTTAGATTCTCACCTCGGGGTTTGAGTACAAGTTTGAATCTTGAACGATGCTCGCGTGAGCCGATTCGATATGAGTGCCAGCCGGCAGATGCGTACCATCGCTGAGCGTAATTGGCTTTTCAACAATACGAATGAACCGGACTGTTGTTCAATCAGTCTTTTACTCTCAATGGAGGATGGATATTTTCGATACTGACCCAAGTTTCCCGGGTTAATCCTTTGCGACTCTTTCATGACACTATCGAGGAGTTTCATTTCAAAGAGAGCGTGAGTTGTCAATTTTCCACCGTTTGCAGCCATGACTGATCTGATCTCGTGGCGAAGTTCCTTCACCAGCTCAGGCTGAACTGCGATGTCGTAGAGCCTAAAACTGATTTAGAGCCTGCGGCAAGCGTCTGCATGACGTTTGAGTGAACGAACTTACACGAGGGTGGTTGTCAACGTGGTCGTGTGAATCGCGGCTAAACCGAGATTCAGTTGTATCAGGGCGAGGGAGTCGTCGCTCACACCGTATTCTGCTGCTTTATTCATCATCCATTGAAGCATATCGTCAGGTAGTTCATGACCCTGCTCCACCATCCGCCTTCGTTGAGCAACGATAGGACTCAACCAGGCGACGGCGTTGCTTCGATGCTGATGAAGGCTTTTGATCTCCGGGATGAAGTACTGGCCGATGGGCCGTGTCCACTTGCTCCACTGCTTCAATTTGCCAATCGCTGTGAATAGATCGACGGTATACATAGTCGCAGGCACGATCCAGTCTTCCGAGCGACAGAGCTCTGGACCCAGGAAGATGTTGCCCGAAGCAATTGCGACAATGCGCAGCATCTTCTGATAGATGACAGCCTCAGTCCAGTCATTGCATGGTCCCAGCTCTTCAATTACTGTGCGCGTAACCTCTGCTTCAAGCCTTTCGTTAATGCGGCCTGTGAGACTCGGCATCAGCATTTTGTACAACCACGATTTGAGTGCTCAACTTACCCAAGCCGTGCGTAAGATCGCTCCGTATTAGGTGAATCAGGAATTCGGTTTCGTTCGGTTTTCCTCCGAGGCCAGTGTATTTGATCTCGTTACTCTAATACCGTTAGTGTGTGGCAAATAGCTTCAAGGAAAAGCACTTTGTACCTTTTCGATGGCCTTTTCGATACTGATGTGGGAATCGGGCATGCCTTTCACATCGTCTAACAAGCAACGAGGTATCACTATTCTTTCGCCTGAAGGCTCATCAGTACTGCGAAGCTACTGCCCAGTCTCAAAGATTGCCTTACCATCAGTACCTGTTAATCTCCATACCCTGTCCTTGAATCTCTCATAACCCTTGTTGTACAAGTCTTGTGCAGTTGAGAGAAACGCCTTTCTACGCTGCTCCGGGCTTCCCAACTCTTCCCCCAAAAGCGGTATCTTGTCTAAGCCGGGTTTTCTTGGCGAGTTCAGTCTAAGTATCATGACAACACTAGAAAGCAGAGCGAACAAAATCAGGACCGCCACGGGCTCGGCTGCGAGAATCAAGATTTGATCCATAATTTCCTCTTACTTGAGCCAGTGCGAGGAGGAAGATGTGATCAAAGGGGCGTATGAAAGATGCCCGAGTTGATCTGCGATCCATAGAACAGAGGTGCTGGAGAGCTATCTAATATATCCGATCAGGTGGTCTGCGGTGGGTACTGAATACGTCAGTGCCACACTTCATTCCAAAAATTGATTTTTCTGGCCAGACTCGAAGATTTGGAAAAGAAGAAGGGGGAAGAACCGGGAAGGACTCAATACCGCAGTACAGTGCCTATCGTGGGTCTTGATCACCCAAGCAAACTCTATTTGTAAGTGGATCTGGATCTCGGCAAATCCTTGCTTGCCCAACACACTCTCAGGCTATTATAAGTGCGGTAAGTGGGTTGTGAAATAAACTATATCCGGTACAACCCTTATGCATTTCCGTGGCTGACGACATGGAGGGGATCTCTGGTTCGGCATGGTCTGATGAGGCCCAACACTCTAAGGTTGTCAGGGTTAACGGAGTTCCCACAATCTTCTCATCTCACAATCTCTCATCTGAACATGCAGACACATGAAGAAAATAAATTTGAAAAAAGAAAGAGAAATGAAAATGATTTCACCTGATCTCAGAACAAAGTTGATCGAACATGATTGTTCGCTATCTGTGGTTGGGCAAAAGCGTCCGTCCAGCCTGCCATCGTGTATCATCAAGCTCTAACTTTCCTCATATGGACACTTGTATCCTATTTCAACATCATCATTGCCGAGAAGTCCATGAGAAACGTGAACAGAATAACCCTCATACATATACGTACGCATCCGGGTCAAGTTGGGCCCAGAACTCCAAGTAAGTCACTAGAACGTAGTTAGAGTCATGTTTGCATAAACACACTCACATCTATACTTATATGCATGCGACAGAAAAGTTGGAGACGAAGCTCAATCACTTAATACTTTCAGAAATATGCTGCAATTTAAATAGGTACAAGCTGTAAATTTATCGAAGGTGGTAAATACTAGTTTCACTACCTATGAAAATGTTCAGATTACTGGAGTCGAGCCTCTAACACTGCTTGCAACTCCCCCGGCTTCTGCCAGACCCGTTTGAGAGAAAGTCCTGCGCTCTCCAACAGGTGTCGAAACTGGGCCTCTGTCCGCTCTTTACCTGCGTAGGTCATCATGACAGCGTCCGAGGCAGCCGTCAAGAAATCGCATCCTACTTCCGGAACGACAAAGGTCGCTATTAGCAAACGAGAGTGAGAGTCCATGGCCGCGGCTTGATTTTTCAAGATGAGTTTGCAAGCGGCATCGGGCCAATCGCACATAATGCGACGTAGGTAGTAGAACGCGGCCCCTGGGAATTTGTTTTCAGTCAATACTTTCCAATCTTCAATGTGGAGTACATGGATCTATTGTCTTACCTTTTACTGGCTGAGGATCGAAGAAGTTGTAAGGCATCGTCTTCTTCACCACGGCGTGGATATCCTGCTCCACGCTGCTCAAGACAAGTGCCTGATCTTGTAAGATGATTCTGCCATGCAACTCCGGATGCGCCTTGGCCAACGCCCGAGATGCCTGGCCCTTGCCGCCTCCGACATCGACCAAGACATCGTCGGCACTTGACCATTTGACCTCCTGATCGAAGGGAAAGACTCCCACTATTCCAATGAATTCCATCTCTTGGTCTCGGTCGAATACCTCGGCCTTCTCAGGGTGCTTGGCCAGGTAGCCAAACAATGAATCACCCCCATGCGCCATGGAGAAGGGACAGTTGTCGCTTGACTCGGGAGACTTCCACCCGTTTTGAGCCAGCCATTGGTGTTGTACCAAGAAGCAGGGAAGCGTCTCGTCAAAGCCATGTAAGAACGCGGCGCGAATGGCTGGCTGTTTAAAGCCAACGGACACAGGGGTGTGTGCATACTCTCCAAGGTTAGGAGATGCGAAGATGTTGGATGCCAGGAGCGGGCGCAGGAGACGAATGAGCAAGTCTTCGGTTGCTCCGCTTGCCTTTGCGAGTTGGGTAATGGGTATAGTGCCGGTTTCCGGGACGAGCTGAAAGGATAGCCATGTGTCAGCTAGGGCTTGTTGCCATTTTATCTAATAGTCGACCGGTTCACGACGCGGAAGTATACTTACATCATACAAGCGAAGCTCGATAATAGAGCGTAAAGCTGTCATAGTGACGATGGGTGCCAGAGACTGGTGCAGCAGAAGCTGCGCCGGATTAATGGAGGGAAATTCAGAACCCATCTTGCTTGTCGATGAATCGTTCAAAATAACACTTGTGGTATGTGGGTTGCTGAATGCCGTAAGGACAAGACTGCACCAAAGTGTATGTTTGTAGCAATAATGGGCCATATATAATGGTTTCGACTTTGTAGTTTCCGGATGACATGTTTGTGTCGACCAGTTCATCAGACGGTGACAGTGCGATTTTGGTACAGTTGCGCAGCCTTCATCAACTGCCGAATGTATTCAAGGAATGATCGCTTCTTTAAAGTTCAATATCTCTCATCACCTTTCGATTTGCATATGTGACTACGATTCTCAAGCCAGAGAGTGTAAAGGATCTATAGTTGTGGATACAACGGCACTCGGCTGTTCCAGGTTGTGAGCCCTGAATAGAATCTTGAACTTCCTGATGTAAATGATTGGTTATCAAGCAAGGAAAACGGTCATGGGCATGAAATGCTCATCTGAGACACTGATTGGCAAGCTTCTCTATCTCGCGGGCGCCAAAAATTCCGAGTTTGAGACTCGCCTAATGCTGCGTAATTGGTCTATTTGGTCAAGTACCTGCGTAGACAGTGACTATTCTGCCCAATCTCGACATCAACGAGCTAAAGTGGCTATATAAATGTTGCAGTAGGTCTCAAATCATGTCGTAAGTATGTAGAAGTTTGTTAACTATTGCCAAACACAATATTGAACCTATCAGTACCAAAACAGTCATGTTCTCAGCAACCTTTATTTCACTTTTCGGTGGCTTCTTTGCCTTTCTGGCATACAAGTTAGCTACGTTGGGCTCTGAAATTCCCGATGGCATTCCCTGGGTCGGGCAAGACTATCCGGGCCCTTTCAAGCGCACCAGGTCGTATCTTCGCAGCGTCTTCCATACACGTGAGATGATTAGAGAGGGATATGAAAAGGTATCTTCCTAGAAACTAAATCATAGATTATAGGAGAAAAGCTCAAGTTCAGCAGCATTCAAAGAATGGCCGGTCTTTTGTCCTTCCGAACCTCTTTACGGGCGCCGAAATACTTATTCCGCCTTCTCAAATTGATTGGTATGGCATTTTATACCGGTAAAAAAAGGTGATGGAGCTGACCCTCTTTGATGAAAGGCTCAATGAACAGGTCGAGGAAGACTTCAGTATCATCGAAACCCATAAACAGTTTATCCGGGCGGATTATACGATGCTTCTGGACCAGACAACCATACACGAGCGCATCTACAGAGGGGCATTCCGCAAGAACCTGACCAGGAGATTTTACGAGCTCTTATCGCCACTCGCCGAGGAAGTAGAGCATGCACTCGATGGGCAAGCCGGACTAGACCACAAAGAGTGGAAGCTCATTGAAGGTTTCAAATTCTGGAAGAGGGTCGTGGTCCAGTCCGTCAGTAGCATTTTTGTGGGCAAACCCCTTTGCAACGATCCGTCGTACTTGTACTACGCCAGCAGGTTTAACCAGAACGTGATGCTGAAAGCCGGCATCATTGGCACCCTGCCATCTTTCCTTCGCCCGTAAGGTATAGCCCAGTATTAGTGCCTTGGAAACCACTCTAACCTGAGGCAGTGTTTTTGGCTACCTGATTGTGCTTACCGACAAGTACTACCACGCAAGGTGTGCAAGCATCACAAGCCCTACCATCAAAGAACGCTTGCATCACCAAATGGAGTTGGCTTCGGGCAAAGCAGGAGTTGCTGTATCCCAACCGGTACGTAGCCAGCCTAAACCCATGTTTTCAATCGGCAGTCGGTTCCTGAAGGCGCTGACGATGATGAGTAGAATAACCTCCTGATTTGGTCGTGCGCGGATGCCGTCCAAGCGGCCCAGAGTGGCAATGCGGCAAAGTTCTCGTTGGATTTCCTCACGCGGCGTTTGAGTTTGATGAACTTTACGTCCACGCACAGTACCGGTCTCAATCTGAACAGCATGTTGCTCGATCTCCTCTTCTCAGCCAAGGAACACGCTGAGCAGGGGTTAAGTGGGCCGAGCATGATGGACCGCGTACGATGTGAGGTCGAGAACGCGTATCAGACATACTGCGAGACCAGAGATCGGAACCCTCATGCCGGGCAGGTTTTCTTGGAGTCCTTGCCTACCATGGAGGCTTGCTTCAAGGAGACATTGCGCCTGCGGGGCTTTGTGTCCCGCATCGCGATGAAGACAACCACAGCTCGGGGTAGTCAAATCAACGTTCCAACGGTGGGCGTCGTACCTCGAGGAATTAAAGTTGGCATCCCAGTCTGGGGTCTCCACCACGATGAAGAAATTTATAAGGATCCCTTTCAATGGTCAGCGGAGAGGTGGCTTGACAATGGGCCCATGCAAAGCATGCCAGTCGGGGGTGGGGGCTCACACGAGATGTACAGAAGTTACATTCCGTTTGGGTACAAATCCACTGTTTGGTAAGTGCCCAATCAAGATGCTCCAAGATTCTTGGGACTGAGCTAACGCATCGTTCCGACCCGAGCAGCCCTGGCAGGTTTTTCGCTGTCAACGTGGTAAAGTTAATTGCAGCCCATGTTATATTGCACTATGACCTTCAATTACCGGCCGACGCCGAACGCTCCGGACATCTGTGGTGGGGCCCGTCCATCAGCTATGGCACAGACGCAAAGTACCTGGTTCGACGGCGTCAGCACACGGTATTCTCGCCAAGCACTGAGTCTGGGGGCTGGTGGTACCCATCGCTGTAGAGCAGGGATTATTGTCAGATGGTGGACTATGGTTCCCATACACTGGCGTGTGCTTAAGCACACGGATCAATACCATAGTATCTAAATAAATATACGGGACCTCCCGGGGATTAGCCGGGGCTATCTAAATAAGCGTATATTTTATTAAAACTAAAAGGCGCAAAATATAAATTAATATATTATATAATTAATATTAATATTAGATTAATTTAAATTTTAATAGGAAAGTATTATTTTAATTAATAATTAAAAGTTTTAATGCTTCCGCCGAAGCTATAAAAATAATAATTACGAAAAAAGCCGGAATCGGCCTAACGGCATCGTTAAAAATAACCTCCGATTAAAATAATTAAAAATATACGTTTTAAATTTAAGTATAAATTACCGGATTAATTAATTATTTTAAAAATAAAATAATTTTAATTAAAACCTTAATCGAATTAGATATTAAAAAAATTAAATATATAAAAACCGCGGTAGTAATTTTCGAAATTATAAATAAAAGCGATAATTTAAGTATTTAAAATAAAAAAAACGGGGAATAAACGATAACGGATTTTATTAAAAAAGGTTAAAAATCGTTTAATTTCGATTATAATTATTATAAAATAAAAAAGGCTATATACGCTAAATAATATACGGTAATTAAAAAAATTACGAAATAAATAATTATTACGATTTTTCTAGATTTTTTTTTTATATATTGCTTAATTAACGAGCCTTTATATAAATAATATAAAAATTTTAGGGCTCGCTATAACAAATTAGCCTCCGATAATAAAAAAAAAGCAAAAAAATAATATTTCGAAATTTTTAAGCCTCCGAAAATATTAAAAAAAGCTATAAATTAGGTTAATAAATAAAAAATAATTATAGTAAAAGCCTAAATAAAGCAAATAATTAAAATATAAAATAATTCGGCTTAAGCTATAAATTTCCTAAATACCGTTATTTTAATTATATTATAATAGGCCGCTTTTTATTAAATTTATAAAAAATAAAGCATTTTAAATAAAAATTTAAAATATTAGGTAATAAATAACGATTTCCGTAAAAGCTTAAGTATTTAATAGCCGATTAAGCTAAAAATTAGGAAAGGCGCTTTTGTAATTTACGTTAATAAAGCTGATAAATAGCCTTAAAACGGATAAAATAAAAACGCTTACCCCGTTAAAAATTAAATGCTTTCCCGATTAAATACGGCTAATTTACGTAAAAAAAAAGTAAATAAATTATTTATAATAAAAAATAAAAAAATATTAAATGCTTTATTTGCTATCTTTTTTACGCTTTTAATTTATATTTTTATATATTCCTAAAAAGAACTTATTTAAGTTTCGTTTTTAAAAATAAAATATAAATACGAATAAATAAAGCCTTTAAAAAAACTTTAATTTATAAAAACAGGTTCGTAATATAAAAAGAATTAAAATTAACCAAATTAATATACTATAAATAACTAAAGAAAAATCGCTTTTAATTAATACGGATTAATAAGACGGATAATTAATAATAAATATATAAAGCAATTTTATAATATTTATAAAAAATTATTTTTTATGCTATTTAGTTATTTTAAATTTAGCGATAACGATTTTAATTATAAATATAAAAATAAAGCTTATTAATTATAAATAAGCTTTTAATTACGATTTTATTTAGTTAAGCGACCGGAAATTATTTATTTACGGATATAATATAATAATTATATAGCTCGGATTTAAAATATTATTATTAAACGATATAGCTTATTATTTTAAGTTATTAATTATATTAATATTATTTTGTTAATTATAAAAATAAAAATATTATTAAAATAATAAAAACGATTTTATAATATTACGCAAAAAAAATAAATTTTTAATTAGCATATTTTAAAATTAATATAAATAATATATTTTCGAATATAGATTTTACGAATTACCTTTAGCGTTATTTGCTATTTACCGGAAAAAATATATAATATAAATAAAAAGGCTATTATTAATTAAAAAAGCTATATAATAACATTATAAAATAAGATATTTAGGCCCGGTAGCTTTCGAATATTTTATTTATTTATTTTAAAAGGTAAAAATTAAAAAATTAATTATAATAAAATATAAAACTTATATATTTGCAAAAATTAAGCGTTAATTACGGCGAGCGTTATAGCTAATTAACGAAGATTATAGCGAATAACTAGCTATAAATTTTTATAATTATATTAAAAAAATCGAAAATTATATATCCTAAATATTAATTATTTATCGGTAAACGGGATATATATAGAATTATTATTTTACGGAAAGGATTATTATTATATTAATTAACGCTTTCCGATCGTTTTTAGGTATAATAAAAACCTAATATAATATTAAAATTAAAGTTATCGAATACGATAACAAAATTACCGAAATTAAATAGGTAATCGGAAAATATTTTAAAAATAAATATATTAAATTCGAGCCTTTAATATTATATATATAAACTTAAAATAAAGCTGCTAAACGCTTAAAGGGTATAATTAAAAAAAAAACGTATAATACGCACCGGCGCAAAATTCTTTTATTAATTTTAGCCTAAAATCGGTAAAACCGCGGTATATTTATATAATCGCACGCCGAATTATAATTCCCGATAGCGTATATTATATATAAGATTTTATAAAATAGTTATAAAAATAAAAAAAATCCTAAATCTAAGCTATAAGCCTAATTAGATTTATTTTAAAATATTCGGATATAAAATATATATAATAACGCTAACGGTATAATAAAAATTCGGCCGTTTATAGCGATTAATACCTAAAATATAAATAAAATATTTAATCGGATATAAATTATTTAATATTTATAAAATTTAAATTTTTAATTAAAATAAATTAATTAATATAAAAAATATAATTATAAATAAAAAAAAATTATACGACGGAAAATAAGATATATTTAAAAATAAGCTTTTAAATATTAATACCTAGCTTATCGCCGATTTTATAATTAATTACGCAATATTTAAAAACGAAATTTTATAAAAATTAAAAAATAAAAATACCGCCGTAAAAAATATTTTATTAGGCGATAATTAAAACGATTAAAAGGAAAATAATAACTAAAAAAATAAAAAAGCAGCGCTAAATAAAAAAAATAAATAATACCTTTTTATTACCGCAAAATTTGCTTTTTAAATTTTATTATAAATATTTTTATTAGCTTTATTAATATATAATATAAAGGCGATTACGATTAAAAATACGGCGCTATTAGCAAAAAAACCTAAAATAATCCTATAATAAATAGCTTTTTTAATTAATTATAAAACTATTCCTAAAACAGGATAAAACAATAATTAAAACGATAAAGCGAAGCTAAAACGCTTTTTTTTATTAAAAAATAAAAATTTATAAAGCGGAAATCCTAGCTCTTTTTAAATAATATTATAAATTATATTATTATCCGTTTAATAAATTATTTTTTTAAATAAAAGCTAATTATTTATAAAATTATAAAAATATATAATTTTAAACCGAAATTAATAAAAAAGATTTACGAATAAAAGGCAAATAAATCTTTAATTATATATAAATATACGTATATAAATTCGATAAATATAAAAAATTCTAAAAATATAAAGCAAAATTTATCGTTTACGATAATTAATAAGCGAAATTTTAAAATTAAAAAACCTACGCGGCTATATTAGCTAAAAAATTATTTTGTACCTTAATCGCGATTATAGCAAAATTCGATTTTAAACTAATATAATATAACGTAATAAACGCGTTTATATACGCTTTTATTAATTAAAATATATTTATAAAAATACCGGATAAATATCGAAAAAAAAATATTATATTATTATTAAATAAAATATTTTATAAATTACGGATATTACCGCTATTATAATAAAAAAAATTTATAAAAACTTTAGCCGAAATCGGCTATACCTAAATATTATATAAGCCTTACGCATTTATTAATAAAAAAATATTAGTTTTTTTTATATTAACGATATAATTATCGCATATAAAAATAAAAATAAAAAAGCTATTAATTATTTAATATAATATTTTATAAAAAAATATAAAATTAATAATAGCGAGCTAATATAATAATTTTTCGGGATAAAAATAATTAAAAATCGTATATTTAAAATAATTTAGTTATTTTAAAAGGCTTATTTTAAAAAAATCGCTAAGCTTATAAATAAATAAAAGATTTATATAACGCTAATAGGCTACGAAAAATTTATGCTTTAATTAATTATAGCGCTTTTATATAAAATATAAAAATATTAAAAAAAAATCGGATTATTATTATTTACGGCTATATTTATAAAGCTAAATATCGTATTCGTAATAGCTAAATTAGCTCGATTTTTTAATAATTTAAGCTAAATATATTAAAAAGTTATTAATCGAGCTTTAATTTACCTAATTAATATTAAAAAACTTTCGTTTAAAATCGGAAAATCCTTTAATTTAATAATTGCTAATAACGCATTATTTACCGATAATAATATCGATTGCAAAAATACTTAAATATTCGCTATAAAGCTATTCGGAAAATTAATTAATTAGCGATTAAATAAATAAAATATAATTATTATTTTTATTATAAAAGCTAAATTATTTATTTTAGCATAAGCTATTAAAAAAATATTATTTATTAGCCGATTATTAAAAAAATTATTAATATAATTAAATAATAGCATTATTATTATTAAATATAATAATAAGCAAATTATTAATTTAATTAACGCCGAAATCGCGTTATTAAAAATAAAACTTTATTATATAAATATTTATAATTATTAATTGCGGCAAAAAGCCTAAAAAAAAGATTAAAATTATTTATAAACTTTTAAATAAAATAATAATAAATAAATTAACGAAAAATTTGCTAATAAAAAAATAGCAGAATTTTTTATAATAAATAAAATTTAAAATTATTTATCGTAATTAAAACGAATAATTTTAAAAAAAGCTATATTTTGCTAATTAATAACTTTAATTTAAATATAATTAAATTTACGATAAATCGTAAATTTAAAAAAATATATTAGATAATAAATTATAATTTTTATATATTAGCGTATACTTAAATATACGGATTAATATTATAGTATTTAAATAAATATACGGGACCTCCCGGGGATTAGCCGGGGCCACCTAAATAAGCGTATACCTTATTAAAACTAAAAGGCGCAGAATATAAATTAATATATTATATAATTAACACCAATATCAGACCAGTTTAAACTCCAATAGGAAAGCACCACCTTGATCAACAATTATAATCTCAATAGTACTAGATTCCAGCTACTATAGTACCCCGGGTGAGCGGGTTGTGGGTATTGGATCCAGGAGCGTGGCTCTCGGCAATCGCCAGTCAAAATAATCGACCTACTATTGGACAGAAATCGTCAACCAAGGAAGCACAGTTCCCTTCTTCAGTGTTCCTTGGTAAGGCCAAGGGCGTGGTACACGCGGGTTTCATGGATGCTTGTTTGTATGGCACGCTAATATCTAAGCTTGCTATAAACGGCTGCAGAGATATCGTCACCTGCAAACGGCAGTTGTTATCTATCTTGATTATTAATTTCCCCTATCCACCTAAGTTAGCGCATGGATGCAATGAATAAAGTTTTCAGATATTGGTATGTGATGAGCTATTTCTAGCATCAGGCCCCTGAAAATTGAAGACTGCCCTTGCCGGGAAGAAACGCTCCGCTCTCTGTATAATGAATAGAGTTCATGTTTGACTCATGTAGTTGTATAAGCAGGCGACAGCAAGGTATGAATGCTGATCGATCACAGTTTCTCAGTTGAGGTGGCTGTAAACAGTGGATTCTTAGGTTTGCATTCAGCTTGGGTGTGCTTTGTAGGCCGGCATCATGTTTCGGTAAAAGAGCTTCAACTGCCGAATCTGGACTTTGAAGTGGCCTGATTGATTGAAACGTTGAGGTTTTTTCTCTCTCTATTCACACTTTCGGTATAACGCTGTGCTAAGGTTAGTACTGTGCGACGGAATTCACGGTAGTTGGACCTCCAGTGATGATCGTACCATGAAAGAGAATTGTAGTTTGCTTTGTACGGTTAATCCTACCTCTGAGTCGGCTTTAATTAGATGTTGATGCTCACAGTATCATACCATTCCCGTTCCTTTCAAGATCTCAGCCATCCATTCAATATAGCGAGAAAAAACTGGCCTTTGAAAAATTGCTTGACATTGATACCAGACTGGTGTAATGGAGCAAGAATTACGAAGTCGTGCTCTCGAAGCATGGCCATCTATCAAAGCCGTTGTGAAATCCATGGAGTTGTGGTAAGTAGCAGATGCCCAATCTGCCTCCCGCCCCCTCCCTCAGGAGGTGCCATTTGTACTAAAACGTGCGAGCCTTTAGTATTCTTTGGATATCGCCAGCCATCATCATCTATGCGCCAATCAAGTTTTCAATGTTCATCTTTGCAGTCTCTGCAGTCTACATCATCGCGTGTATCGTTGTCGGAAAGTCCTCATGGATATCCGTCAGCAGTGTCTGGTACGTATCGTGGTCACGAATGATCCATGTCCTTGGTATTCGCTGACTTTAGAAGCCCATGCCACCGTACAGTTGGATCACTGGGCATTTACTATCAATCATGCCTTTCGTAGACAAGCAACCTTCAGATGCCCTTTTCAACTATGCCTTGACCGAAATGGCCTGGTCAATTGAGAGTGACGCATTTTACTTGGATTTCTGGCCCATCGCTGGGCCAATGTTGGTTCTCAAGAGCCCAACCATGGCAATGCAAATGATGCAACAGAACAACCCTGGTAAACCAGACTTTCTTGGTAACGCATTCACTGAGCTCTCCGGTGGGCCGAATCTGATCAGCATGGAGGACGCTATGTGGAAGAAGTGGAGGGCAATTTTCACTCCAATTCTGAGCACGTCGGTCATTCTTCAACAAGCTCCCAAGGTAGTAGCCCAGTGCGAAGTTTTGTGCGAAAAGCTGCGTCGCCGCGCCCATGAAGGGAAGATGTTTCAATTGGAGGACGATACAATTCCCCTCACATTAGAGGTTATCTCGACAATATCACTGTAAGAGCGCAACACCCTCGGCTAACATTGCTTGTTATTCGTTTGCTGACACTTTCCCAGAGACAGGCTATTCAACTATCAAATCAAGGACTCCGGAATGCCTCGACACCTCAGGGCCATGATAAACTGGAGCTCCTTTGGCAGCAGCTTGAATCCATTCAAACGCTGGAACCCCGTCCGTCCTCTTGTCGTGGCGTATCATGGGCACAAGATCAGCAAATATATCGGCGCAGTACTTGAAGACGACCTTGCTCAATGACGTGGCGAGCACGGCATTACCAAAGAATCCAAACCGAAACAGACAAAAAGCATGGCCGAACTCTTAGTGGATGCTTACTTGACCGAGCACGGCGACAGACCCGGACCAATGGAACCAACCTTCAAATACCTTGCCTGTGCACAGCTGCGCCTTTTCCTCATTGGCGGACACGATACGACTTCTAGTGCACTAGTCTACACATACCACCTCCTGTACGAAAATCCGGGGCCACTCGCCCGTCTCCGAGCCGAACACGACGAGGCCCTTGGCGAAGACATAGCAGAGGCCGGCGCCCGTATATCGGCGGACCCTACATTGCTGAACAAACTGCCCTACACAAATGCCTGCATCAAGGAAACTATGCGAATCTTCCCACCAGCATCTGCCATGCGCGTCGGCACACCTGACATTGTGCTGACAGACCGCAACGGGACACAGTATCCTACTGCCGGTTGCAATGTATGGTCATTGCATCTGGCCATGCATCGCAGCCCTAAACTGTTCAAGGAACCCCGGAGCTTCATTCCCGAACGCTAGCTTGTCGGCCCCGATCATCCACTGTACCCGCCCAAGGGTGGGTATAGGCCATTTGAGTTTGGCCCACGGAGCTGTCCCGGACAGACGCTGTCGATCATGGAAGTTACAGTGACACTGGCCATGACAGTTCGGGACTTCGATATCCACAATGCATATGCAGAGTGGGATGAGGCACATCCGAGCAAACGGATCAAAGTAGCGTTCGGAGATCGACCCTATGCAGTCGAAGGAGGAGGCGGAGGGTCGCACGCGGTGGATCGATATCCTTGCCGAATTTCAATCGCACGGAATCTTGACGCTTATAGTGATGAGAAGTCACCAGCAGTATAGATCTCAGGGCTTTTGACTGAGCCGTTACTACGGTGAGCGTCTTTATGGTGAACATTCTGCTCCTCGTCACTAAGCTGATGAAGCTATTGAGTGAGTCGATTATGTAAGCAGCTTTCAAAAGCATCATTTTTTCATCACCTTTTGCATCGCCCAGATATTGGATCATACCAGGAGTCCATTGGGCCCATCTCCACTCTGTTCTGGTTTGTATGTCAGCCGTGCAAGGGTACATCGTGCGGGTTTTCCGGGTTGCTTCGGTTCTGTCGGTTGCTGGTCATGTAACGTGCTTTGATGACTTTGAGGTCTATTCAGCAATACAATACAATGTTCTTTGTGAAATCATGCGATCAAAAATTGTTCCTTCTTGACTATGCAAAGCTGGGGTGCCCAGGCCCTTTACGTTCCATCAAGGCCAAAGTCTTGCCCTTTTTCGTTTCGACCAGAGTCATGTCCAAGAGTTTCTCATAGAATGGTACGGAACGTTCCCAGTCTCCTGTGAATAGTATACTGCGCCTTAGATATGGCATAGTGTCAATCACTTCCTTTATGCAGCCGACCAGCCATTTTCCTAGGCCTTTGCCTTGAGTCGCTGGGTCTACCCACACATCCGTGACGTACAGGAATGTGGTACAGTCGGTAATGCACCGGGCAAATCCCAGGAGCTGCGTGGCTTCCTAAATACTGCGTGAGCCCATGCTGCGTATTCGTTATTGCTTTGCAAGGAAATGCTTACCGGCTCTTTTGGATTGAGGGCGTTGGCCTCTCCGTCAGTAGACTCGGACTTGTACAGTCCAAAGCATATGGAGTTTTCCAATGTTTCGCGCATAACCTCTTCTGGCAGTGACTTTGCCCAGTAAAAGGTATCAGACGAGAAGACTTCGCATAATCTCGTCAATGGTATCAGGGAAGCATTGGTAGAAATGAGGTAGTCGCCTTTGGTCCACGACCGGGATTTTATTTCATCAACAATACGCCCCATTTTCGGTGTCTCTGTAGATATTACAGTTGCAGTTATTGTAGATTCTATAGAAGTCGAAAAGATTGATTGTCATGAGATTTAGTGAATACAGTCGAGCATTGAGGGGGCTGCAGAGTGCCTAGATATACTGCCCAAGAGGAGTCATTCATTGGGGGGGGGGGCCCACTCCGGAAACCGGCTGCCAGCCAAGACACGATAGGGAGATAGCTTCGATTTCCTTTACGTGTATGACGTCCTCTCTGAATAGGCGAGCCGACAATTGTTCAGCTCCTCATTCCAAATAATTATCCATGCCTCCTCAGGCTTGCATGTTGGACCGGTTTTGATTGAACTCGATGGTACTACTGGCTTTCAAGACTGATGGGTTGCAGTGAGAAATGCATTTTGGTAGCGCGCTAGCTGACAGAGCTGGAACACTCTACACAGCTGCGTGGCCTGACGCTTCATCGTCATATTTTCAGGTTTTCTCTTCGCCGGCCATGACTAATTCAGTGTTTTTGAAGAATTAGCATAAATGTTTCACATAATGACTTGCCAGGTACTAGAAATGACTCGTTGAGAGAATGAATTGCACTACCAGATCAACGGTTTCTAGACAGAGTACGGCGTATGTAGGTACTAAGCCTACAGTACTAGGTTAGGTCAATTGTGTATATGCTTCCCCAGGGCATCGCTTATCTATCACGCAAAATTGCATCACGCTGTCATCATACTACCATTTATTCGGTGGAAAACATGAACGATTGTTTCATAGGTTCACTATATACCTGGGTAGTTAATTATATATCGTTTGCTGGGTGATCCCAACGTGCGTCCTGAGATCTACCACAAGCTACTAGGTACGCAAAGAGGCGCCAGGGTCCCTCGACTCACCAAAATGTGGAGCTCCACACTGATAGATAAGCTACCTCCTACATTCAGGTAACGTAGGTAGGTACCTGCATTTATACCCTGGTGCGTGCAAGATGAATGCACGCATTGCAACACATAGTACCCGGTTGGACATGCCTTTCTCCGCGCCCAACATAATTGTAGTCCATTTCCACAACTCTGAAGATGCTAAGCTTTTATTTGCGCCGATAACTTTAACCTTATGGGCTGAGCACCAGCCCCCAGACAAATGGAAATCATGCAGCCGTAGTATTAACTTCTTGATCATTGTACAGGGTGCTATCGCTGATGACTCATTTTTCTTTTGTAAGTGAGTCTCAGCGTGCACTGTAATCAAAGCGCTAAAGCAATCGGTTCGTGCTGTAAGTGAGAACATTCGAGGCGACGACACTAGGTTACTAAATTATACGCCCACCTATGCCGATGGTGCTCATCAAGTCTGGGCAATTCTCCCGTTGGCCGCTTGCCCAACGTTGTGTGGTGGCCAGACCGGCTCTTGGATAGAAAAGCATTTTGATAGCAGCGACAAGTATGAGTAGATTGATGCCACTACTGGAATTTATTCAAGGATGAGGAAGAGAGAAAAAGTCGACCAAGACCACTTGCTTGACCTAGGTTGTGTACATGAAAATCAACATCCATCTGTGTCAATACGCCTGGGCATGATGTCGATACAAGCTATTCTGTTCCCCTTGGCATATTTCCTCTCCCCAATCCTGGCGGGATTGTCAAAAAAAAAAAAAAAAAAAATGCGACGGATTTTCCATTTGACCGACATGTATCTCCATTCCATAGAGGAACGGGTGTGTGAAAACGTGAGAGCAAACGCCTGCTTGCGTCCAAGTCCATGCCCAACAACACACTGGGAAAAGCGATCCGAGAACTCTAAAAGTCACAAGTCACCGAGTTAAATCTACTTGGCCTGTACCTGCATTAGATGGAGGGCCATCTTGCGCCCGCACATATGGGGGCTGCGACTGTCAAGGACCCTGAATTTTATACATGTTTTCTCCGTATCTTCATGCACCATCCTCTCGAGTCCCCTCTACTCGAGTTGCAACAATCATCAGCTGCTCTTTCTATATACCTTGATGAATTCTTTTCATCTCTCACTCACTTGTATCCGCAGCTCCGCAGCGGTCGCTGTCATTATGAGCCTCAAGGTTTTTGCGGGCATCAGCGCCACTGGTGCCAAAAATGCTACCATATTCGACACATTGCAACCCGGCAGTCGTCTTTTTTTCTGAGTTGCACCTTGATGAGCCTCAACTTGATCTTTCTCCGAACATAAACTTTGTTTACATCAGATGCTTCCCCTTCTCACCTACAAATAGGTCCTTCATCGCCTTGATCAAGACCATTCATTTCTCTTTCCTTCATTCCACAACTCACTACCCATTCACTTCACTTCCTTTTCCTTCAATCTCTCTCGCACTAGCAAATCACATTCCATCCAAACCACAATGGATCTCATTGCTCTCCCACAGGAGATTCTTCAGCACATCGCTGCTCAATTCTGTTCGCATTGCACGCCAAGGCACTGCCACGATGTCGCCGAGCCTCACGATCGATCGGATCGTCATGCACTCTGGGCCATGTGCCTTACAAGTACCACGTTGAGGCAAGTTTCGCAGAATATTCTGTATCACTCCGTGTTACTAGAACGCACGTCGGAGCTCAACTATTTCTTGCGCAAGGTGACCCTGTCTGATATCCTCACGCGGGCCGTCACTCATGTTTTCATCTGCGGCGACATGATTGAACATTTCAAGCCCCGCAATGGCCGACTTGGGGGAAACAAAGTGCAGGGTTGTTCGTCATCTTGGTCAACCATTGCCTTGGTCACTGCCATGTTCCCTAGGCTGGAGCATTGCGAGGTTGGCTTTCGTTCTGGCTCCCAAGAGGACAATAGCCCCAGCGGCTCTGGCAACTCGGATTCGGATATCCCATGCAACTGTGTTCACTTGACCACAAAGCTTTATCGCCACTGCGACTCTGTGTTGGGTACAGATAAAGGGGACCTACACTTGCGCCGTCTTGTACTACGCAAGCTTCCCCCTGTTACCAGACAGTGTAAGAAAAGCTACGCCTTCTTTTCACGGCTCAAGGTCGATACTTTGCACTTGGTGCAAAGCAAAATCTTCTGGCGACAATTCCAGCGTGTGATCGAGTTTGTCGAACCAAAAAGTGTCATTTACGAGGCAGATCGTAAAGCGAAACTTGCAGCCATACCCAAGAGGTATGCTTGGTTGCCGGGCACGTTCCCAGATGTCGAATTCCACCCATTCGACTTACCCATGATCCTGTCTCCTGTCCGGAAAACCTTGCGCAACCTCCACATTGACCTGAGAACTCAGTGTTGGTTCCCGCGATGCGCGGGGAGGATAGACTCGCTCCAGGAATTCACCAAGGTAGAGACACTCTTTCTCGACATGGCCACCATTTTCAAATGGCGCGAGCTTCAGGGATCGGAAGGAGAAAAGTTCTACATCTGTCCCGATCACACAGAAGACAACCGTTTATTGAAGGCATTGCCACGCCAAATCGTCAATTTGCAGCTTGTGAGGTGCAAGCAGGTAGATCCATCTACCTTTGCCTACACTCTGCAAAAGTTTGCCGACTCCATCGGAGAGGGGAGATATCCTAAGCTCAAGTGTGTCAAAATCGACGTGGACCTGATGGACCCGGCGTGGTTCAAGGTCATCTTGTTTGATCCAGCTCCTGAAATAGAAAAGCTGCTGAACGAATACTGGTGCGACGAGCTCCCAAAGACGTTTGCAGAGCACGGCGTTCAACTTGTCTACGATGACCCGCCCTTGGACCCGTCCGACACCAGAGTGAAGCCCATGGACATGGTGTGGAGTCTTGGATCTCATCACGGTCCTATTGTCCATCAGGTAGCGAGGGAGGATACCGAGTAAAGTGCTGGTGACGACGGAAAATAAGTCCGTCTAGGTGGGAATGTACTGCTTGAAGGCGGTGATGGCAGGGAAGATGATAACATCGAAGACGGTGGATATGGACAGGAATCTACCCCTGGGTTTCGTTGTTTATTCGTGTGGAAGTCGATTGCGAACATGTCATTCCTGTTTTTCTTTTCAGTTGCTTGTTTCTGCCGGAAACTTAGCGCTAAGTTTCGTTGCTTGTCAAAGTTGGATATGATTGAGAGCATGGCATCTCTCTTTCCTTCTTTCGTCTTTTTTTGGTTCAATCGCTTTCCGTGTCTGCTTGTCTTTCTTTTTCAAGTCAAGACCTATTCGGGCATCCTGGTTATTTCTGTAATGATTGCAGGCTGGTAGCTTTGACCTACCTTGTGGATTTCCTTTTCATGTAACATACTTAGTTGTTTAGATGTACTCTGCAGAGAAGACTGTAACATGTTGTACAGTACTAGTAATGAATTGTATACTCTCCGAATGCCGAATATCTTTTGCACTCTCCAGCCAATGATAGTCTCTGGATCGTAATATTGTTCCCGCTGACCACCTCAGGCGAGCATATTTGTGCTGCCGAACTACATGTCGGTTTTTTTTCTATCTCCGCCAGCAGCCAGCTCGGTGGATCTTGGGCGGAAACTACTGGGACGTTGCGCCAATAAACGTGGGGTCCCCGCGGTTCTGACATGCGAGCTGTAGATCCTTAGAGGCTTGCCATGCCTTCTAACTCAGTTACTAACTCACTAAAGATAAGAGGACGGCGTTGCAAAACAATTACGATTGGCTCAACTACTATAGCCCTCGCATGACAAGCAACTCCATTATTCGTGCGGAGAAGTCTTTGCGCTTCCTAGCGTGCATGACACCTATGGAGACATAAATACTGGCATGCCCAGTCTTCCCGGAAATACCGACTTTCACGAGGCTTGTTTTGATCAAATCAGCACATCTGGAGCACCTTTCTTCGTCGGTGCTTTTCAATTTTGGATCAAAGAATGGTCTCAATACTAGGCAGGGTTCTGGAGGACCCTAGTCTGGCGGTATACACTGCTGTCCCGGCTTTGATCATTGGCAGTTTGGTGTATGTGGTGTACCAGCGCTACTTTCATCCACTAGCCTCCTATCCAGGCCCGTTTCTCGCATCCGTTACAGATTTATGGCAGGTTTTCCAGTTCTTGGGTTTGAAACAGCCGTATAATCTGACAGAACTCCACGAAAAACATGGACCCTTTGTGCGATATGGACCTGATAAGCTCAGCATCACCGCCGAGGAGATTGTGCCCTTGGTCTACCAAAAAGGTGGCAGACTGATGCCAAAAACCGAGTTTTACGATGCCTACGGCGCTGCGATTCCCAATGTTTTTGGCATGAGAGACGAGGCCGTAAGTTGTACTTGTATTCGATTCACACACTGCATCGAGTTCTGAGCTTGTCCATTAGGCACATTCAATCAGACGTCGTTTGATGGCGCACAGTTTCTCCATCTCCAGCGTTAGGGGAATGGAGCAGTATCTCGATATGAACATTCGAATCATGCGGAAAAAGATTGCCAAGTATGCAGCCCAAGAGCAGGTCTTTGATCTCCAAAAGGTCCTGCACTACTATACCATCGACGTCCTCGGGGAGCTGGCGTTTGGACAGTCCTTTGGGGCCCAGCTCTGCAACGATGAAGAAGAGGCTATTGTTCCACCCGTGGTTGAGCACAGCTGGCTTGCTGCCGTAACTGGAGCTTGGCCTAGCATGACGAGCACGCTGAGGAGACTGCTTCCCTGGGTGCCGCATGCCGGCTTACAAAAGCTCGTCAAGGGTCGCAAGGAGTGCGTTCAATTGGCTGCACAATGTGTTCAAAGGAGTTGCGACACCCTGCGGGAAAATTCCGCTGCCGATTTTGAAAAGAATGTGAGCGTCAAGCGCAAGGACATCCTGACCAGTCTCATTCAGGCCAAGGACCCAGAAACGGGCGAACAACTTCGCCAGGTTGATTTAGAGACTGAAGCATTTGGTTTCATGTGAGTGGCGGTCAGCCAAGACGGAAATGAGACTGCTCAGTGCTAATATGAAATCACAGCATTGCGGGAACCCATACTACGAGTGCAACTACATCGCTCCTATTCTATCACCTCCTCCACGCGCCTGAAATTTTGGCAAAGTGCATTGCAGAAGTCGATCAGAGCTTAGAGCGACTGACTGCCAGCAAACTCGCTTACTCCATGGCCGAAGTGGAGTCCTCGTTGCCATACCTCAAGACTTGTATTAGGGAGAATTTCCGACTGACTCCCGTCTTTACAATGCCACTTGCCCGCCGCGTCACTGCTCCCGAGGGCATTACGATAGCTGGAAGGCACATTAGGCAAGGCGTAAGTACTCAAACCCTCCCTGTGTATAATCTCAATCGCACTTATACTGATGCATGACTTGATGCCACACAGACCTCCGTGGCAGTGTGCAATCACGCATTCCATCACAACCCGGACATCTGGGGCGCATCGCACAATGTGTTTGACCCCTCGCGGTGGGACATACCAGAGATCAACCATCGAGCACGCTACCTGATGCACTTTGGTCTCGGCGGTCGACAGTGCATTGGCAAGACCATTGCCCAGACGAATATCTACAAGGTCATGAGCACGTTGTTGTCCGAGTTCAACTTTGAACTAGCGAACGAAAATGAACGCGAAGCTGTGCGAAGGGGGGATTTTGTCGGGAAACTGCCGGAGCTGATCAGTGTTGGAATCAGTGACTTGAAGGATCCAATTTGGGTGACTGCCAAACCAAGACACTTGTAAAAGATGCCAACGAGGGCCCGAGGCTACTGCCAGCTGTCTCTATGATCCCCTAACCGGATGTTCTACGCCCTCCATGGGATTACTTCTGTGGTTAGCATTTGCCTTTTGGAATGGAAAGTTCGGAGCCTACATTCTTGAAATTCCCACCCACTACACCAGTATGATCTAAGATTCAGGCCAGTTGATCGTATCATTGTTGAAACGTTCCCATGTGAGCGATTTTTATGATATTTATACGAATGCATAGAAGCATAAAGATTGATTTGAGTTGGTCCTATCGAGCTATAAAAGGGACACCTTAAAGAGCGAACTGCACATGAGTAATCCCCCGGGGTGCTATTGCTTTACTCCCCAAACCATACCCATATGATGACTGCATTTAGCAATGTGTCTTGTTCTTGTACTTCACAGACCATTCATGACCCATGTAGATACATCCAGCCCAAGAGCATTTAGCATGTTCCAGCATTGGGGTCATCCTGGTACTGGAAGCTGCCGTGATTTTGGACACTGCCCATGGAGCAGGCATTGATCTCGATGGTCATGGCAGCCAGGCAGTCCGCCGACGAGAGTGTCAGCTCGTTACCGGCGTTATTTTTTACAGACCAGTTGACACGGTTACTGCCAATGGTACTGCATTGCGATTTACTGCCACCAGCTTCATAGGATCCGGCCATGGCGTCGCAGGCTGAGCTGGCTGCGGATTTGATGTCGGCATCCGAGCCTACAGAGGCATAGGTCTCGCCGGAAGTGTAACAGCCCAAAGCGTTGACTGCCGAGGGGCCGACAAAGGCGATTGCGCCGAGGACGGCAAGGACTTGCTTGAGTGACTGGACCATTTTTGATACGTGAGATTGTTTTTGGAGATTGTTAAAGGGTAAATGCTGATTATTAAAGGAGCAAAAGGTCAGAAAAGGTCAAAATCTATGCTGCCGAGGGGTGATCGACTCACGGAAAGGAAGAGAAGGCTATTGTGCTTTGTGTGAGTGCTGATTGTGAGAGTGATGATGAGCTGTGTCAAAATATCTCGATTATCATTGAGGAAATACTCCCTCTTTATAGATAGAATGACGGAGCTCTGTGATGCCTATCTCGATACACACGTCATTCTTGAGCATACGAGGAATATCATTACGACTCAGCTGAAGATCTCAAAAGGACCCAGAAGGAACGGATCAAGCATCATCTCCCAAAGATACGGAATATACGAAACGCACAATTCATGAGTCCTAGGTGCTAACAAACATGAGCTCGGACTCTTTCAGGTGATTCGATTTCATCACGGTATAAAGGATCCGACGGGTAGATCGCGGGAATAACAAAAAATATTACAATCCTGCCTGATTCTCGGGGTTCTTACAAGTCCTACAGTTCAAAAGTTCGTGAAGATCTTTCAGATTCTTGGGTCTGTCAGCAATCCCAAAGCTCCAAAGGGCTCACAAGATCAGCTGTATATCTCATCAGACGATCAATCTTGCGCGGTGATAGCTGACGTTGAACTGCAACACGAGAGACGTCGGCCGCGTCCTTTTCAATGATGTAGACCAATGCAGTTAGCGGGCATGTATCAGAGGCACAAAGCCACGATAGGATATGACAGGATCTTTGCGTTACTCGGGAAATTTCCAGAGAAAGTCCTAGATGATCTTACACATGATGACTTTAATAATTCCTGCCTGTGCCGGGCAACCCGATCTGGTTGCAGATCGTCAAGACCACTCCATAGCAAAGTTGTATGCAATACCAATAACTTGGCCTCCCTTTGCAAATATGGGGAACACGTCCCGCAAAGTCATGCCAAGTCCTACAGGCAACTGTCGACCATTACCAAGATGGGACTGAAAACAAAACAAAACCCTATTTATATCGCTGTAAGATGATGATGCAGCGCAGCCTCGGCAGCCTACAGTTAGTTGGAGTGCCGTGGCAGTGCACCTGGCAGTGAGTGTGGGGTGCAAAAGCTTGTGTAAAAGCTTGTCCTAACCTTGAGTGCAACACCCCTGATCCCGCCGCCCCCTATGACAGAATAATGCACCACTAGCGCCCGCGCCCGTTGCAATGTTCTTTGCTGCCAGTGGCCCGTTGACATTCTTTGTTGGAATGCTGAGGTGAGAGCGGCTCGAACAAGGGTTCCGTGTCCATTGGAGGGGATTTTTGTCTCTACTGCACAGGCGCCTGGTGCATGCATGCAACGCTTTTGTTTTCACCAAGATTTCCAGTTTTCTGGCCGGCGCTTTCCGTCGTTCGAGCTCTGTGGAACCAAACCTCGCTGACATCTTTCCCCGCCCAAGGCAGCATCGTTTTGAAGCAGCTGTAGACGCGTGTGTTACATGGCTACCTAGGTACCTACCCACATATCAACTCATGCTTATGGAAGATCAACAAATCGATTTTTTTTTTTTTTTTTTTGGAACAAATCAATGTTAACGTCTGCCCCAATTCGTAGCAATTAGAAGCAGCCTCCAAATAAGGTTGGAAAACAGCTGTGCGATCAAAGTCTCGGCACAACATGCTTTCACCGGATTGCCAGTGGCTTCTGCGTTGAGCCTATTCATTTGAATCTTATTCAACACTAGACGCTGGTGACATCAAACTGATCGAGGGGTAGTTGTTCTTGATCAGAACGTGCGAGGAGATAAATACTCTCGCCATGGCATCGGTGCCTAGATCAACTTGATCAATACACATTTCATTCTCGACAGCAAATATACACTATCTACCTCCAAATCGTTCCACTATACTGAAAAGCAGATTCATCATGGGTTGGTTCGGTATGTCTAATCTCGTTGTAGATTACTGGAGGAGTATTATTAACCTTGACCAAAGACGGCAATCGTGATGCTCACCAGCAGATCTACGGTGACCAGCAACACGAAGCCAAGTTTTCTCACGAGCTCATTGGCGGAGCGGCGGCATTTGAAGCCATGAAAAGTTTTGAAAACTCGCAACGCAGAAAAGGTGTGTCACTCGAATATCAATTCTGCAAGTAGACATTGGGGGCCTTGGTTACTAAACAAAGGGGGTATAGGCGAAACTGTCAGCCATGGCACAGCCAAAGAACTGCTTGCAGCCGTTGCTGGCGCCGAAGTGGACCGCCTGTTCGAGACCAAAGGCTTGGATGCCTATGATCGAGAGGAGGCCAAGCGCCATGCTAAGCGGCAGGCCGAACAAATGTACGATGACCATTATGGAGGTCAGGGCGAGTATGACCCCAACTCGCGTGACCGGCCACCATTGGACTATTAGGGACAATATGGAATGACACGAGCTATCGATAAGAGCACAGAGATTTGTGATAACTTGAGAGAGACAACAGTGTGGACTTGGCACCTTGCAAGAAATTTCTCTTTCAACAAATTGGTCGACGTGTGGAGCAAACAGCATCAATACCTGGTTTGCTCTTTAATACACACTACCGCATATCTCCAAGTCTCACGTAGAATGTCTAGGAATACAAATATGTGCACTTCAAATCAAAATTCTCGATTCTCGGAAATATAGTCACTATTCAAGAGCCGCTCTTGGCGGGTTTAACAATACCAAACACTTCTCCTGCATCAGGGACACGTTATGTTGAGCGAGAATATTGAGATTACCTGGCTCGAGCGCTAATTTTGATATCCAGTCTTGAGGGCTTTTTCGTATTCATTTTGGGGAACCTTGCGTGCCTCGGTTAGAAAAGGGGCTGGTTGAAGCAAAAGGCTGCCGTACATTCTCGCCCTACTGACTGAGATGGTAACGAACCTGGAGGAACACACTCTTTAGACTGGGCAAGAGAGAATGGCAAGATGACTATGTAGGGAGGGGATTTCATTGGTTGGAAATGCCAAATTTTTGAGGTTGGAGTCCTCGTTTCGACTGCCTGTTTACAAAAGTGTATAAGATGAAACACAGAATAGACAAAGAGCGTCGTCAGACACGAGCTATCCCAGTGCTCTGCGCCATTATTACGGGGACTGCCAAGACAGGCCGCGCAGTCAAGCTTTCAGCGCCCAGCGACCGACCTGTAGAGAGTATCCGTGTTTTGTACCTACACTAGAAACAAAACAAAGCAGATCCCGTAAGTGTGGAGCGTCGGGGTTAGAGAAGTCTGGACCCAGTGAAGACCATCAGAGTCATCTCGTTCTTTGATCTCACCATGGTAGACTTGCCAGTCTGAATAGACGACGGCCGACTAAGCCTCAGGGTTTGCGTGTCGGGACCGAGCATCGCTTATGCATAACAAAACTTTACACACAGTGGGCCAACGTGGCTGGGTAGGGTTTATTGTCGTTGGGAACAGAATGGAAACAGGGCTCCGTTTTGGCAAGAGGGCCGAATTCTGGATGGATCTTCTATGGAAAACAAAGCAACAAAATCCCCGCCGGCGGAATACTTTTATAGTATTGCGTGCTGGGTCCCAAACTAACGGATATGTAGGTCGCTAAATCCGTCCCTGGGCCACTCAACACCCCCAGAAAGCCAGTTAGCCAGTGGGGCGCAATACCGGCAATTGCGACGCCTTTGCGGGGAACAAGACCACAGCTTACGTCCTCGATTAATAAAAGAGAGATGCAATTGGTGCCCGTTTGCCCTGGATTTTGAGTGAATATTCCAGGGGTCACCTTCCCTGTCACGATGACCCTCAATGACGATCTTCCAATTGCCTCAAGGAACGAACTCGTCGAGATCTATACCATGATCCGTGTTTTCAAAGACGCGTGTGCACCTTACGTACATGGACGGAAGAGCCCATCGCAACGTGGGCCAAACAATGGTTCTAGTAATGATCGACAAGCTGTACAGGGCGCACAAGTCGTGATACCTTCATCGTATATAACATGCTCAAGACGATGAATCTGCGAGATGATTCTTTTAGATGCGTAGAATCACATCAATCCTTTGAAGTCTGTTGGCAGACTCACAGTATTACGCCCTCGACGCACATTAACCATGATTTTCAACGCTATTACCTTGGCCGCTGTGCTGACAGCCACTACCGTCTCTGCCCATGGCGATGTTGACCGCGAGATTGCGATGCGCTCGGCCATGCTTGAGCACACCGCCCGGGACTTGAGCCACTGCGCTACCAAGTTGAAGGCCCGCGGTTTTGAGGAGCGTGCTATCCAGAGACGTTCCGAAACTCGTGCCAAGCTCATGAAGAAGCGCAACATTAGAGGTACGTTAATGATGAGAACGATCAAACATACAGAAGACTTGCCGAGAAAATTATGCTGACTAGAGCATGATGCAGCCCGCGATGTTGATTCCGTCCTCGCTACTGACCACAACGAGACGGCCCTTGCTTACACGCTCGACACCGATGAGAGTGTCATTTTTGCCTCGAATGGCTCATGCACTCTCACTCCCGAGGGAGAAAGTGGCCCTTACTGTGAGAAACTCTGCATTGATCGCTGCTTGGCAACCGGTTTGGCTCACACTGTATAGATGTTGGCGGAGAGTACGTCCGATCGGACTTGGTTGAGGATGTCGAGGGTGTTCCTGTCCACTACGAGTTCCAAATCCTCGATGTCGACACCTGCGAGCCAATTGTTGGTTCCTACTTTGAGATATTCAGTAAGTACATGCCTAGCTCAAAGCACTCATCAAAGCAATCATGCTCATCTGTCCTCTCTCTCTCTTTAGACTGCAACTCGACCGGTGTCTACTCGGGCACCACCAACGCCGGCAACGGAAACACGGCCGACACCAGCGTCCTCGACGAGACCTGGCTGCGCGGACTCCAGCTCACCGACGAAGAGGGCGTCGTCCACTTTGACACCATCTTCGCGGGCCACTACACTGGCCGCGCGACACACATCCACACGCTGCTGCACCAAAACGCCACGGTCCGCGAGAACGGCACCGTCTTTGACACGTCCTTTACCCACATTGGCCAGACCTTTTGGGACCAGAGCGTGCGCGACCAGATTGAGCTGCTCTACCCGTACAACACCAACACGCAGACCGTCACCCAGAATGCCGACGACAAGGTCTTTCTGGTCGAGGCCCCCACCAGCGACCCCGTCTTCCGCTACGTCCAGCTGGGCGACTCGATCGAGGACGGTTTCCTGGCTTGGATTGTCTTGTCTGTCAACACGACTCTGTCGACCGAAGTTAGCCCCGCTGCTACCTACTATGAAAGCGGCGGTGTCGAGTCTGCTTAGATAGAATGCAAATGAGACTTGCATGTTCAAAGTATGAATAAATAAAAATTCCACGTTCATCATAATTGTTTACTTGGATCCTCTTGAGAACTACCCGTGCCACACCCCCACTTATCTGGATGTGTTCGTTCCTCACCAACCGTGGCACGGGTAGCACTCATGAGTTCTGACCAAGTTTGCTGGTCATGGAAGGGGCCCGCACTACGATAGCTTGAGTTAATCGCTTTTGATTGCTATATGATGCTCGTGCCTTATTGCACAGTAAATGTCGAGGTTTCTACAATGTCCTTCGAACTAGTTCCGACGAAACACGAGTATTGTCCCTTGTCCACCCGCCACGCACCTTTTCCTCCATGTGCATTTGTCTCTGATACATCATACCACGCCAGTGCCTCTGGGCTTACACTTATAGAGACATTCTCGGCTTTCCCTGCAGCGACGTGGACTTTGGAAAAGGCAACAAGCGATTTTGGTGCAGAGACGAGATTTCTCTCCTTGATAATGGGCGATGCGGACACATATACTTGTACCACCTCAGCTCCGTCGACTGTTCCATGATTGGAGACCGTGATCGAGATATTAATGCGACTACTCCGATCGTCGCTCTTCAACGTTCCAGTTACTGCCATGCCTCCGAGACCAAAACGGGTATAAGACAGTCCGTAACCAAATGGCCAGAGCGGTTGGATCTCTTTGGCATCGAACCAACGGTAGCCCACAAGCACACCCTCGCCGTATTCGGCATAGTCGTTCTCTACATCTCCAGGAAACCACTCATTCGATCCGTGGTCTTCCAGAGACCGCGGAAAAGTGATGGGCAACTTGCCGCTCGGGCTGACATGCCCGAGCAAGACATCAGCTAGCGCATTGCCATTCTCCTGGCCCTGGTACCAAGCATGGACGATGGCCGGGGCCACGTCCACCCAGGGCATGGCAATGGCGCTAGCCGATTGTGTGACGACGACAACCTGCTGATTGACTTTGCAAACAGCCTCCACAAGCTCGTCAGTCTGACGGGGCAATTTGAGCGAGGTTCGATCGATTCCCTCCTTCTCCGTGTCATTGTTATGACCCACGACGAGAACCACCGCGTCAGCATCTTTTGCCATGGCCACAGCTTCGGCGAACAAGGCTTCCTCATCTATGGCAAGCTGCAAACCAACCCGAAGACCGGAAACCGTGTGGAAAAGAGTATTGTCGTGTGGTTTAATTGGAGGCGGGCAGACGACATTATCGACCTGTAACGCATACGACCGTCCGGCCTCAAGGTGGAGTGTAGCCAAACGGTTCACGCTGCCGCAGTTCATAAACGTGCCTCCCGTCTGCGTCCACTCCGAGTTGTCGATGACCATGTCGCCATCCACAAACAGCTTGGCCTTGCCCGTACTCGAGAGACTCAGCTCATATGTGCCCGTGGTCGATGGCGTCAGGACCCCACTGACGCGATAGCAGTGCGGCTTACCTCTCAGTACTTCTGGCACGTCACCGTCGCTCATCATGAAAATGACCGAGTTTTGCCAATGCGACGAGCCGAGAACAGGTCCGGCAAACTCGTGTCCCGCGTAAAAGTCGACCTGAACGCCTACTGATTCCCAATTTGGCGTTCGAAGTATCTCACCGGGTAATGATGGCTGCAGGTTGCTTTGTATACCCGGTGAGAAAGTAATGTCAATATCCTTATTCTTTTCTTTTGCGGCGGCTGAAATCGAGTCAAAGGGAGTAGTAATATAATAGGGATTCACCGCCGCGCTTCCTGTTCCCCCTGTCGTTGGCTTTTGTGCATTGGGTCCAAGGATAGCAAGCTTTTTTATACTCGCTGGCTGCAAGGGCAGTACTTGGTTTTCGTTCTTGAGTAGTACGATGGCCTCGGCTGCAGCGTCTCGGGCAGTTTGACGAAATTCGGGAAGGTCCGAGTTCTTTTCGTTCTTCTCGTTCTCTGATGCAGGCGTTAGTAGCTCGAGGCAATCTAAAAGACGCAAGAGCCGGCCGACAGCGGCATCTATATGTTCTTTCTCGGAGACATGCCCTCTCTTGACGGCATCCAACAGTGCATCTCCATATCGGATCGCAGGACCCGGCATCTCAAGATCAGTTCCAGCGGTGATGCTCTTCACTGTATCATTGAGACCACCCCAGTCGCACATGACCAGATTGTCAAAACCCCACTCACCCCGCAAGACCTGTCGAAGGAGAAACGTGTTGCAGTCGGCGTGCTCCCCGTTGATTTTGGGGTACGCCGTCATGGCTGTCCATGGATTCGCGTCGAGCGCCATTTCAAACGGCTTTAGATAGATCTCGCGCAACGTCCGCTCGTCGATTTGAATGTCCATATTGAACCGACGCGTTTCCATGTCATTGCCGACAAAGTGCTTCATACACGCCCCCACACCATGCTCCTGCACGCCACGAATATACTCTCTTGCCATAGTGCCAGTCAAGAATGGATCCTCGCCAAAGTTTTCAAAGTTGCGCCCGCCCAACGGAGATCGACTCATATTCATGGTGGGCGCCAGGAGGATATGTGCATGTTTACTGCGAGCCTCGAGGCCAAGAATACCACCAATGCGACGAATAAGGTCCGGGTTGAAGGTCGCCGCAAGAGAGATACCGCACGGTATAAATGTGGTGTGAGTGCCGTCGATCCAGGTTGCTCCACGGACACCGGCCGGGCCATCAGTGGTCTTCAAGCTGCGAATGCCTAGCCGGTCAATGTTGGCCGTCTTCCACATGTTCTTGCCAGACAAAAGCTGGCACTTCTCCTCCAGCGTGAGAGCGGCGAGCAGTGCCGCTACTCTTTCTGACGAGGCCATATTCGAGTACGGCAATGAATTGAATTTAGGTGCCGTCTCACAAGGGTGCGTCTATACTATAGGCCGGGGGGTTGATTGGAGGAAGACGTTGCACGGCCTGTGCCAATTACAGAGTTTGACACTGCGCTTTGTATGGTCAGGTGACGAAGATCAGATAAAAACAAATCAGAAAGAGGGAAAAAAGTATAGATACCAAGAGTCCACATACTCTTTGCGTGGCACGCTTATCATTGCCCTTGAGTCCTTGGCTAGAGTCGGGCGGCTAATTCCGAAACTCGACGCTCTTCTCCGTTGATAGTAGCCCACGCGTCTAGCATGTCGGATGCAGTGCCGACACCATGCAATGCGTACAAATCCGTCCCACATATCTGGATGTGCATTGCTTTTCCCCAGAGTTACATTGCATATTGAACAAGTCTGATAGGTCGTGATTGCAGAACTCGCCCAATGCACATCTACGGAAGTAGATAGCATTTTGAATGCTGTCGTCTCCTTCTTGGCATGTCTCCATATCAGTGCATAGTCCTCGTCGTACGCACAACCCCGCAACTTTGTTTGCCAGATACCTAGTGATCATGTCCATCAAAGATCTATGTAGTATTGGATGTATATTTCTCGGGGTAGTCCCCTGATTCAACTCGAGTTCCTCATGCTCAAGAATCTTACTTTGATGGAACCCCGAGACTATCTTGATTGGCCATGACTCTCAATAATCTTTCTCAAACGCTCAAAATGAGCCGCTTGACGGCCATGGTCGTTGCTGTCTGCATTGTAGACTCAATCACAATTGCGTATGATGGCTCGCTCATGGGCTCGGTCAACGTAATGCCCAGTTATACGAGCTACTTTCAGCTGACAACCGCCACCACAGCCGTGAACTCGGCCGCCACTTATATTGCTTCTATCCTGATTGCTCCCTTTGCCGCCGTGTACATTGACAAGCGGGGCAGAAAGGATGGCATCTTTGTCAGTGCTCTGCTCAACATCTTTGGTGCCGCTATCAGTGGTGCTGCCCAGAATATTGCCATGTTCATTGCCGGTCGCATGATTATTGGTCTCGGTGTTGGACTGGCGCAGACTGCTGCTGGCTCGTATGTGTCGGAAACCACTGCTCCTCGTGTTCGATCATTCGCCCTGGGAATGTACTTTACATGTTGGGCATTGGGAAGTTTTCTCGCTGCCGGGTTCTGCTACGGGGTATGCCCATACTCTCTCTTTTCTTTGCCTTCACTCATCTTCTGGGTACTCTCATCATGCTGTTCTCTGTTCTCTAACTACTCACTTCCAACCTGTCTAGTCTCAGAATCTCGAGCCATCAAACTGGGCATGGCGGGTACCCTCGATCCTCCAGGCCCTTCCCCCTCTTGCCGTCTTGGTCATCATTCCCTTCCTCCCCGAGTCGCCTAGGTGGCTTGCGTACAATGACCGCCAAGAAGAAGCCCTCGAAGTCGTCGCCCGCATCAACGGCGCCACCACCGACGACGTGGGCGTGCAGGTCCAGTTTCGGGAGATCGTCGACACCATGGAATACGAAAAGTCCAAGGGCAACAGCCTTGGCTTTCGCGAGATTGTGCGCGGGCCTTCCAACCGTAAGCGCCTGGTGTTGGCGCTCTCGCTGGCGCCCCTGACCATGTTGACTGGCTCCAACGTCATTACCTACTATTACGGCACCATGCTCGACCAGGTCGGCATCACGTCCTCCAAGACGCAGATGGAGATCGATCTGGTGCTCTCGGCCTGGCAATTGGTGATTGCCGTCTGCGGCTCCCTGTCGGCCGAGAAGCTGGGCCGCCGGGTCCTGTGCCTCACTTCTCTCGGCGCGTGCACAGTCATGTTCTACCTGGTCGGCGTACTCACGGCCGTCTATGGCGATTCGTCCAACACCTCGGGTATATATGGTACAGTGGCCTCCGTGTTCCTGTTCTTGGGCGCCTACTCCTTTGGTCTCACCCCACTGACCGTCATGTATCCCCCCGAGGTCATGTCGTACAAGATCCGCGCCACCGGTATGGCTTGCTTCACTATACTGGCCAAGGCCTGCGGAATCTTTGTGACCATGGTGTTCCCCTACATGTTTGAGGCGCTCGGATGGAAGACCTACATGGTCAACGCAAGCTGGAATGTGGTCTTTTGGATCTTTGTCTACTTCTTTTGGGTAGAAACCAAAGGCAAGACACTTGAGGAGATTGATGTTCTCTTTGATGGGGAAAAGCACTCGGATGCTCCTGACCTCAATGAGGTTAGTCATGAAAAGTCGCTGATGGTAGCGGCAGAGTCAGAAATCTAGCTTTTCATTAGGTAGACGTAATGTTGTCAGCCCGGTCTCGGGGAGTGTATCTTTATGCGGACACTCTCGACATGACTTTTTGATTTGTTTAAGGACTGAAACCATATCCGGGAGGAACAACTTCCATCTGTAGCACTACAAAAGCTAGACACGGTATGCAACCAATCTCAGATATGTTCTTACGGGCTAACCGCTTCCGTGTTTTCTACTTGCTCGCTCTTCTCAACTTGTTCCACTGCACGTTTGGAACCAGTGTTGCCAGTACCGACTTCGCCCATCGAGGGCTGCCAATGAAGGAGAACCTTTTCGCCCGTGAACAGCTTGTCGATCTGCTCAAGAGACAAGTTTCGAGTCTCGGGGTAGAAGAAGTAGATTAGTGGCAGGAAGCAAAAGTTGAAAACTATTCACATGTCAGTATGGGCTTTTCAACAAGTAAGAAATGTTATATAGTATAAGCATACTGCAAAAGTAGACGTATGTGCGCCACCCAATATTCTTAATACTAACTGGGGTAATTTCGACGACGAGGAAGGTGAAGATCCAGTTCGATGCCGAGGCGAGAGCAGCAGCTCGCTGGCGAATGGCGAGTGGTGCATATTCAGCAGGTACTATAGAAGAGTTAGTACTCCAAAGCTAACATGAAGCAGGAATCGCCGAGATACTTACGCAACCAAGGAATAGCAAGAAGCCCAACAGCAAAGAAAAAGTTAAACAAAAAGAGCATGACCGAGGCTACAATACCGGCAGGTGCCGAGCCGTTATGAACGGTTCCAGCGAGAATAGCCATACAGACACCCTGACCGGCAGCAGCAAAGAGCATCAGTTTGCGACGACCCAATCGATCAATGACCCAAATGGGTATCAGCGAGGAGAAGAAGTATGCGACACCGTTGAATCCTGCCAGCAAGAGGGACAGGTTGTGCGACAGTCCGACCGAGCTCTGGAAGATGGTTGGCGCGTAATAGGTGATGAGGTTGATACCAGAGAGCTGCTGCATGAACTGGCCGCCGATACCGAGCATCGTTCTGTAAAGGAACTTTTGCTTTCCATTCTTGAACATGGCTCTGTACGAGCTGCCTTCTGATGCCTCGCGCTCTTCGTGAATGGCGTGTTGAATCTCTTCCATTTCCACTCTGACGACCTCCTGAACGTCGTCGTCGGCTGTTGTCTTGGCGAGAAGAGAGTTGAGTGTCGTTCGGGCTTCGTCGTGTTTGTCTTGAGCAATGAGCTATTATGTAAAGATTAGTTTTGTACACTTGCAAGAAGTTGGCGACGACATACCCATCGTGGCGATTCAGGTAGGGGCATGATTGCAAAGAATGTGAACAATGCAAATAAGCACTGAAGGGCTAGCGGAAAGCGGAACTGGGACTCATTGTCCACATACGACATTCCGTAATCGACCCAGTAGGCAGTCATCACACCAAAGATATTAATCGCCAGTTCAATGCTCAACTAAGGATACGTTAGTCATTATGGGCCAGAATATTGTGATGATAGTGGATTTAGATAAACATACACCCTTTCCGCGCTTATGGGCTATCATCAATTCGGAGTGCCAAACAGCTAGTCTCAATTAGTATGCTTTGATATGTGATGGCAGCATATATCGAGGGCAATAAGAGGCTTACGGATTGTGCTAGTATTGAGACCATTACCGAGACCAGCGACTATACGACCAACGATCATGTGTGCAATGGAGTAAGCGGAGGCCTGGAGAGCACCGCCCACACAGAGGATGAGGGAACCGAGCATAATGGTCCGTTTCCGACCAATCTTCTCACCAAACACCAGAGCCAGAAGTGAGCCAAAGAAACAGCCAATCTCGTAAATGGCGACAACGGTGCCTTGGAGAGAAGCACTGCCATTTGCGCCTTCGTTTGTGTTGATCTCAGGAAATTGAGCCGTGAATGCATTGCCAGTCAAGAGACCGGACATGACTCCTTGGTCATAACCAAAACTATCCTCAATGGTCAGAATGTTGTACTCTATTCTGCAGCTGGGCCAATCGAGTATAGCCCTAAGCCACTTACAGGAGAAAGCCACTGCCAGCAGTGGCAGTAATGGCCCAATGCAATGGGCGCCCAGAGAGAATAGCCATGATCAACACGCTTCGACTCAGTCGATAAGAGACAATGTTCAGATGTAGAAGGTGATCGAATCTCGAATGGAATGGAAAAAACGATAAGACATGGCCCTATTTACATACATATGCAACCGTACGATTATAGATGAGCTTCCCCCGGCTTCACCCAGCCTTCCCCAGTACAGACAGTCGTCTGATTATCCACCCCCACAACGGGGTCGAAACCGGGAAAAAGACCTTAAGGCTACATGACTCTGGACAGGTGCCAAGACCGCGAGACTAGAGCGCAGAGGGGATAGTCTTGCGCTCGGGCGCTATGAGTTTCTTGCTTTGCCATTTGAGCAGTCTGAAGCGACCCTTTTGCCCCAGGGCGTTATGGGTTCAAGCCTGCCAGGCCTGCCCAAAAAGAGTTGCGGCAATTTCCAGTGAAACATGGGGATGCAACGGCGCAGTATGTACATCACTGCGCAACACGGCAACAAAGATGGTGGAACCTGGGGATTCCGATATTCGATAGAAAGTGCGTCATTAGATCCACAGGGTTTCCATATAGTATGTAAATGTTCTTGTCTCTGTCTGTAAAGGTGGAAAGGACTTCATTTTCGTCGCTCTTCCAAAGGTTTTTGCAGTAAGCCGCTGTAACAACATGTACCTGGTAAGCCTTGAGCTAAGTAGTGTAAAGTGCCTATGAGGCATCACACAGGCAACGAGATCAGAGTAATGTCCAAGTAAAAATGTTTTATGGTCAATCCTTCGTAAAACTAGACGAATTACGTACAAGGCGAGCCAAATTCTTTATTGCGGCTTTGTTAGTTGAATTCGCTATTGAAATTTGCTAAATAAGTGGCCCTGCTGACAGACGTCCTGGTTTAGTGTTGGCATCCCTGAAGCTTGGGTGGTTTGTTATGGGGAAATGGCTCGTCTCGCGGGGAACAAGCCGGGGTGTATTCCGTATTCTCACGCTTTTCGTCCCTATTCGCCGGGCATACTTTGTTTCGATTGACGACTTTGTCTGACCTTCTCTGCCGCCGTGCCTGAATCCATTCCTCTCACTGCATCATCTTTGACAGGGCTGAGGGCATTAGTTCCAAAAGCAACCAATGCACATGCCCCATCAAGCTCGAGGAACTTTGCCGACGGCAGAATGGTCTCACAGTCTGCCAACGTCACGCGCGTAAGGACACGGACCGGATGCAGAAACTGCAGGCGCAAGCGCAAGAAGTGTGAGTGCTTCTCAATTCCACCCCCCAAAAAATAAAGCATGGATACGCTCATTGCCACTCATGCTCATCGAGATTTCTGAGGGATACAGGTGATGAACAGCGTCCTGTTTGCAGGGGATGTCTCCGCAGCGGCGCCGAGTGCGACTGGGGCTTGAAGCTTGTCTTCCGTCCCGAGCATGCAGAAACCATAGCTGCGGATCATCCTTCGATGCAGCAGCGGAGGAACTCGCTCGGGCGGCGCCTCAGGGACTTTGACGTGAGAGTCCAAGGACAAAGACCCTGCATAGCCATGGCGCCCATCTAATCAAAATCAATAGATCATCAATGTGACATCCGAAGTGATTCGCGATTACTGGAACGATGTCCTGGAGACTCCTGGCAATAGAGGGCTAGCCAGTTCGGCAGAGGAGACGTCTGCTTTTGGAGCCCCTGGAGATGGCTACAGCCAAGGAACACTCTCCCCAAATGGAATGAGAGCCTCTTCTTCTGGCTCAGATCAAGAACTACCCGCTTACACCATTGACAGCTCCGCCATCAGCGACCAGGTGGAGTCATCTCTGATGCATCATGGCACGCCGGGTGACCAAGGAAGCGAGACAACGCCTCGCACGTATGAAATGCTCCATTCCATCGCGGCCGGTCTTTTAGATCTAGGCCGGCCCATACCTGCTTCAGAGTTGGCTGGCGGTGCCACTCAATCATACTCTCCTTTAGACAACACTTTACTTCCACTAGAACCCCAATGCAAACCATCTACAGCGGAACAGAGCTATGAGGATGATCCAGAAGATGGATTATTTGTGCCTGGCTCTGCATACTTTGAGTTTCACTCTGCGCTTCGGAACCACACATTTCAGGCAGCCAGGACGGCTGTTCCTCCTCGCCATGGTGCGCATTCGAGCACACAAACGAGCCGTGGCAATAGCAGCAGAGTCACGCCTATCAACCTTGCAACAGCTACTTTAATCGATCCTGGAGACACGAGAAGAACTGAATTATCCGCTCAATTCCACAACTTGTCTCCTCACGAGGAGTATGAACTTTGGAGAAACTGGATCGAGGAGATCGCGCCTTGGGTAAATTTGTTTTTTTCCAAGCAGACTTCATTCCAATGTCTTTAGATACTGACCACATTCAGTTGGACAAGTTTGACATTCACTGTCACTTTGGCCATGTCTTACCAACCCTTGCTCGAGAACATTCGCATGTCCGATTCTCTGCACTTGCTCTCTCATCGCGACAACTAGAGCGTAAATATCCGGATCGCTCTTTTAAGAGTCTAGAGCTATACCAAGAGGCTATCCACCAGCTGATACCACAGTTACAGACGAGGACAACAGCCGTAGCTGCGTCTTGCGTTGTACTCTGCGTTTTAGAAATGATGAACTGTACGTGAATTGTCCAAAAGGACTTGTGCTGAGACTGAATATTACTTCTAGGCTCCCCCAATATGTGGAGACAGCATCTCGACGGATGTGCCAGTCTCATCCAGTCATTAGGGATCAACGGATCGTCTGGCGGCTTTGAGCAGGCACTCTTTTGGTGTTTCGCACGCATGGACTTGTGCGGCGCATTCATCTCAAACGAGGCCACAATCATTCCCAAAGAGCGCTGGCTCTCTCGTTCCATTATTGACATGAGCATCTCGACGCTCCCAAAGACGCTGGGAGTCGGAATGTACGCCAATTATATCGTTTACATGTGTGCCGCGGTCATGAGTCTCATGAGCAGCAGCCTTGAAGTCGAGCATGCAGATCGCTGGGAAGAAATGTTTGCACAGTTGACAATGTGGTACCGACATCGGCCGGCGGAAATGCGGCCGGTCTTGGACATTCCCCCCTCCGAGGTCGATTATACTCGCCCCTTTCCCACCCTGCTGTTTTCGACACCATGTGCTATATCAGGGACACAACTATATCATACTGCATGTCTCTTGATGTTGCAAAAGAAGCCGCAGAGAGTGAACCTTGGGCCGGGCACGCGGCCAATGCTTTGGCATGCCCGCAGAATTTGTGCAATTTCGATATCAAATCATCATCATGGATGCTGGACAAATTGCATCCAACCACTATGGATAGCCGGTCAACACATGTCTCATCATGCCGAACACCGAGCAATCTTGGAAATCTATGAACTCATTGAGAAAGAAACGGGCTGGGGTGCTAAATGGCGAGCAAATGATCTAGAGGCATTTTGGGGCAATCTCGATGGGGACTGGTGCTGAAATGCTCAGGCCAAATTGACTAGTCCTCACGCTGAACAATCTACTGAGAAAACTTCCACAAAAAGATTGGCGTCTATACTGGTCTATTGTTTATGTCTTGTCTAGTCTATTTTCTATGCAGAGGCACAGTGGCCACCGTCAACACGAAGGTCAGCTCCTGTCATGAATGAGCTACCGGCAGACAGCAAGAAGACGGCGGGAGCCTTGAAGTCTTCGGGGGCTCCGAGCCTGTTGAGCAAAGCGCCTGCCATCCATATTCTCTCGAGGTCGGGGTTGGTCGCCAAAAGTGCGTCAGTCATGGCTGTCCGGATGTAGCCTGGGGAAAGCGTGTTTATCCGGATGCCGTATTGGCCCCATTCTTGTGCGACCGAGCGACATAATTGCTGCACTGCGGCCTTGCTGGTGTTGTAGGCGGAGCATGTCAGACCCTAATGGTGCAAGCGTCAGCCGAATGGCTCGAAAATCACCACATTGCCAGTCGCTGGTGAATACGTACCCGGTTGGCAATATCGCCAGACATGGAGGCAATCATCACGATGCTGCCCTTGACGCCATTCTTGATCATGATTCTAGCCGAGTGCTTTGCCGTGAGGAAAGTGCCGGTAACGTTTACCGAGAGCATGCGCTCAAAGTCGCTCTTTGGGTAGTCGACGGCGGGAATCTTTTGCTGGATGCCGGCGCAGGCAATGGCGCCGTAGAATTGCGACCCTACGGTCTCGGCTTCGGCGGCAACCTCGTCGAGGATCTTGGACAGATTGTCCTCGTCCGTAATGTCGACGCGGCGGTACGACAGCTGTAGGCCCGAAGTCTCGGCCGTCTTTTGGATACCCGCCCACTCGGCGGCAGCGGGCTCATCGAGAATGTCGAGGCAGGCCACATTGCCCCCGGCCTCGAGGACCGCGGCTGCTAGCGTTATGCCCAGACCTCGACCGGCACCAGTGATGGCGACCGTCTTGCCGCTCAGTGAGAAGAGCGCCGTATGCGAGGCGTTGGCCGGGGTGATTTTGGACTCTGGGATATGGGCAGGCAAGGCCACATCGGAAACAATCTTTCCGTCAGCCATGTCGACAAAAGGATACTGAAGACGCCGAGTATGAATATCTAGTGACTACTAAAGAAGATGGGTTGAAGGTTAGAAGATGAGAAGCCTTTCGCTGAGAGCAAGGCAATGCAGAATAAATTAGAAGTACAGACAATATGAGGTCAAGTAATGAGAAATAGAGAGAGAGAGGAGGAAAAAAAAAGTAAAGTGTTCAGCAGCACAGGACATCGTGACTTACATGATGACCGTCAACGGACCCTTTCTGCCAGTCTCGTGGATCCTTTGGTCTCCATGGCGGCGCTTGCAACATCCCAAGTCGACATTGCACAGGCCAAAAAACGGAGAAATAAATGTGACTGGAGTAAAACTTTGAGTGTTGTGCATTCTGATGAGCATCTCAGCCAGAACGCGACTCGCGGCAACACTTTCTCACTTCTCCGAACAGGAAAACGGGGCAAAGAGAGACCCAAGCTTGTCCCCCCATTCACCCACACCCGCATCCCAACTTGGTAATTGGCACAGGCCTATATGCCCCGGACGGCGATCCCCCACCACTAGCAGCCCCCACAAAATGCGAGTCTTGAGGGGACAACAGCGCTTCGACTTTCCGCGCAGGTCTGAATGCTAGGTGCTACCGCTTGGGGTGGATCATACCTGTAGGGTCATCCTAAATTGAGCTGGGTGCGACTTGGCCAGTAACAGTTGTGCCGCGACCAATCTAGTTCTCGTGGAATATACTATGCTCTTCCCTCCGCTCGGGCAAGATTTGGAAGACGCATATCGTATGAAGAAGTATTTGAAATGAAGAAGAGCAGCTCAACGTTTCCGTAGACAAGAGCTTCTTAATACCCACTGTGTCCAAATTATTCACAATGGCCTCGGTGACGATTCCAGCGAGCACTGTCGAGCATCTGCCGCTCACGCTCTCCGGCTCTGAGAGCCAAAAGACGGCCGACATTTCTACCTTGGAGCTCAAGGACAATGAAAAGACGAGCCTGTTGCTCCGAACGTTCAGATGCCTCATCGCAGACCTATGTGAGCAGTTCAAGGGCGGCCATCCAGGGTATGTTATAGAGCTATCATATACATAGTCGGGCTGCGACGACAAGAAGCTGACCATTTCCGTGCGACTGATAGGAGCGCCATGGGCATGGCTGCCATTGGTGTGGCATTGTGGAAATATGTGATGCGATATTCTCCAGAAAATCCAAACTTCTTCAACCGCGACAGATTTGTGCTATCGAATGGTAGGTTCACGTCAATCTAGTAGTACAGCCGCGATGTCTAACGCATCTATCATATCTTCAGGTCACTGCTGTCTATGGCAGTATAGTTTCATGCATTTAGTGGGATACAAGAACATGACCATTGACCAGTTGAAATCATATCACTCGAAACGCACCGACTCTCTTTGCCCCGGACACCCTGAAATCGAACACGAAGGCATCGAGGTGACGACAGGTCCTTTGGGCCAAGGTATCGCAAACGCGGTCGGATTGGCCATGGCCACAAAGCACCTGGCCGCAACATATAATAAGCCCGGTTTCGAGCTGGTCAACAACAAGACATGGTGTATGATTGGGGATGCCTGTTTACAAGAGGGAGTAGGACTCGAAGCCATCTCTCTTGCCGGCCATTTCCGGCTCAACAACCTGATTGTCGTCTACGACAACAACCAAATCACCTGCGACGGCTCCGTGGATCTCACCAACACGGAAGATGTCAATGCCAAAATGGTGGCGTGCGGCTGGAAGGTCATCGACGTGCTCGACGGAAACCACGACGTTGAGGGTATCGTGTCGGCCCTCGTCGAGGCGCGGGCCAGCACGGACAGGCCCGTCTTTATCAATATTCGCACAGTCATTGGCATCGGCAGCAAGGTTGCGGGCGACGCCAAGGCGCACGGCGCTGCCTTTGGCCCCGAGGACGTGGCTAACATCAAGAAGAATTCGGGTTTCGACGCGCAGCAATTCTTCCACATCCCCCAAGAGGTATACGACTACTTTGCATCCGTGAGGGGCCAGGGACGTCAGTTTGAGGCCGAGTGGGATCAGGTGGTCTCGGCCTACAGCAAAGAATACCCTGAGCTCGCGGCCGAGTTTGCCTGTCGTGTGCGGGGAGACTTCCCAAAGGACTGGGCCGATATCATTCCCAAGAAGGAGGACTTCCCTACGACGCCTACACCGTCGAGGAAGTCGGCAGGACTCGTCTGCAACCCCCTAGCTGCAAAGCTCAACAACTTCATGGTTGGCACGGCCGACTTGTCGCCGTCTGTCAACATGGCATGGAATGGCAAGGTTGATTTTCAAAATGTATGTGGTTGAAAGTGCGGAGTACAACCGTTGTGAGTATAAAGCTAACAACTTTAATAGCCTGATCTTCGACCATCATGTGGTATTTCGGGCGAATACACTGGCCGCTATATCCATTGGGGTGTCCGTGAGCACGCCATGGCATCGATTTCCAATGGTCTAGCAGCCTTCAACAAGGGTACAATTCTGCCAGTCACATCATCGTTCTTCATGTTCTATATTGTGAGTATCTCTCGAGCCATCCTATTTTGGTCACCCCACATCTAACCATGTTAATAGTACGCTGCTCCCGGCGTCCGCATGGGTGCGCTTCAACGGCTGCAGAGTATTCACATTGCTACCCATGACAGTATTGGTACTGGCGAGGATGGCCCAACTCACCAGCCCATCGAGCTTGCGGCACTCTACCGCGCCATGCCGAACCTCCAATACATCAGACCTTGCGACAGTGAGGAGACGGCCGGTGCCTTCATCGCCGCGCTCTCGGCTAGGGAAACACCGACAATCATCTCGCTGTCCCGACAAAACTTGCAACAGTACCCCCAGCACTCCTCGCGCGAGGGCGTACTCAAGGGCGCCTACGTCTTGATCGAGGAGCAAGACGCCGACGTCACCTTGATTGGCGTGGGCGCCGAAATGGTTTTTGCCGTCGAGGCGCGAAACGTCCTCAAGCAGCAAGGGGTCAAGGCCCGCGTCGTCAGTTTCCCTTGCCACCGTCTCTTTGAGAAGCAGAACCTGGAGTACAAGGCCCAGGTCCTGCAGTACCGTGCGGGCATCCCGCGCGTCGCCATAGAGGCCTACGCGGCCATGGGCTGGGAGCGCTACGCCGATGCGGGCTACTCCATGAGCACCGACCGGTTCGGTCACTCGCTCCCCGGTGCCGAGGCGTACGAGTATTTTGGTTTCAACCCGACAAAGATTGCTACAGAGGTCCAGAGCTTTGTTGCCGAGTGGAAGCAGCGGGGCCCCGAGGCCTTCAGAGGAGAGTTTCGGGATTTGAACAAGACGCATCCATCGCACTGAGCAGTACAAAGGGGTTGAAATCAAGACAATCCCTAAGTTTCTTAATAGACGAGATATCAAGTTACCTTTGCATAGAACAATACACTCTAGCGACGTCCGATTGAGAACGGCAGCATATCCTCGTACCCTTACATGAAAATGATGTCCAAGCAAATATCTACCAAATGACTTGCAAGAGGAATCTAATAGGACTCTTTTGCAAACTCCTGGAATACATCTTCAATAGCTGCGGGACGTTTATCGCATGTTGCTGATTGGTTCACTGGAGACTCTGGCGTAGATAACAGGAAACGCTCAGGTATTGGCCGCTCGACTATAAGATCAAACCGGGTATCTCGGCCGGGGATAAACCCACCGTAGTGGGAACGACTCCAAAGCGGAAGGAAGCTAAATGATTCGGTCGCATCCCACGTATGACTCCTCTCTTATCCGGAAGGGCTCCCCGATGATCGGCATATTTCTTTGGACAAATTCCTCAGATACTCACCCCACCATGACACATATATTATCCGGAAGCTCGTGTGATATTGACGAGAATAATAGAGGCCTCAGTATCACGTGCAAATAGGCCTGATGATGGCAATGAGACCGGAATCGCCAGATGGTAAAGCTGGGCCGGCCCATGATGTGTCTATAGATCCCAGCCTCATGGAGCAGGTTGGGCCGTCGGATATCGACACAGTAGCGGAGCGACGCTTCTTATGGAAGCTTGATCTCATCGTGCTGCCTCTCCTTGGTGAGTTGATACCTTTGAAGAACCAAAAATCATCAAAAGCCATGCTGATTCATCCTGGTATCCAGCCATCATCTATTTTACGCACTCGCTCGACCGGGCCAACCTGGGCAACGCCAAGACGGCAAACCTAGAAGCGGACCTGGGACTGCAGGGGAACCAGTACTCGCTGGTCCTCATCCTGTTCTACATACCCTACGGGACCCTCAATGTGCCGCTGACCATTGCGGCGCGGCGGCTGTCGCCCGCCGTCGTGATCCCGGCGCTGATGCTGGCCTGGGGCGCCATCTCGGCCGCGTCGGCGGCCGTGACGGGGTTTGGGGGGCTCTTGGCGGCGCGCGTCTGCCTCGGCGTCGTCGAGGCCGGATTCTTCCCCTCTGCCGTCTATTATCTCACTCTCTTTTATACCCCCACCGAGGTGGCCAAGCGCATCGGTCTCTTTTATGCCATGGGCTTTGTCGCAAATGCGTTTAGCGGGTTGATTGCTTGGAGTGTCTTTCAGTGGAAAGACAAGCCATTACATGTACGTCTCTTGCTGGTCCCAATATGTCTGCTGCTCTTAGAATCATTTCATCTCGAGCATAATCAGCTTATAATCCACTGGCTTTTTAGAATTGGCAATACCTTTTCATCATCGAAGGCAGCATGACAATATTTCTAGCAATCGTCGCATTCCTCCTGCTGCCACGATCCGTCGAGACATCCCAGTACTTTAACGCCAGCGATCGGGTCATTGCCCGGGAGAGGGCCGCCGCGTCAGCACAGCTCGAAGCCGAGGTCTTTTCCTGGCGATCGACCCTCCTGCCCCTGGCCCAGGGCGAGACATGGTTCTTTGCCGCCATGGCGCTATCGTACGGTGTAGCGTGTGCCTCGGTACCCAATTTCCTGCCCACCATGATCAAGCGACTCGCCGCCGGCGACACCGTCAGGGCCAACCTGTACACGATTGCGCCAAACTTGTCGGGCGCCGTCTTCATCGTCACCGTGTGCGCCCTCTCGGACCGGCTGCGAAGGCGCGCACCGTTCATCATCCTCAGCACCGTGGTCGCCATGCTGGGCTTTATCCTGCTCGGCACGCTGGATCTGACGCGGCTCGTCGGCGTCGGCTACTTTTGCACATTTCTCATCACGTTTGGCACATTTACCTCGGCTGTGCTGGTGCCGGCGTGGGTTTCGAGCAATATTGCGTCGCGCTCTGCCCGGGCGACTACACTGGGGTTGATCTCTGGCATGCAAAATCTCGGCGGTATTATCAGCAGTGTCGTCTTCCGGGCCGAGGATGCACCAGTGTATCGACCGGCGCTGGTTACAAGCGGTGTATTTCAAGGGTGCGTAGTTGTTCTTGCGGCTGCTGGCTGGATTTGGTATTGGCACGAAATCAAGAAATTGGAAAAAGACGGACAAAAGCAACGTCGCATGTTGTAGATTTCGTTCATGAGCTATTCATACAAAAAATGTGCCCTTTTTCCCAGATCCACGAAATACCCATGTTGTTATCTTACTGCAGAGAATCCCGAATCTTGATACCAATGTTCAATTCCACGGGCTTTCTCAGGAAACCCTCACGAGTATCCATGTAGTCCTGTCTGAGGTAGACGTCGTATCTGCGAGCCCATGTAGCCACAATCATCTTCATTTCCATCTCGGCGACATTCCTGCCAACACAAGCACGAGGTCCATAGCTGAAGGGAATGAAGGCGTTCTTCTGGCGATCGGTAACGTTCTCCCATCTGTCGGGGTTGAACTCCATGGCATCAGGACCCCAGATCTCCGTGGAATGGTGAATCGTGTAGGTTGGGACGCTCAGGACGGTGCCAGGCGGGAAGTAGTGGCCATTCAGGTGTACACCCTTGCCGTCATAGGGAATTTGACGCGGTAGTCCAATGCCGGAAGTCGAGTGGTGGCGCAGGGTCTCATTGATAACCCGCTCCATATAGGGCAGGTTTCGGACCATATCGTAAGAGGGCACATTGACTTCGTTGGGAATGGCGGCATCGAGTTCGGCCTGCAGCTTTTGCAGGACACCGGGAGTTCTGGCAACATGGAAGAGCAAGGCGCAGGAAGAGTTGCTAGTAGTATCCGATCCGGCAATGAGCTGTGTCAGGGCCTCGGCAGTCAGCTCCTCGATACCGAGGGGTTGGCCCTTCTCGTCGCGGCCCTCCTGCAGACGGGCCAAAAGATCCTTGCGTTCAATCGGAGGCGGGTTTTCCAATCGGTTCTTGACACGAGCAATGGCGATTCCGGCAAGGTTCTGAACTGCTTCGGCACCCTGGCTGAAGAAGGGGTCGGGGATCCATGCTGCGTAGGGCTTCAAGTCGGGCAATATTCCCAGGGCTGCTGAGACTTCACCGCGACGGTTGAGAATCTCGACGGCGGGTGCGTACGAGGGAGGTGCATCAGGAGAAGAGCGAATCTCGGCAATATCAGCTCCGGCCTCGAGCATTCCAAAAGGCGCACCAAAGGCAAGGTCACCAATGGTATCAAAAGCCACGTAACTACATATCCATTGTTAGTCATTTGAGTACATTGGAAATTCAAGAGAGATGTAAATCCTTACTTGAACCAAGAAAGACATTCAATGTGAGCGTAACCATCAGATCGGCGCTGCTGCTTGGCGAGCTCATCCCATTTCTTGACAAAAGTCTCCAAGTTTCCATGGATATATGGCTCAAACTGGCCAATAGACTTGGGAGCAAAGGTGTGAGACACAATCTTGCGCTTGCGAGTGTGCTCGGCGCGGTCTCTAGTGTTGAAGAGACCACGGCGGATCGAGACAAAGGCGTCGTAAAACTCGGACTTCAAGAAACCGTTGCCGTGGCCGTAAATGGCCTGGATGGCGGCATCGTCGGCAATGCTGACGTGGTTTGGCTGGATGCGGACCACGGTGCCAAGCTTCTTGTGCAACTCATCCACAACCTCATAACGGTTGCCGCCGCGCCGACACACGGAGAGCAGCCATAGGTTGGAGAATTGAGCCGGGAACGGAGCGGGGATGCCCCGAAGTTTGCCAAAGGTGAAGAAGTAGGGAACGAGGTAGTACAGCACCAGTGCGACGGGTGCCAGTGCCAACGTCCAGGGCGATGCGAGCAGGTGAATCACAGCCATGACGACGATAATTCGCCGAATAGTATGTAACCAACCGCAGCGGTGCTAGTGCGACCGACTAATAAAAGTGCAGGCCTGAATAGCAGCTGCTGCTATGCTCAAAACCGAGGTTTAGACCTTTTTTCAGCTTGAAGGAAATCTCTGATGCGTGATTATTTCCCAAGACCCATTCAATGGTGAAAATGGTGGAGAGAAAGGGAAAGAGAAGAAGAGGAAGAATCGGAAAGCTAGGCTTGTGGCCTCTCAATGGAATCCCCCGAGATAAAATTCCCAGGGTTCAAGCCGACCTTTTTGAATCCTTCTTCGGGTTCCGACTCGTCTTGCCTTGCAGCCGGTCTCGTGCCCACCTGGTTTGATGAAGAGGAACAATTCCACGCTTAGCATTTTCTCCCCGCATCTTGGAGAGAATTAGCGTGCTGGCAGTTCCGCTACGAGGAAAGCGTCATTGCACGCACCATCATTGGCCGTGTTCATCACGATGGGTTCGCTTGTTTTGTGGAGGACCGGCCGCTAAGAGGGCTTAGGCTCCGGCACTGAAAATCGGCAGTGAGCCTCACTCTGGGGAACGCCGTGATATTCTTGTCTGCCTTCTTTCGTGGCGCTCCCGTCGTCTTGCCTCGTCGTGTCTCCTTACCGCCGTTCCTTTCTGAAATGTCCGTGAGGCGAATTTCGCGAGTTCGCGCTCTCGCGCTACACTTCGGTGCTCATGCGACCCCAGTCGATCGTGGAGAAGGGATATATTCTCGGCAGTCAATGGTATACCTTTTTTCTCCAGCTGTGCCTCTTCCGCCTGTAGCTTGGCGGGTATAGTGCAGTATAATCCCAGCGTCGAGCTTCTCCAAACGAGTAAGCTCAAGACAAGTCATTTACTCTGCCATACAGTGCACGTGTATTTGAATATCACTCTCCACAGTGCACAGCATCGAATCAAGACTAGGACTTGGCATTGTGCCTGCATTCAAACTCGCGAAGACGCGAGGACTGGATCTAGATCCCGAGATTCACTCCCGTGTCAATCACAAGGGTGAAAAAGATCTGCATGGTATATGGAATAGTGCATTTCAAAAATAGCCAACTATGTCATGCATAGATTTGATAATAATAATAACCCTATTTTCATGTGCCTACTTGATAAGATACTAATTTCTGACGAATACTAACATTAAGTCTAAATGCCAACAAGATTATTGCCTGCCTATTTCCCCACATCATTATTATCAAGTTGCCTCGTTGGTCGAGACGTCTCCAAAGGAACCCCCCACCATTCTCTTTTTTTTTTTATATACGAGCCCATCGACGACAGTCCGCTCAACACCTCATTTTCAGTACCCACCCAGCCTTCTTGACGCGCGCGGTAATCACCAGGCAGAATGCAACAGCCATGACGCAGGCTACCCAGATCTCGGGTGCAACAAAGGATCCCCCATCGGCACTCTGCAGCGCTCCTCCCAGCGGCGGCCCCGTTAGTGACGCGACCGATACGATGCCAAAGCCCATACCAATTCGTGCACCGACCATGCTGAGCTTGGGCGTGAGGCTCGCCAGACTCGTGGGAATCAACGACTGCGTCGCTCCCGAGGCGGCGCCAAAGAAGCAGGCAAAGATGTAATAGCCGGTAATGTCGTGCACGGCCAGCCAGGTAAAGGCTACGATTGTCCATATAAAGAGAATGGGCACCTGGACATTGACTGGCCCAATGCGGTCGGCGATCAGGGGCACGAGAAGTCGCATCGGTATGCCGACTGCGTTGATGATAATGGTAAGGATGGTTGACGATGAGTAGGAGAGTCCCAAAGTTTCTCTGCCGTAAGAACCAATCTGGACGAGAGAGGTGAGTTGGATTTACATAATTATTTCTTATAATTCTTCTTTTTGAGGAAGAATAACAGTACAGAGTACAATGAAAGGAGAGCACTTACGTAGTAAAAGGTATAATAGTTTGCCCACATGGCGAAAAAGATAGCAAAGGTGAAAGCAAGAAACACGGGATCCTTGAGGGCAGTCACATCAACCAGCGGTCCTGATTTCCGCGGTGGCAATCGAGGCTTCAAGAACGCCAGAGCAACAAGTAGACATGCCAGATTAATGAAGCCTAGGACTCTGGCCGTCCATCCAAATCCCACCTGAGGAAGAAGTTGTCGAGCAATGACTGGGTATATGGCTCCTCCCAGAGAGTTTCCGGTTGTTACGAGTCCCACGGCTATGCCTCGTCTCTTGTCAAAGTAGGTGGTAATCATGGCCAAGGTGGGCGTGAAGAAGATTCCATTTCCCAATCCGGTGAGGACGCCCTGGGTCAGCATGAGTTGCCAGTATTTCGTCGATATACTCATGAGGAAGACGCCGAGAATCTGAATCGTGGATCCAACAATAAAGGTCGGATAGAAGAAGCCGGCATCCAGTAGTCGTCCAGTGAGGACGCCGAGTGACAGACTCAGGAAGATCTGTACGGAACCGATCCACGATATGGCCGATGCCGACACGGGCAAGACTCCAGTGTAGTAATTCTGAAAAGCACCAAAGGCGTTCACATAACCCCAGGTCGTAAAGATCACCAAGAATCCGCAAGCGACCTGTGTCCAGGCTCTGAGGCCACCGTCCGGAGGTGGCGGTGGTTCATCCCGGATTCTGGTCGAGAGGCGGGACAGGACATTGTTCAGAGTATTGCTGGCCGTTCTCCTCAGGTCCCCGGACGCCCGCGTATTGGACTTTTCACTCATCCTGGATTTCCTCGTTGTCTGTCGTTGAATCTCCTGCGATGGCCGCCCGTGGATGGAGTCGTCCTCTTCGTCTGAGTGTGAGCCATTGTCGGTTGAGGCAATGGAAGAAGGTCCTGCTCCGTAGGAATTATGCACAGTCACATCATTCTTTTCAGACAGATGCATGGGATCACTGTTGTGAGAGGCCATTGTTCTTTTGGTTCTTTTCTCTCTTTCTCTTCTGCTTCGTACAAGATCCTTCTTGTCTCTTTGGGGAAGATGGTAAACATGTAGTAGATAGGAGTGTGAGTGATATGATGGTTTTGATCTTCTCCCTTTCCTTAATGACGGGCGTCTCCTGACCAGCAGCTATGATGCACGACCATTGCAGGTTTTACACGGTCCCAGCAACCCTCGAGACGGTGTGAGAGGGCGCAGGGCGTGGTTTTTATTCCCGAGGATTCGACAACTACAGTACAGAGAAAAATCCATCGCTGGCTCCGCCTTCGGACGTGGATCCCACAGCGCTCTCGCATTAGGCGGTTTCATTTGCGCAAGAGAGGCCTCAGCAAGCGGGACCATTGCGATGCGCACTGAGCCCAAAGATTTAGTGGACCTTTTCAGCCCAACTTCAGTCTCTCAGTGTGCCCCTTTAGGGGCCTGTGGGCTTGCTGCCCGCCCGGAGGAGCTCCTTCTTACGGTGACCCCCACGAATCCTTAGTACCAACGCGGGTATCCATTGCGGGCAATCGGCTACAACCCCATTGACCTCCAGGGCTTGGGGAAAACTCGTCAGTCAATGTCAAGCAAGGGATTGCCAAGCAGCACCTGGAGAAGTTTGTAGTATAAGAACATGATCGTCCTTGGGTGGTCAGCCTGGCGGCAATATCTGGAAATACCTGCCGATGTGCATAGGGTATCTACATGAAATTGAAATGATTTCTGCTCGTCATTGGCCGTACTGCGAGAGCGCTAATGTCGGGGTGTCACATAGCACTGAGCAGAGTCCAGTCCAGCCAGTTTTTCATCAATGCTTTTCCCCCCCAAAAAAATGCAACTTGGACACTCGAGGTCCGATGACACGGACACGGGCCGACGTTTGACTGATAACAGTAACACTATTACTCAAGCGCAGGATAATGATAGCCATCGGCCGCCGTCCTCGGTGAGCAACTCACATGCGAAAAAAAACGACGTCAATATTAACAATTGCGCCTAGACTGAAGCAAGTCCAATTACTAAGACTACTAGGAATTGTCAATGATCGACCGACCTTTTCTTTTATTTTAATTTTTTTTTTTTTCCCTCCCTTCGTCGTTCCCTAAAGATGTCCGTTATTGCTACCAGTGATACCCGCAACGAGTGGCAAACCGGTAAACATCTTAGCCGGTGATTTTGGACGGACCTTGAATCGGCACGCCACAGCCCGACTTATTCGTAGTTGCACAGCTTGCATCTTCTGCACTCAGACTCTTCATGCATGACTACATATTCCATGACCAGTAGAAATGCATCTTATTACCTGCAGTGGTGTCCTAAAGAGGTAGGTCATGATGATTGTCAGGTAATTTGAGCCGGCAATGCCATTTTGTTACGAACGTGGTGATTCGGCTCGATTTGCTGAGCTCTGCCGATATCCGACTGACTGTCCAACACCCGTGTGGACAAAGGTCACTGATTGCCTAGCTAGTTCATATCGGTCTGCACCACTGAACGAAGGTTGTTGACTTGTCACGAGTCTTGCCCTCGACGACATCGGATGCTTGAACGAAATGACTTGCACCAAGTGTTCGTAAAATCGTGGTTTTATTACTGCCAGTACTTACCAAGGCACCACGGAAGTCGTTCATCTACATACATACTGGCAAAGCAGGAGTAATGACGCAATGCAAGGAATGGGTTCTGCCAGAGAAATAGTTGCATCAAACAAGCAAGAGACAAGACGATCCACGCACCGCCATCAGAAATCTATAAGTCATTTGGGATTTATGTACAAGTCTGACCTTCCCATCTTGTGCTTCAACCAGTCCTGTCCAACTCGGCCCGCAATGCCAAGTTCTTGATCTGCGTCGCCTTTCCGTCCTCGCCAATGGTGAACACAAACTGATCCAGCGGCATGTCTGCGTAGACGGCCGCGGTCTGGCTCACCCAGGAGCCGCAATCCGTGCTAAACATCTTTCCTGTTTCATCCGTTGCGTCCAGATTTTCGACCACAGCCTTCCAAGCAACCTTTTTGGTAGAGTTGCCGTCGGTCCTGGACTCCAACCCCGTCGGATACAGCCGGATCGCCGGGGCCGTGACGTTGTAGTTGAGCGTGTACCGCACCGCAATCGGAATCATGTCCGTACCATTGCTGACCCAGCTCTCCACCCCGAGGCCCGGCCGTGAGCTGTCCGTGCTGAGCACTATGCTACTGTTTGTCAAGCCCGAGGCGGGGTCCGTCTCCGAGGAGAGCTCATAAGTTCCCGCGTAGGCGGCATCTGCCTGCAGTCGTGCCGTCTCCTCGAGGGCCGGGAGCATGATGCCGCCAATCAAGTCCGCCATATCCCAGTTGGCATTGCCTGGCCAGGTGCCCGCCAGCAGCGCCGAGATGCCAACGTCGTAGTCGGGCAGCAGGACCAAGAGGGACTGATATGCATTGATGCTGCCCGCCTTGCCGTACGAGTCGACCACCCGGTTCGTGCCCGTTCCGAGCTGGATGCGACGAATGCCCCACGGATACCCAACGCTGGCCACCAGCTCTGATGTGAGCGCTGCCGGTTGCAGCCACCTACGTGTCGTCGCTCGTGAGAGCAGTGTAGACCGAAAGATGGCGCGGCCGAGGGATGACAGGTCCGAGACGGAGGCGTACATGTTTCCAGTGCTGCAGGCACAAAGTCAGCTCCACTCACAGTCCTGATCAAAAGACGCAATTTCTCACGATTTTCAGTTTCATGAATGAGAAGGGTGTCAGACGTACGGACTTGCCTCCCCCAGGCTAAAGGCCCATCCCCAATTATTACCCTTTGGTACAATTCCTGGCATGCCACTGGGCGGCATTGTGTAGAAGGTATGGTTGAGGCCCAAAGGCTTGATAATATCATTGTCAAGCATGTCTTCAAAGGACCTTCCGGTGATATTCTCAAGCGCATATGCCAAGAGCTGGTAGCCCAGGTTACTATACCCTGGTGTCGTGTACGGGGCCCAGGACGGCGGTACGAGTTTGAGGCCGTCCATTAATTCTTGATCATGGTCAGTTCTGCACTCTGCTCACTCTTTCGGATTTTCCTCAGCTCAAGCAAGTACTTACGATCTCGTGAACATAGATAGAACTCGCCACACGGCGGTACTAGAGCCAGCGGGGCCGGGGGGAAACCTTGGGACATGAGCAATGTCTGGTTGTTCTCTTGCGTCAGCTCTCCCATGATCGCATAGTCCCTAATGATGCCCGACATTTGGCTGGCCAGACCTCCCAGCGTGACTTCACTCCAGTCCACATTTGTGATGGCATCAAAGTCTGAATCGCCCTCCTTTGCCAATTGAGCAAGCCTGGGGAGATAGTCCGTGATTGGTGCGTTCCAATGCTTGTCTCCTGCCTCGACAAGAAACGTCAAAATTGTAAAGATCTTGGTTACACTTCCCAGCCGATATATCGTGTTTCCATCGACGACGCTGACCCAGGAAGTATTTACGTTTGGAGCCGTGTGGTAATTCTCCCATACTGGTTGGTCGCCATCGTCCGAGGTTGAGAAGAGTTGAACAGACCAAGACGTCTGATTCGGATTATTGGCGGGATCATTCGTATACCCGGCGAATGCAGAGTTGAGATTCGCCACCGCCTGAGCAATGGTATCCGACGATGCTAGGTTTGTAGGTTTTGGAAATACGGGACCCAGATATGGACAATTGGGCAACTCGCCCAGAACCACGGCCACTTGCGCTGCCAGCGCCAATGAGACTGCGAGATATCCCCCAGGCCACACCATCTCGTCTGATCTTGTCTTGTGCAACGAATGTGTTCTTCAAATGCCAAGCATTGAGATGATGGTGATGAAACAAGCTGAGAAACAGACCGCTATGAACCTGCGCGTCATCAACTCAACAAACTCGCAACGTTCACAACTAAAGAAACACCAGATGAGAAGGACTCAGCATGTCGAGCGTAAAATGCTTTCGTCGCGCCTAGAGCAACAATCTTGTCGCAACACCTGAGCACATTTACATGTTGTCATCTGCGCTCCACGTAGCGATATCCAGTTGTGCACCATTGCAGAAGGTCAGACACGGAGCAATACCATAATGTCCTATTTGGGGTGGTCCCTGACGCAATAGTATCCAATCTGACCCCCAGCCTACCAGGTTTGCTGATAATTACAATGCCGTGCGACTATACTGCAATCTGCGGCCTCATTGGTCAGCGCCATCATGCACCGTTATAGGGTGTTTAATCTGTAACTGCGGCGCTTACGCAACTAGGCAACCGACTCCGAGCTGATCACCTGCTGGAAACACGAGTTAAATTGTAAAGTTCCCCACGTTTCTTGTCTTAATCAAGCAGATGCAAACTCGGAGGGTTAGATAAGGAGGCATGTCACCTCTGTCTTTTTCTTCCTCTTCTTGGGCGTTGATGCGAAACCCAATCGCATGTGCACAATGGCCTCACAAGTGTGATGCCCAGAAAATTTCGAAACTTTATTTCAACATTTACACGGCCCGCAGTTTGATTGCACCATCCTTTCTTGGGAACATTCATGTTAATTCGGCACCTAGATTCCTTGCAATCTATCTACCGTACTCCGCCGAGCCGCTTTCCCTGCCGAATGCAACACGTTCGAGATTGTGAACGGCATATAATAGCCTCAAGATCTCATACTCGATGAATGATATGATGCGTGGTGAGCGCACGCATCCATCAATGTTATCTTGGAGTTTGCGCTGCCGGCCGCTTGCTATCTTGGAAGAGGGTGTTTTCATCTATCCTTTGGCACCTATTTGGAACCATTTCCCGGGCAGCCAACAGTCAAGCACAACATCATTTTAACAACACTTTGAATTGCACGCCAAATCCCTATGCCAACTCCATTTCTTCTAACCTTTGGATTACTGCATATATCTTGATGAAGTTGCGACTAGACCTTCTTGCACTTTCGCGCGTTCTCCATCTCTTGAGAAGTTGACCAGGTGCAGTCAAAAATCAAGTATATGGTCGGCCGCCCGCAACCAGGCTGATGCTATGCAGTTTGTATAATTAGATCATCCTGGCATTGGTAACACGACATGGTAGGGGTCTTTGGACAAGTATTTGTTTGGATAGCCAAGACTTTACCAGATCTTGCGATCTTGGAATTCTTCCAAGAAAAGCCTCAAGGTGCCGCCCGTCCGAGGGTTTGGTTCACGCGGGTTGCTTGCTCTCGGAAACCTTCCCGACCACTCGTTTTAACAATGACCCGGGCACGATGCTGCATTCTTATCTTGTAGATTGCCAGAGACGACAGCCATGAGTCTGTTGGATATTAGCCGCAAGATGAAGTTATCGACGGACCCCCACTGTCACCGGATAAATTCAAAGTCGCTCAGTTGAAGGTGCAATGATAGCTCCTTGGTTGCAACACCAGCAAAGTCACAATACTGATTGCGAATCGGACCAATGATATGCTCAAATATCACTTGTCAAAACAGAATTCAGGTTCGACTGCGTCGAGGCTAGGCGCCAAGGTTGAGAATGATGTACGTGTCTACCAAGTATCTCTAGTTGAGTCTCCGTCATCATGATTTCCATCAAAATTGCTTCAACCCAAATACGAACATCTCGTGTCGTCCTCCACGCGTAGAATTGATTCTTATGTTTCCAAATAATAGTTTCTTGTTGCGCATATGTTGAAGAAAGCAGTCAACTACACTGAGGCTTTTCTGTCGCTTCCGTAGGGACATTTGAGGTAGTGATCCCAGTACTGTTGCAAATCGTCGAGGTCTTGGCGATGATCTTCTGCCATGTGTTCATCAAGGTCGCTTACCGTTGCGAACCATCGAGAACAGCCTGGTTCATTGGCAGAGAATCGCTCGTCCACTCTGATAGTACCTCAGCAGCTCTGCGAATGAGCTTGTGGCGGCACCAAAGATTGACCCCGACGTTCGGATACGTGGATTGGCAGCCTATGATGAAACGTCCTCATCATGGCATTGCGATTTGTGCGCGCAAACGATTAGAGCGGAACAAAGACGGCGATGTAGCTACCATTCATGTCGTTCCCATCCGCACCGAAAACTTCAATAAAGCCTCATAATTGCAACATTTCGGTTGGGTAACTGTTATCTTGCCCGAGGAGCTCGCTCCATCTCTGATGTCGTCGCCCGTGGGTGTCAAAACAACCATACCTTCCGTGGATAATAGCCACATTGGTCGCGGCATTTATCAGCCACTGAAGACGGGCTGAAGACTTACAGGAGCGAACGTCGATAGCGTCAGAGCAGTTCCACTGCTCTGCTCATCGCTCTCGGCTTCAGGCGAACTAGCCAGTATTCACGCCGGTGCTCGCGGGTGGAAGTCGTCCCCTCCATGTTTAGTTTTCCCACGAGAATATAACCAGGTTCCCAATACATTAGGCGTTTTTGTGAACGCAAATATGAGGGATCAGAGCCGACTCCCATGACGGGCCCAGCCGAGTACGTGACGTTTCCTTGGCCCGCTGGACCATGCCACACCAGAGGTGGGCACACGTAAGGAGCAGAGATTGCCAAGGTCTCCTGCTGCGGATGACCCTTATGGACTGCGTGTCCATCTGGACCACATCCAACACTGGGATGGCGCTTCTTCGCCATGCTACCTTGGCCCTCGCTGTGCGAGGATGCTCATGGCGTTGTCGATGACCGACATGTCGTGCTTCGACAGAGGGCTACTCACTATCAAGGAGCCGGACGAGCTGTGGTCGTTGTTGATCCCAATACCTCTATCTTCGTGTATTTCTTCAACATCCTTTCGAGTCTGTGGTGAAAGAAGGCCTTGCAAGAACCCCAGTTCGAGCGTTAGGCTCGAGCCTCAGGTTTCGAGAGGTGGTAGAATCGGGGTCTGAAGGTTGATGCTGCTCTGCTTGGTTTGGTCCATTATCTCTGGTAACATGTTAGATTGGTTGCAACATCATGAAGATCATGGGTATGGACTTACACCGTAATGGAATGGGACCGACTTTGTCGTTGGGAATCTCAGGCTAATGCGCCCAGACTCTTCTCCCGGGTGAGGATCAACTCATCCTGTCAGATGTTGATACTCATATCATGATTTCATGTGTTCGCCTAGTACAGGCTCACGGATTAGTCAGAATCCCGTGGTCAGGGTTGATGCTAAAGATAACTGGCGGCCTACCTGGCTCGGATTCGTTCGGTTCCATTCCCACACGCGCATCTCGCGAGCTGGCCCCTTATCCGCCGAGCATCTTGTTCGCACCTTGTCGATTTGAGAGAGAACCGCCGAATCCTGTTAAAGACAGAAGATCTGTTTATACATACGATAATCTCCTGGTTCAGGCGTACCCATTACGATACCATTACGAGCTGATTCCCTCCCCGGTGCTAGCCTACCCAGCCATGCTGGAGTAGAAGTTGATGCAGTCAGTATCTTGTTCGCTGCAGCTTCGGCCTCGTGGGAGATGCTCATGTGTCTTCCAGATATGGGGATAAATTTTCCAGGTTGTGCATGGAGGTAATGGGATAGGTAATAAAAGCTGTGTGAAAAACTTACTGCTCTATTGGTGGACATGACATTAACCTTTCCGATGTCACATCATAGCATGGCCATCCAATGTTCTATTCAGTTGAAGAAAACAGGTCAGCTAATCCCATATCGTCTTCACAGTCCTCTGCATACGTTGAAAAACGGTGAGTGTGGTACTTGCCTACATTGGGGAAGACGCCATCTCTTGCACGGCAGGTCTGTTTGGATACAAAGATCTCACAAACGGCCATGAGGAGGAAAGATACTGGCTTTTCTTCATCCCAGCCTGGCGGAGAGCGTGGCTGCCTCGGGTGCTTCTGGTGGCACGCTCAGGTTGTTCTTGACTACCGTGTCTATCGGTTATCCTGTCTCTGAGCTCGGCTTTGCTATCCAGGAATATTACCAGGTCCTGTCAACGTTAGAGAGAAATGGGATAATGGAGCGCATATGGGCACGTACATCCAGGTATATATTAATGTGACCTTTATTATTCAAGTGGCCGCCAGGCCGTACGAGACCATGTTTAAGATCGCCTTTGCTTCATTTGGGGTGACCGAGGTCGCGGTGAGCTCCGGCATGCCGAGCAAGATCAAGGTCTGCCTCATATCCTTTGTATTGGCATTCGTACAATGGCCGACGGTGTGCGGAGGGGGGCTCCGGATGTAGAGCTGGAAATTGTGGTTGGTGTTCTGCATCTTGGACTTGGAGAGGGGCTTGGTCCTGGTTGCTTGGGAATGTATCCTTGAGAACCGTGGAGCTGGAGTGCATCGTCCCCCGATACCTGATAGCGGCAAGGGGAACTTATCGCAAAGATTTTGACGAGGGTTTAGAATATGGCGTCATCTCGGCCGTGGCCCAGGTCGTACGCCACCATGTTCAAGATTGCTTTTGACTCTTTAGGCGATGGAAAATGACACAGTCGTGCCACCTGAATTTGCCTCAGTTGGATCAAAAATTAATCGAAATCAGTGCTTGTTAGGCATTTTCAGCTGCCAGTGGAACATCAAAATATTGAATGAAAAAACAACTGATGAGATGATGATCGAAGACGTGATTTACAATTATATTTGTACAGGTGTAGGGGTGAACTATGCGAAGCTGAGAAACTCGTGAGAGAGAAGAGTTGAAAAAACTAGAGAGATGCAGCCGTACTTATAGCAAAAGCTCTGCTCAAAGTACCAAGGTAAAGAACACAGGATGAAAGGATTGAAAACAGTGGATAGCCAGGACTAAACCCTCAAATCATGTCAGCGCTGGAGTATTCCGTTTGTAATTTCT